GCTAGAGCGATGCATGGAGCTTACAAGCCTACGCCACGCGTAAACCAAAGCCTATTGTCATGTCGTGACGATGGGTGTGAGAGCTTACAGAGCCGAACCTAAGCTTAAGCCAAGCCTGAGCCCAAGCCTGAGCCTAAGTCTAAATCTAAGCCAAGCCCAAGCGAACGCTGACCTGAGCTAAACCTAAGCAATGAATAACCCCAAATCGGTCGTCCTAGCCTAACTATGTTACGGTAGGAGAAACACATACCTAAGCCCCCGTTCCCCCAAACGAAGCCTTAACGTAAGCTAGCTTAAGCTAAGTGTAAGCCAACGCCTCTACTTCGCTTTGTACAGCTCGCACTTGCGTTGTAAAATTCCACCCGCTCCCCTGCGTTGTCCCCTGTATTTCGTCGCATTCCGCCACACACCCAAATGAGCACAAATTACCCGCGGAAAAACTAGGGGCTGGGGGGAGAAGCCCCCCGCCCGCCCTGCTTGTCGCCCTTTTTCACGGCCCTCTGGGGAAGCTAGGAACTAACGAGGCGCACGGCAACACCCCCCCTTCTCGAGCCATGAAGCCCCCTTTAGGGATGGGAAGAGGAGGCCCTCAACCCATTAGCCCGAGCCGTACCCTCCGATTCGGGACATGACGTCCCTCCGATTCAACTCGTCCTCCCCGCGTACCGTACCTTTTCTAAAATCGCACGGTTAACCAGATTTGCTATCATAATGCCTATTTTCATAAAGTTACCATAGTCGCGCCAATTCATCCACTTCGGCGCATTTAGCTCACGATTTCGGTCTCGCTGTCTTTCTCCATACCTCTCTCGCCCTCTCGCTCGCTCTTTCTCTCTCTCGCTCGCTCGGTCTCTCTCTCTCTCTTTCTTTCTCTCTATCTCTCTTCTTACGCTCTCTCCCTCCCCCTCTCTCTCTCGCTTCCCCCATGCCTTCATCACCATTTTTCTCATCCAAATTTGCTGAGGTCCAAAACACGGCTTCTACCCCCTCCTGGTTGCAACAAGAAATGGGAAATTCCCGTCAGCATGGCTTGCCTATTCCCATCGATTTATGGGATTCGTGACCGACGGCCGTCTAAGGCAGGGAGCCGCCTCGTTTCCGACACTACCAGTTTTTGCATTTATGCCCCGGAAAACAGGCCACGTCGACTATACGAATTTGGCGGCCGACGGTTTTGTAGTGTGTTCGGTGGGGGTTTTTCTAGCGTACTCTCTCTCTCTCTCGCTCTATGTCTCTCTGTCTATCTAAGAATCGCAGCTACTTTTTCCCGGTACAAATTCAGAGGTGTCAGGTGTGGCCATTGTCGCCCGTGTTGGCTGTGTTTCTGTTCGTCTGTTTCGCTGTTTGCTTGTCTGTTTGCAGCCGGGGTCTGCTGCACTCTCGCCGGAGAGGGCCCAGAGATAGTGATTGACTCAAGAGAGGGAGCTTATAATTAGCGGTAGGTTAAGGGATCTATCTGTCGGTATGTCTTTCTATCTCTCTCTCTCTCTCTCTCTCTCTCTCTCTCTCTCTCTCTCTTTCTCTGTCTGACCCTCGCGCTTTCTCTCTCTTGTCTCTTTGAGGAAGGTATTCAGAAAAAAGGTGAGACTGACTTCTCCATCCCTTTAAAATTTAAAAGCACAACTTGTACAACCACAATGCATTTTTTGATATTCCGGATATAATATTTAGAATTTCGTGAGTGAGTGCCGCACCGATTTAGGACGGCAAAAATACCATTTTCTATTAGCGGATGTGAATTTGACTATTTTCGCATAGCTTTGAGCGGATGAGAGAGAGACAGAACGAGAGAGCGCGAGAGAGAACCAGAAACAGGTTGTGTTCCTATTAGTGCGAGCCCACTGCGTATTGTAGCGTAGCTTGGGTCCCATCGGGCCTGACCGAGAGAGAGAGAGAGAGAGAGAGAGAGAGAGAGAGACAGCAAGCACACACACAACACTGGTTTTGTCTTCAGGCTAGTCGAAAACGGGGGGAGGCTGCTCCTCCTCCCCTCCCTCCCTCTCCTCCATGGCTTTGGTGGTCCCGGCGCGAATCGATGGGTCCCGGGCCGGCTGGGGGCTCTGCCTGGGGACACCCCTTTCCGTAGAGCAACAACCCCCGCCACACACATACACACACAGCCTGCCCGTATACTGGAATGGGGCGGACTCTGCGCGCTTCGTTTCACCCCCCCCCCTCACGTCTTCTGCCCATCCCCCCACTCTGCCTCTACCGCCCTCATCTCTACGCCCTCCTTTTTTTGCCCACGTCTTCAGGCCCCCTCCAGCCGTCGGCACGTCTTCTAACCTCCTCTCTCTCCCTCTCTCGTTCTCCCTCTCTCGTTCTCTCTCTCTCTCACTCTCTCTCTCTCTCTTTCTCTCTCTCCAGAAGCCGTCGCCTTTTTGCCCCACCCCGCCGGCTGCAAACTTGCCACTTTGTATCGTGGTATTGGATGAGCTAAGGTTCTGATATTTTGGGCGCCCGCTGCATTTATTTTTTAGTCCTAATTCCGGGTTTCCCTATCGTCACCGGTGCCATCAGCTTTTTTCGCGCCTCCCCTCAATTTTTACGAATCTCTCGAACATGATCGGTAGTCTCCGGGCACTAAGCCTGAGCCTAAACCTAAGCCTAAGTCGAAGTTTCAGTCTAACCTATGCTGAAGCCTAAGCCTTCCCAGCGCCAACAAAATTTTCCCCGCTTCCCAGCGCGTTTAAGATTTATATGTGGCCCTTTTGGCGAATGTTGCCGAGCATCTGCCGTCCCGAAATGCCGAAATGAATCACATTTCTCGAAGGGGGGGCAAGACGGAGCCAAAGTTTTTGCTGTTCGGCTCTGGCTCACAGCCCACCACCACGAACCAGTCATTTCGCGACGGCCAATTTCCATCACGCCCCCCCCCGTCCGCGAAACTTTTTGCCGCTGCTCCTTTCGCATCTGGTGCGACATTCCCTGGGCCAATATGTATGTACGGGAAAATGATTGATTCTGGGGAGAGGCCGCTGGTATAGAGCACGGGCTATAATTCATTGAGGCTTCGTTTTATTTTCCCTCGAGAATCTCTGCTCGCTTGCCCGTACCTAAATAATGTTTGCTGGCCAGCCCTTCCGAAATGATCTCTGTTAGCCCCGGCCCTTCCTGAAGAATCTCTGCTAGCCGTCCCTTCCTGCAGATTTGCTGTTTCCCGGTGCGATCTCTGCCAAAAAAAATCTTGGCTTCTTTCCAAGGCCGCCCATGCTTCTGCTGCGGAATAAAGCTTGGGCTTCCCGCGCCAGGGTGAAGTATCAGCTTTCCTCCTCAAGCTCGCCCCCACCTCACCCGAATCTGCGCAACAATCCGCCCTGCAATACACTTTTGCTCGTGCGCGTTTTTCCTCAAGGATCACCGCTAGATTGCCGCCAGTTCCTTACCGGTCTCGGTCATTTTGATCGCAATCCATCGTCTACTCCTAAAGAATCTCTGCTAACCGATCATGAAACTGGACTTTGGAACCTCAAGATTCTATGCTAGCTTGCCCATTCCTGAATAATCCCTGCTAGCTTATCCTTACCCGCAAAATCTCTGCTAGCCTACCATTTCCTGAAAACTCTCAGCTAGCTTGCCTTGTCCTAATTGGTTTCTACTAGCTTGCCCTTACCGCAAGAATCTTTGCTAGCTTGCCCCTGACCGGAAGAATTTCTGTTCCATTTTCCACTAGTCTTTCTTTCAGTAAACCGGGTATATGCGTGTGTCGGTTGGAGTTGATCGGAATCCATCCCCCCTAGCGTCAATCCCTTACTGCTGCTCGTCTCCCCCGGTCGGATCTTCCTCTTCTTTGGGCAGCTTCTCCCTCTTCTTCCCTTTTGCGTGCTTCTGCTTGGGCGGGAGGAAAAACACGCTAACCCAGTATGGGGGAAGAAGCTGCTGCTCCTCCCCCACCCCATCCACCCACTGAATTCTAGCAATTTTTTTTGCCCCGCTCCCCCTTGCCTCTTTTGCCGGCCTGGTGAATACATGGCCTCGTCATCGGGTCGGCGAACAGGGAAGAATTTCGTGATTTGTCTGATCGCTCTCTCTCTCTCTCTCTCTCTTTCTCTCGCTCTCTCTCACTCTGGTTTTCGTGCCAATTGATTGTTTGTTTATTTTGGCGATGAATTAGAGAGCGGCCCGCCCGGGAGGTTGCTGCGGCGAAATTAAATAGCTCGCGTGTCGCGCCGGGCGTCCTTTTTATGGGGCCGCGCCAAAAATATCTCTGTGCGCTCTATTTTTAGAAAGGACTAGGATCCGGGAGTCTCTGCTGGCCTGCCCTTTCCTAAAGAATTTCGGCTAGCTACTTTACCCTCTGCTGCCCTTCCTAGGGGTTTATTGCAAAGGGGGGTGCAGTATCTTGAGCTACGGATTAATCCGCCCCGCGGGCTGGCAGCTCATCCCGTTGTTTGTGTGGCCTCGGAAGAGCTTTCTGACGACAACCCCTTCACTCCTTCTCATGCTCGCTGCTGACTAATCAACCAGGGTTTCCATTTATGTTTTGATGCTCTGTGCTGTACTTCTCCCAAGGGAAACCTGCTAGCCTCATTTTCCCGAAGAATCTCTGCTAGCCAGCCCTTTCCTAAAGAATCTCTTTTTTCCCCTTTTACTAAAATTTTCACAAATTTTTCGGCGAGTATCTGCTAGTCTGCCTTTTTTGAAAAATCTCTGCTAGCAGGCCCTTGCCTAAAGAATCACTGCTAGCCGGCATTTTCCTAAGGAATCTCTGCTGGCCTCTCTTTCATAGAGAATCTCTGCTAGCCGGCCCCCTCCCAACGAGACCATGTTAGCCTGCTTTTCATTAATGCTCTGTTCTCGCTCTCTCTTTCCCTCGCTCTCTCACTCTCTAATTCCCTCTCCATTCCAGCTGTATTCCGCGCGACGGCGGCAAGGGCAGGGCTGGTGCTGCTGTGGGCGGCTGTGAGTGGACGGGGGCATAGAGCAGCAGCCGTCAGCTAGCAGCTGTCTGCCTGTGCCCCATCAGCCCACACCAGGCCCCCCCTCTGCCCTCCTTGAAGATGCCGTGGTGCTGTGCTAGGGGCGCGGCCACTCCGCTGCTGTCCGAGCCCGGACGGCCCGTACCCGACCCTTTCGGGCCAATGCTGATCCAGCCCAACCCTGCCGTGAGTAGCTACCATGCGCTTGAAAAGGGCAAAAGAAAATCAAAATGGTCAAAATCTGGTTAGGCCAAAATACCGACAAGCCAAAATCCCGACATTCCATGATTTGCTTCTGGCGTAAAGTTAGCATGCTCTATGCGTCAGAGACTCGCTACTTGCCCAATTTGTCCATCTACCAACTAGCCAGCCACCGGAATAGCCTAGCTTTTTCAAGAAACAGTCGAAAAAGCAAAATGTCACCTGCACCGAGGCGGCGACCCGCTTCAGCACCTGCAGCGCGTCCAAAACACGTTTGTTGCGAAAAGAAGCTTTTATTTCAGTAACAGTTCGTAGCAAGGATACTTTTCAAGAGACGATGTCGGGAAAATCTTAGGCTTAGGCCTAGAGTTAGGCTTCTGTGAGGGGATGGCTTTCTCATTTGGTAGCCGCTCATTCGGGTGGCCCGGATGGATCGCATGTCTGTGTATGTGTGGGGCCCGGATTGCACATATAGACTGACGCAGACAGAGGGACAGACACACATGCACACACAAAACGAGTATACGCAAATTGGCTGCTTTGGAAAGCGGGATGGACCCCTAGTGGGGTGCTCTGCTTTGGCCACTCTGCCGCTCACCACATTCCGCTACACTACGCGCCCCTAAACAGAGCGGGGGATGGGAAGTGGCTCCGATTTTGGGGCCCGCGGGCCCGGAAAATCGTCCGGATTCCCGGACTGTACGGAGGTGTATAGTGGAGTTGAAGGGTTTGACAACCCGGGGTGGTATTAGAAAAAGTCTATAGCCTGTGCTTGGTTTTGCCTCTTTTTTACCATGCGTACCCTCCGAATCCAAGGGTCGAAGATTGGAAAGGGCAATCGAGTCAATTGATATATACCGTACCGTGTAGGCGCTCGTGATAACGGCCGGAACCGGCGAGGGCATCTTCATCGAGCGGCTCAAGCATTCCGGATGGCAGCTCACCATCGCCCCGCCGCACCAGGCCGAGCCGTTATGTGTCCAGGTTCGTGTTGGGCTTAGGCTTTGGCTTGAGCTTAGGCTTAGGTTTAGGCTAGGCTTAGGCTTAATCCTGAGTTTAGGCTTGGTCCTGGGCTTAAGCTTAGATTGAGGCTTTGGCTTATACTTTTATTAAATTAATAATCATAAGCCTCTTCCAGCTCCGCCCCCACCTCGTCCTGATCGACAACCGGTTACCGGACCTCACGACGATGGCCAAGTGGGTTTTGCATGCGCCGCCCCCTTAATTTCTCGATTTACAGACAGCTGCACCAAATCTCCAACGTCGATGACACGTTCTTCGTGGTCATCTCGGAAAAGTGAGAATTTCGAATATCGGCATTGTCGTTTTAAAGTCTCCTGATTTCAAGTTGTTCTCGATAAGCTAAATTGCAGGCCTCTCTCCGAGAAGCGACGACGCTCCCTTGCCCACGCCGAGATTCTGCATGTGCGTTTTGATTGAAATTGGCATTCCGCTACTGATACTGACCCTGAATGAGAGGTGGAAGCGCCTAAATCTACCCCACCTCTAGCCTAGGTCTCGACAGCAACGGCTCTCGCCAAAAGACCCGTGATAGCCAGAATATTTTTGGTTATTCTTATCGCAAGTGTTGAAAATTGCGTTGCGTAGTTTTTTGTGTACGGTGTCTAGCTGTCGAGATCTAGTCGCGAAATCGGGTCGATTTTAGCACTCCTCGAATCTTGAAACAATCTTGAATCATATGAAGATTATTTCTATGCTTTGCAGAACATCTTGTGGAACAGCCGTGACACGTCGCTTGTTGAATGGGTCTCCCGGATGACGACGAGGTTGCGGGTTGTCCCGGCGTTGTTCGCAGTATTGGATGAGGTAGGATTAGGCTTAGGCGTAGGCTCAGGAATTCGGTTAACTGGAGCTACCTCGCAGCGGTCATTGCGGAAAGTTCGCCCCCAAATCTAGGCCCAAAACTCTTACCGATCAATTTATAGTCATCCAGATCCCTTCCGTACTTTTCATTCCAACATCTGGCTCGCCACTACCGTACCCCGGCTCTTGTGGGCGAAGTGCAATTATGTTAATGTGGCCGCGGGGTTCAGCGCGGGGATTTGCCGGCGAAACGCGCGGGGGGATTACGCGGGATTTTCGGCGGATCAGCTGGGGGAAAGGAGTTGGGCAAGATAGCTGCTGAGGAATTTGTATAGTCGCCGAAGCCGAGCGCAGAGGCGCCTGGCAAGCTAGCAGAGCTTCTTTGAGGAAAGGCCAGGCTAGCAGAAGTCATTTTGGAATGCAGTGTGACCCTCATTTTCAGGCTGACCAGGCAGTCGAAGTGATCGACGACTCGCGCGTGGTCCTCTACGTGAATCGAGCTTACGAGAATGTGACGGGATGCCTGCGGGGTGAGGTGATCGGCCAGCAAGAGAGTGATGTTCGACGGTACGTGAAGCCTAAATAAATCTCAGCATAGGCCTAAGCCTAAGTCCTGGCTTAAGCCGAAGCCTAAGCCTAAGCTCAAACTCTCCTTCCAGAAAATCTCTACCGCGCCCACGAGAAGACGACCGGCGGCGCTCATCAGATTGGAAATGTATCCGGGTACCCAGTAGTTCGTGCAGGTCAGGAAAGCGAGAGGGATGGAGCGAGAGAGTAGGCGCGAGCGAGGGAGAGAGAGCGAGAGGGAGAGAGAAAGAGGGTGAAAAAGCGCGAGAGCTTGCGCCAGCTCTACCTCCCTTTCAGCAACCAATACGTGTACGTGAAGCGGAGAAGCCTCGACGGCGGGATCTACAGAGATGTTTCGTTGAAGAGTATACGTTCGCAGGCCATGATCGAGGCACCGATATCAGAGGTACTGCTCGCTGACGTGGTCCTGTGAAATTCGGATTCCAGGTTATTTCAATGCTCAGGGACGCGGCGGGACGATGTGAGGGTGAAAGCGCGCAACTCGTCAAAGATGCCGTTAAGGTAGAGAGCGAGAGAGACAGAGAGGGGGAGAGAGAGAGAGAGAGAGAGAGAGAGCTAGTCCAACCAATTCCAGGTGCTCTCTTCGCACGAGCTCTACCTGCCGAATCTGCAGAAGATCCGGGACGGGGACCAGCGCGTGGCCGCCCAGTACTACGACGGCCTCGTCAGGGTTGGGACCGTAAGTGCGGGAGGAGAGACCGCTTTCTCGGGTCTCGGAGCGGAGATTTTGGGATACCGTAGGACGGAATACCGTACCCAAACCCTTCGTTGCGAGATCCGTTTATATATGCTCGTGCCTGTCGGAGTGGTGGCCATCTCTATCTCCATGCTTTTTGGTTAGCTTCTACTGTTTCTTCGGTGCCGGTTTTCTGGCGTTGCTCTGAGCTTGGGCTTAGGCTTAGGCTTAGGTTTAGGCTTCGGCTTCGGCTTAGGCCCAACTTAACGCCGACCACGAAACCACGCACCAAAGATCCGACGCTTTTCACTAACACGCTTTCTGTTTCATCCGCCCATCTCCTGTCCCTCAACTTCTGGCCGCCCACCCGGACACAGCACGGACACATTCACGAGGCTTCTCCTCTCGCACCAATGAATTCAAGGCTTCCCGTGAAGCTGGGGCAACTTGGCTGAGCTGCATCTGATCCTTGACTGACAGGAACACAGTTTGAAATTTGGCTGACAATAAAACTCTCGAAGGATCACTACCAATTTCCCTGTGCGAAAAAGCAGATATTCTAGATTTCAGCGCTCCCTTCCCGGTAGCTTTTCTTTGCTTAAGTTCGTAGCGCTAACCTCCAATGCAGCTAAGTTGCTCCTAGGTTTCCGAATCTCATTTGTGGCTTCTCACCCCTCCGTTTCAGCTCCACCACCCGCCACGGCATCGCAAGCGCAGCGTCGTCGACGCGTATAAGGACAAACGAGGTTGGTCGGCTGCGAGCAAAGGTTCTTGGGGAATTGGAGGCTAGCAGAGCGCTTTTCGGAGAGCGAAGGTTAGCATCAATACCTTAGGGGCGCTCAGGCTGGCAGCTAGCAACAAGCGGAACGTTTTGGAGTCATAAAACCGAAATCGGACTAGGCTCGGGCCTTAGCCTGCGCTGTAAGCGAAACCTAAGCCTAAGCTCAAGTTTAAATCCAAACCGAGGCTTGAGCATAGGCCTAAGCCAAAGCCCAAGCTTGTGTCTAAACCTAAGCAAAATCCGACCGCAGAAACTCGTCAAGCGATAATCGATGCCCCGCTAGCCAAATATTTTGCCGCCTACGCACCTTTGTAGCCCTTCACCCCTACACCACTCCACACGCGACCCCATAAGCATATTTCTAGACTTTCTAGGGTCCCACGGGGAACGGCGACGGGTATCGGCCGACGTGAAGAACGCGCTCGAGAACGACCACCTCTGGAACTACGACATCCTACAGCTCGAGCGCGTCACCGAACATCACGCTCTGTCGCAGCTTGGCATGAAGGTCGGATTTTTCGACTGGATATTAAGCCTATGCAACTGCCTACGCCTAAGCATAAGCCCTTAAGCCTCAGCCTAAGCCTAAGTGCCCCTTTCCCTGTCCGCTTCACTCCAGAACCCCGACCCTTTCCAGATTTTCGAGCGTTGGAAGGTGGCCGACGTGCTACAGTGCCAGGAGGACATCCTCGCCAGGTGGTTGAACACCATCGAGATGCACTATCATGCCGGAAACGCCTACCACAACGCGACGCACGCCGCGGATGTCTTGCAGGTGCGGTCTCGGAATATTTAACGGTGGAAAGACGAAAGATATTCGGTTTCTAGGCCACCTCCTACTTCTTGGACCAGCCCACGGTCGCCGACCACGTCATCGACACGCACGGGGTTGCTGCCCTGCTCGCTGCAGCCGTCCACGATCTGGACCATCCGGGTATAGCTTATCTCTGCCTCTCATCTTTTGTAAATAATGTTTTTTCGCGTTTTCATGAAGAGTTTTTGCTAACCTATCTTTTAAATGATCCTCATTGCTCTGGCTTTTCTACGGAAACTCTGCTCGTCTTGCGTCCTGAAGTCCTGAAGAATCTTTGCTAGCCTGCCCGGCGCGTTAAAAGCCAGAATATTTAGCGTTATTTTTTGAGGTCGGGGCAACGCATTCTTGATCAACACCCGCCAGTCGCTGGCAATCCTCTACAACGACCAGTCCGTCCTCGAGAATCACCACGTCGCCCTGGCGTTCCAGCTGACGCTGCAGCAGAACAGCAATGTTGGTTCTCTCTCTGTGTCTCTCTTTCGCTCTCCCTCTCTCTCTCGCTATCTCTCTCACCACAATCTTTTCCAAACCATAGCTCTTCAGGTGAACATTTTCGGCGCGTTGTCCCGCGACGAATTCTCAACCATGCGCGCCGCCGTCGTCGAGATGGTCCTTGCCACGGACATCAGAAGACATTTCGAGTACCTCGCCAAGTTCAACCAGGTATAGGATTCGTGTCCCCTTCACGTGAGATCACCCCCGAACTGCTCGAGCCGGACGCACCCCCACCCAACCCCGTTTTACAGGCGTACAAGCCCGAGTCGTCGAACCGAGTGACCTGGGTAAATTCCGTAGCGCCTTTGCCTTCCCCGCTGGTGTTTTTGTAGATTAATGTGAAGTTGTGCGAAAACTCACCCCCCCCGACCTCCCTGACACTGTCTCACAAAGAGTTTTGTGTGTAACCTCTATGTACAGGCTAGCAGAGATTTTTGGAGCTACCTTTCAAAAGACAAGCTGGAAGCCCTAGTCCTAGGCTTAAGCTTAGGCCTAGGCCCAAACCTAAGTCCAAGCCTAAGCCTAAGCCTAATTAAGTCTAAGCCGAGCCAGGTCCAATCCCGTGCCTTGGGGAACCTAGCAGAGATCCTTGCTGGGAACCAAACCTAATACTTGCGGTGTCGTTACCAGACTCATATTCAAAGTTCTTATTTCCAGATGAATATCGTCGACGTGGCCGACGAGCAGCGAGAACAGAACTCGATGATTGTGTGCAACATGCTCGTCAAGTGCGCCGATATTTCGAACCCGTGTCGCGACTGGGTCACATGCCAGAAATGGGCCTACCGTATCGTGGAGGAATATTTCGAGCAGGTACGGTAATGGCTAGGAATCGATAGAGCGAGCCTAAAGTAAGCGAGCAGCGCTAAGGGTGAGCAAGAGAGAACGAGAGAGCGAGAGAGACAGAGAGACGCAACTTAGCGGAATAACTTGTGTTTAAACCCGCTAAAACCAGATTTACAGACCCGCGAGGAGAAGGAGAAGGGCCTGCCGCTAACGATGGAATTCTTCGACCGCGAATCCTGTTGTGTGCCCGTAACGCAGACCGGTTTTGTCGGTATGGGCTGAGCATAGGCCTAAACAACCCAACAATGTTTTGTAGACATGTTCGTGAGGGAAGCGTTCTCGTGCTGGAGCGAATTCGCGCATTTGCCACAGCTGCTGCACATTCTCGACCAGAACTACGAGCACTGGAAGCAGATGCAGCCCGGCTGGACGCCTGCCAACAATATTGGGCTGTTGTCGTAGTATACGCGTAAGCCTAAGCCTAAGCCTAAGCCTAAGCTGAAGCCTAAGCTGAAGCCTAAGCCTAAGCCTAAGCCTCGGCCACCTCCACCACCTCCCTCCCCCCCCGCGAATTTTGCTCCACTCATCTTCATCAAGTATCGTGATCGTATTCTCGGTGCTCCCCGCCCACTTTTGACTACCGTAATCCACGCAAACCCCGCCCCTTATCACACAGCATCCCCCAAATCAGGTCGGCAATTTTACACAACCTTCGTTACCGGATTCCCATCCATCCCTTTTCGTCTTGTTGTTTTTGGGTCCGCGCCGCTCTTGCCCAATTTTTAGGTGTGTTTTAAAGAATCTGGGAAGAAACCGGGCCAACGCCTAGGCTTAGGGTTAGGCTTAGGCTGCGGCCAAGGCTTAGGCTAGGGCTCAAACTGAGTTGCTTAACCAAACCCGTCTGACAAGTAAGCTTAAGCCCACTCCCCGGTTACCGACCCTTTTTTGATTATTCGATGTTGGCTGCGTAACTGCCCGTCCCCCCGCCTCCTCATCAATGGCTTTCCAAATGCCCCATCTCTCCTCGATTTTCTGGAATTTAAATATTTATTTTGTTGGCATTTTTTGTGCTCGCCCCCATCGGAAATCCCTTATCCGCAAATTTCTGCTCATTTTTATTGTCTTTTTTGATGTATCAGATATGTTTTTCTAGGGCTAATCGACACGTCTCTTTCCCGGATCAGCTTTATCACATTTCCTTGCCACACCACCACCCGTATTGCTTTACACGTTTTTCGGCATTTTTGGCTTCTTAAGGGGTTCGGCCGGTATAGATCTACCTGAAATCTCAACTTTGGAAAAAAATTCAACGCGAAAAAGTTTGAAAATTTTCTGACGAAGTTCAAAAATAATGGATCTAAAAATAGCGAATCTTAGCGTCCAAGACCGCGGCCGACCCCAATTTCCATATGTTTCGCTAATTCGGATTTTTCCGCTATTTTTGTGTAATCCACCGTACCCGGGTTCGTGCCCCCTCCGATTACCGTACCCCTCCCCCTTAATCTGAAATTTTTCTCGCTTTTCGGCGGCACTAAAGCTACACAACGAAACGCCCGCCCCGAACACCAATTATCGTAACCAAGGAAAAGAGTGTTTCCGATGCTTCATCCTGTTTTTAATGAATTTAACGTTTTTTGCCCCGGCTTCACATTGCAGTGTATTTGCACGTAATATCAATACCCGTCCTCGAATTCCCCCATTTTTTGGTGTTTTTCTTGAAGGGATAAAGCTTATTCTTATCAGATTTGACATGGGAAGCACACGAAACAAGACATCTTTCATAAAGAACCTTTGCGAGCCAGCGTCACTAAAGAATCTCCGCTAGTCTGCCTTTTGCCAAAGAATTTCTGTAAGCCCGTCCTAATTTGCATAAAGGATCCGGATCTCGGTTCTCGATCCCCTAGCAGGCTTCAGTCATTGCACCTGACACGTCCAAGCCATCCGGCGGTCCCAACAACAGGTTAGTGCTTAGGCTTAGGCACACTGCCTGAATACTCTGTCTTTTCATAGATAGGAAAAGCCTTGGGCGGATGACTGGCGTTGGAGACACGGTCCCGCCGTGGCTCGCCGCACACCCGGCCTACCACGGCTATCTGCCGCGCGAAGACGTGCCGACGCTGTTGTCGAAGGACGGCTCGTATCTAGTGCGGGTCACACAGGTAGGACAAGCAGCATAGATCCTTTAGGAAGGCGCAGGCTAGCAGGAAACCCTCAGGAAGCATGCGCTTTTCTTCAGGTTTCGGAAGAAGGTGGGGTGACGCATACTTCGTATGTCATCTCCTACCACCTGACGAAGGGCCAATGGGCCGAGGCGCAGAGCCAGCAAGAGGGCAAGGGCTTAGCCGGTGGCGGTAGTGGCAGATCGACGGGCACGCCTGCTGAAGAGAATATGGTAAGTATAAGCCTACGCCTAAGCATGTCCGAGGCTTTTACTTTACATTCTACTTTCCAGATCCGTCATATTGCCGTCAAAGAATCGAACGGGCTGTACACAATCAATGAGAAGAACCTGTTCACCTCGATCAAGGAGTTGATCACACATCACGCCGGCCACGAGGAAATGATCGGCGGCAGCGGGCTGAAGGTTAACAACTTTCCCGGGGAAAACTACGACGCAATTGCCGTTGCAGTACAAATGCCGGCTGGAGACCCCGATGCAACGCCAAGGCTGGGAGATCCAGCACGACGACATCAAGATCGAAGAGAAGCTCGGCGAGGTGGTAGCTTCTCTCTACATTAAACGGGCACGTTTCCCATCAAGTTTTTGCGAGAATGGGAAACACGGGCGGGGCAAGGCCAACTTTTTTCTTAGGATCTCATTTTTCAAATAGTGAAAGTGTTTCTAAGTAGTTTTTTACTATTCTTAAACGGGAAAACCTTAGATTTTATTAAAAACATCAACAATCGATTTTTTGATCGAAAATGCCGATTTTTTACTAAAATTTCGGCGTTGTTAAAAGTTTTTAGTAGTTTCTAGTTACAATATATAGTCTTATATTACTAAAAACACTTTCTAATAAGCTTCTAGGGATTTCCAAAACCTTTAAAAAGTTTCGTCCCCCCGATAACGCGAAAGAACATGACTTACTATTAAGCAACGATTTGAAAGCGTGCGGGGTGGATTTTGAGGAGAAAACCGAGGCTAACTATGGGCTTTCAGGGTTGCACATCTGTTTCTAAATATCAAAAGTTCATAAAAAATAAAAATTTTCATACATGTTTTACCAAAAACGAGAACAAAAAAAAATCAAACAACCAGTTCTTGTCCAGGGTCAATTTGGACTGGTGATGCGCGGCGAGCTGCGGCGCCCTTCGGGCAAATGGGTGCCGGTGGCGCTGAAGCAGACGAAGGACGACTGTGCCGCCTCCAAGCAGAAGCGCAAGGAGATTATGGCCGAGTGCCGGCTGATGCGAGGCCTCGTCCATCCGAACGTGGTAAGTTTTGACGCGGACTAAACAGAAACGAGGAAGGCTTCAAAAAGTCAAAAATTTGGTCATTTGGCTCGAAAGACATAGATTTTCGTACTAAAATATACTTTTGTATTGGGATTTTGAAGGTGTTTGCCTTTCGGAATAGTGAAACACGATTTAGACACACCTATTTTATTTGCATTAAAAAATGAATCGTGAAGAAATTGATTCTTTAAGATTCGCGGAGGAACCAAATTTTTTCTTCGCAATACGGGTTTTTTTTAGAACCAGCGGATGCGTTGGTACATTGTTTTAACGATCCCTGAGCATAAAAACTTGGCAAAGTTTGCTCTATTTCATTTTATCTCGACAGTTTATTTTTGCAACCCAAAATGACCAAATTTTCGGCTTTTTCAAACTTGTTCCTGATTTTTTTCTGAAAGTTTTCTACTCTAAATTTATTTAGATCGTACAAAAATCAATATAAAAGCAATTTATATTGTTTTTTACCCGGTGCTTGACATGGGGTTCTTCTAGGTGCGCTTCTACGGCGTGGCGGTGGCAAAGCAGCCAATCTACATCGTGCTCGAGCTTGTGCCTGGCCTCGATCTGCACAACTACCTCCTCCACAACCGCGGCAAGGTCAACAAGAGCCAGCGCCACGGATTTGTGGCCGGGGTATGCTTGTTCGAGCCCTCAGGCTGATAATGAACTTGCAGGTGGCGTTCGGCATCGAGTACATCCATTCGCAGGGCATCATCCATCGCGATCTGGCCGCTCGGAATTGCCTCGTCGACACGGCGAAGAATATGGTGCGTAGAATATTATGAAACATTGAATGCTACCCGCTTGTTAGGTAAAGATCAGCGACTTTGGCATGTCCATCCGGGCCAGCGAGTACGAGCTGACGCGACGCAAGAAGGGCGGCGACGTCAAGCTGCCGCTGCGCTGGTTGGCCCCCGAGTGCATCATTGTACGACACCGTATCGGCGAACGCCTAGAAGACGCGCAACTTGTTTAGGAGTTGCGCTACACGCAGAAGACGGACGTGTGGGCATTTGGGCTGATCGTGCTCGAGATTTACGCCGAGGGCAAGCAGCCGTACGACGGCAAGCGCAACGAGCAGGTCAAGGAGTTGGTGGGTTATGCGGGGGACAGTTTTTGGCTATTGAATTTAATACCACAATTACCACAAAGCTAGCTGCAGCTAGCATCAACAAGATGTGAATCAGTATTTTAACGCAGGCAACCATGTTCGCATACAGCCACGCTTAAAAAGTAGCTTTTCTAGGGCATTTTTCCTTATAAAAAACTCCGGAAATCCCTGATGTTGTTAGCTGAACAACGGCGTGAAGCCGCAGCTCCCGAAGGCGGCCGGGAAGAAGCTGCACGAGTACATGGACAACCACGTCTTTGCCAGCGTCGAGAAGCGCGCCCTGATGCCCGACGTCGGTGCTATTTTTCCCCCAATGGACCGTTAGCCATTCGCTTACAATTAGATGAAAAACACACGGATCACCTGCCTCCTTTAGGTGTGCAATTTTGTCGTCGAATGGAGCGGAATTCAGCGCCCGAAGATCGAGGAGGAGGAAGAGGAAGGGTACGTCTCACCCTCCCAAGCCTATTGGAAAAAGCCTAGAAATAGGCTAAAATATTGTTAGTCGTTTCCACAAAGCACCTCAGCTGGTTTGCCCTATTTTCAAGATCCGATTTGCCTACTTCCATCATCGAGTCTAAAAATATATCTCAAACAACTAACTTTTACCTACCAAGGGATCCCTGCTAGATTGACTTTTTACCCAAACATCGACACTTAAGACATAAAAAAACAATAAAGTTTTTCAGCGGAGAATATCTAATCAATCTAATAAGCGTATAAGCCTAAAAATGGGCAGAAATTAGGGCGCTACTTCAGTTTGCTGGCCCCACTTATATATGGCCAAAACCTCATTTTTCTGGTTCAGTTTTTTGCGCTGATTACGGAAAACACTATCCCAGCCCACGAAAATGCGATTTAGTAAAACAATTTAATTGGAAAGTCGGGAAAATTCCATTTTACGGCGGTCGCGTAAAAGGAGCCTTTTTGTGGTTTTTTAATTAAATAATGGCCAAAAACGGGTTTATCATGAATAAAGTCAGCCAGTAGCATTGTCAGGCAAGGCGGGCCGTCGCTTCGGATGGGCTGCCGCTCCTTTTCGAAATCGGGGCGCCTGGCCGCTTCGCGCGCCTCGGGCGCCCCGATTTCGAAACCCTGTACGAGCTCGCACCCATCCGAAGCGACTAGGCCCCGGGGTGGCACGAAGCCTTATTTTTAGGAAAAAAAGCGGATGCAATCGCTCAGCCTCGTTGGAAAAAGCTTTTCCACTGTTTTATAGGCCTCCCGCATCAAAACACCGGGTTGACCCCCTTTAAAAACTCAAACCAGAAAAATCGAAAATCAAGTGTTTTCTCCCCTCAAAATTCACGATTTCATTTTCGTGGGCTGGGATAGTGTTTTCCGTAATCAGCGCAAAAAACTGAACCAGAAAAAATGAGGTTTTGGCCATATATAAGTGGGGCCAGCAAACTGAAGTAGCGCCGAAATTAGTATTTTCCAAGCTACTTTGCTAGCCTGCCAAGGAATGCTTTGTTTTCAGGACCTGACCCCGCGCCTCCGACGACGCGACACGTGCGCCCAATTAAAAACACAAAACACATTTCCATTGTTCATTTCGGTGTCTTTTCTTGCTCTCGCGGCCATTTTGACTGCCTCAACAAGCTCTCTCACTTCCGCATCGATTGCCATGCCTATTTGTTAATACTGTTTGCGAGCCCACCAAATAAATAATTCCTTTTGGGCCCGATGCGTCGCATGTGGTGTGGAAAGGCGGTGGATGAAACTGTATTAAAAGATCACCGTGAAAATTGATGGGCGAGGAATGCAGAACTCAATAACATTCGGGCATCCGAGTGGCGGAATTGCAAAAGTTTGTGCCAATGCGCGGAATATACAAATGTTGAAATGAAGGATGAACAGAGATACATTGCCGGGATATCGGGTGTAAGGGGGAGGGCGGGTTAATTGGAGGCGTGCATATAAATCCGATATCGGGATGCATGCTAAATCGGACAAAAACTTTAAACTTCAAGCAAAATCCCCTATTCTCACATAATTTTTTGCGGTTTTACAGACCTTCGCTAAAGCTCTGAGCTAGTCGGCTACCCCGGTATCGGATTTACCGCGTAAACATTAGGCTTGAGTATCATGCGAGACCGAACACGAGTGTGTGATTGAGCATCAGTGAAGAGAGAAAATTACCCATAACGAATAAGGGGAGAAGCGGGGGAGTGGAACGTAAAGGTGCGATAGGCAGCAACACGAAACTGAGCTAGTAATGCTTAAACGGGTAGACATGGGACACCGGGCTACATCAAAAACGCGGGAAAGACAAGACTACAATTTGCGGAGCTTCCGGGTACGGCCGCGTGACGAGATGGACGGCTCCGGTTGCGCGTTGGCCTCCGCGTCGTCATCACTGTCCTCTTCGTAGAAGCCGCGCTGTCGTTTCTTCTTCCGCGTCACGACGCGGCCGTTCTGGGCTGGCGGCGCCACCGCGGTGTCTTCCTCGGAGTCGTCGTGTACACCGCGCTTTCTAAAAAAATGGAGGCATAAATCTATTAGCTATAAAAGCGGCTCTATCCTAATAGCGGGGACCATAGAAATTATCGTGGACCATAGAAAATATCGGGGACCATAGAAAATATCGTGGACCATAGAAATTATCGTGGACCATAAAAATTATCGGGGACCATACGAAATATCGTGGACCGATCGCGAATATCGGGGACTTTAAAATCGGCCATTTATGCCAAAAATTCGGCTGATCAATACCGTGGACTTTAAAATTTGGACTCCAGCCGGGCTATGGTCCACGATATTGACAGATAGAAAACCGCGGAAAACGTGAAAAAAAACGTCAACAGCAGCATCAAGGTTGAGTAAAATGCATCAATCTCTCAATGTCTTATCGTAATTTCTATTTGTTCACAAATTTATAATTATTATTAACACTACATGTTTTTAAAAGGCCGTTTGCCAGAGACCCGAACAAGACACCACTATTTCGACTCTAAAGGAGAAGCCAAGTCGATTGAAAAAAAGAGCAAAACGAATTACGCGAAACTGAGCCCGGAGGGGAACCGAACCCGCGATGGTACGCCTGGGGGGCACTGGGGACAGACTCTAGAGGGTGCCGCCACCTCCCAGGCGAACGACCCGAGTTCAATCCCAGCCCCCCTTTTAGAAACCCAATTTCTTTTTGCTTTTTTGCAATCGTTCTGTTTTGTGCTCTAGGTCCGAAATACTGTCTTTCTTCACCAAAAACGCACGTTTTTCTTTTTGATGTCTTTAAAAGCCATTTTTCGATTTAATGGGTATCGATCGCCACATTGAAAAATACATGATTCGACGTAGAATGAATTGCGCATCTTTTAAGAGTATTTGAAGAGTGGCGACGCATACCCAAAAAGAAAATTGCGAAAAACATTACTATGTACGCGGTATTCCTTTGTTCCGACCATTTTCGTGCTCTACGATGTATTACAAAAATGATCAGCGCCCCAAAATAAGTGTCTGACATTTTCAAGCCATTTGGTGCAGCATTTGTAAACAAATAGAAATTACGATAAGACATTGAGAGATTGATGCATTTTACTCAACCTTGATGCTGCTGTTGACGTTTTTTTCACGTTTTCCACGGTTTTTCTATCGGTCAATATCGTGGACCATAGCCCGGCTGGAGTCCAAATTTTAAAGTCCACGGTATCGATCAGCCGAATTTTTGGCATAAATGGCCGATTTTAAAGTCCCCGATATTCGCGATCGGTCCACGATATTTCGTATGGTCCACGATATTTTCTATGGTCCCCGATATTTTCTATGGTCCACGATAATTTCTATGGTCCACGATAATTTCTATGGTCCCCGCTATTAGGATAGAGCCATAAAAGCTTTACACCGAGAGCCATAACCACGAAATCGCAATATGCCGAAATTATAATGCATAATAATTGTTTATATCGAAAGGTTTACCCTCGGCCTAATTAAATTTTTGTGAAACAAATCTCGGCATATGGAATTTTGGGACAATTATAAAATGTCTTCGAAAGCAAACTTACTCTGCACGACTTTGCTGACTGCCGCTGGCCCTGGCTGGGAAGCGACGACTTGGCCGGCCGCTCGTCTGCACCATCTCTTCGGAAGGTGGCTTGGCGGTGCGCGAACTTCGGCGACGGCGTCCACGTCCACCATGGCCATCTTCAGAATCGGTGACATCGCTCATCTGCGCCTCCAAGTCATCCATTAGGTCCTGAACAGAGATTTATTATTATAGTGCCCATACTCAGAATTTAAAAATGCTGAAATAGATAACGCCGAAAACTAGCATGCAGAAACATCGCAGAAACTGAGCGCAAAAATTTTGGCAAGCAGAGTTTAGGCGTTGAACCTAGCCCATATGGCCTTTTACGCCCGTCAAGTTACCTACGGAAAAAAAATAAAAACAATCCCACTCCTTTCAAGTAATGGAATCATGCACGCACCTGCTGCTCGTTCATCAATTCGCGAAGTTGACGCTCACGCGGGTTACGCCGGCCCCGCTGGCTACGTGACGTCGTCGGCTCGTGGCCAGAGAACACTGAACTGGAGCGCGCCGAGCCGAGAGAGGACAGAGCCTACAAGCAACAAAAGCTACGAAAAATCCAAAACAACGAACGTCGTGTGCTTCCGACTCCGGTGACTCGATTACGCGACGGCGTCTGGTCCTTGGCGGCAACACTTCGTCCTCGTTGAGGTCGGCCGACGGGCCGGGGGCGATGTAGACGCCCTGGTCACGCGAGCCGCGTCGCGTCGCCGACGTGTTGAACGAAGAAGTGGAGCGCCGGCTGAAAGAAGATATCGTTACAAATTCGTAACATATCGTAAATCCCCACCCTCGAAACACGCCGAAACCAAAATGACCTCGTCCTGTGCTATCGAATAATTTTCCAGCAGAGCTATCCAGTCAAATTTCTTAAACTTGCGACGCGACCTTCTAGGAGTTCCCACAGGTTCCAGCTCACTAGATTTAACAGCGTAGGAGATACCCCTAGGTCTATCTTTTCACGACGCATCATAAAACTATGGAATTCACTTCCGCCACCTCTCCTCTTGAACCCTCCGACCAGCGCGAAACGCTTTAGGAAAAGTCTTGAAACCCTTCCCCTAGCCCATAATCCCTCCTAAGCAAAAAACCTATTATCCCCGTCCCTCGTCTTTCACCCATGTTTTTTTTTCACTTTACGTGTTTATCATTTTTTGCCTACGTTATATTACCCGGTTGAATAAACCATTCATAAAACATGGCGTTCGAGGAAAAAGCGGTGAAGGGGCACGTACTTTTGGTCTCTGTCCGCGTCATGCTGTCGTGTGCCGTATCGGTGGTTTGTCGTGGAGGTCGAGGGTCGATGGCGTTGTCGTAGCTCGTGCACGCGGCCTGTCGCCACGCGAAGACTTTTTGCCACCGAGTTGACAGACTAAAAAACATGCCCTTAAGTAAAAAACTTAATTCTCAGTTGCTAAATTTAAAAATGCCCAAGTTGAGAAAATAGAAAGTCATAATGTCCACTTCTTAAGTTCGACTTGATAATGGGGACAATTTTGGCATAATTTTTGAGGGTTTCCCGGGAAAAATGTTCATCGTAATTTTGGGCATTCCTAATTTCGATAGCAGGTCTCAAAAACAACCTCCTCAAATCGTTCGATGATGCGCCGCATGCGCTGGGCCAGCTTTTGCTTGAGTCCGAGCCCGTCGCGATATGACTATGAAGACAACAATGTATTTAAATTTCATTCGATAGCTACCTGTTCACGGGGCTCGTCGACCACCGAGTTGACGGTGTCAACAAGCGTTGTGACGCGGTCGACGACCTCATGTGGAGAAGACGCCGTCTTCGTCCATTCCAGAATCTGCTTCAAACACATCGTTTCCTGGGCGCAGTACGGCCAAATGTCACGCATAGCCTAGAAAAGTGCAATTAGTGGCGCATTGGAGCGCACGTTCAGGCTCCTGCCTCGGATATAACCGAAAGCACCTATTCAATCGGCGCTTCTCATTTTCGCGTATCTTTCCGCGCAAATAGGCGTATATTATATGCGGCGCCGACGTTAAAACGTACGCTTTAAACCCAAGAAAAGAGAAGCAAACAAAACGCACCTGGGTAGGGTTGTTCCGATCCACGAAATGATTTGCCACATTCTCACGCATCAGGTCGGCAAGCACGCGCTGCGTTTCCAACACCCATCCGGAAGGCTGTGCCAAGGCAGTGCTGGTCGATGGCTGAGCGCGTGCCGCATCCGCATTGGCCGCTGCTCGATTCGCCGGCTTCCTCTTGGGCATGTGCGCTTGGAATTGTGCGATTAGCTCCGTTTTTTCCATATTTCTGGTCGCTTCGATGACGTCAGGCAGCTCGGCGCCGTGCGGGTCGCTGCTGAACTTGATCAGCGCCATCGCGAGAATCAGGGAGCTGTAGACGAGCGTCGAGCCGGGGTCGTTGAACTTGTCGGCGCTGATGTAGATGTAGCACGCGTCGAGATGCATCGCTTCCAGACGGCGATAGTAGTTGTTCTCCAGGCGCATAGCGATCGTCTTCAAATCCGAGGGATAATCGACGATTCGCGGATAATCCGGATGTTCATCGATGGGCACCGGATCGTAGAAAATGCGCCAATCGGGCTCGGCCTCGAGGTAGGCGATGCCCTCGCGAATCTTTCGGACGGTCAGATCGCGCTCGTGCCCGAGTTGGCGCTGGACGGCAGACGCTTGGCGAGAGGACATCGGCTCGGCAATGCGTCCCCTCGAGGGCCAATCTCCTGGGCGAAGCGGGCACACGGCCAGAGCGGCGAACTCGTCTTCGCTGAGGGCCGTTTCGGATCTTCGATTCTCGCTCAACGGTTGCACATCCCACGGCGATAGCTGATCGTCTTCACCGGAGGTCCATTTCACTTTCAGGCAATTCCACGACGATCTGGGGAACTCGGGTTGCATCGGCTCGCGCACCGACACTTCCCCGACGTACCATTTTCCCTCGAGCTCGGCCTCGATCAGGTCGCCAGAATCATAGCGGTGCTGGATGCTCGCGTCGTAGATGTGGCGTAGGACGATGAAGTCGGCGACGTGGTGCAAATCGTGGTATTTGATGGTCCACGAGAAGTCGGTCAGCGCATACGTGTCCCGGTTGCAACGCGTCAGCTCCACGACGATCAAGCGATATGGTGTTGATGTGTAGCGCACGTCCGTGACTCGGCAAAATTCTTCGGGCTCCAGATCGTTCCTGAAATAAAAAAGGTTCCTTATTGTTTCCAAGATCTGCGAGCAGCACTAACTTGTTTTTTCTAAGACCAGAAAGTAAGTGTTTATATAGTTTCGCTATTTTTTTTTACTATTCGTCGACGCAAAGATTGATTAAAATCACCAAAGATATCGGATTTCAGACAACAATTTGAAATTTTTTCCAACTCTAAATAGTTTTGCTACTTCAAATGTAGCTCAATATACTAAAAAGTCTATTAAAATGCTTGCGTTTCCCTGAATATAGAGCAAAAATCTACCTTGGATACATTCTCGGTGTGACGTCGTAGGTGCGGCTTTGTTGCACGCCATTGAGATAGGCGCTGTGTCCTTGTCGGAAGTAGACGACATTGTCCCCGGGCTGTGCAATGTAGGGGAAACGTCGGGGCACCGTCTTGCGCGACCATTCCGGGAAGTTGGCCGCCCAGTCGCGGAGGGGGGTCGTGTTGTTGCCAGAATTCGAGGGCTGGCTGCGATCATTGGTACGGGCTCGCCTCGTCGTCCGCTCTCGCGCGGGCCTGGCGGCAGCCTGGACGCGGCGTGTCTAAAATAATAATTTCAAGTGAGAATGGGTTGGCCCCGTCTGGAAGCCGTCAGACTACCAAGTTTCCAGAATAACGAATTTTCATATTATCGTTTTACCACAATCTCTAAATCTCCATAAGCTATAGGCCCCATAGACGTCCAATTATCAGGAATGCCTAAATTTGGTCCAGAATATGGAAATTTTGAGATTCTAAAAGTTCCGTTTTTCGAAATTCGAGAGTCTGTAAATTCGAGAATACGATAAGCTATGCAAAAAACTGACCCGCTCTTCGTCTTGTCGTCGGCGACGCTCCTCGTTCTGACGGCGAAGCATGTCCTCTTGGCGTCGCGTTTGGCCGCGCACTGGGCTGCTGGGTCCCGGCTCGTTCGGGTCGTCGTTAGTCTGTTTAGCGGGTAAAAATTGCAGCAAAGAAACGCCCTACCTCCGCGTCAACGAGGCGTTGTCTTCTTGCACTCCGTTCGCCCATCGAGAAGTCAGTGTCGCTTGTGCTGGACCCGGAATCACCATCATCGTCTTCTTCCTCTTCGGAGGCGCTCCTTTCATCGTCGTCTGACCGCTCCCCACCTTCATTATCAGACCTAAGACAAAGATCATGAAATAGTTGAACCATAGATACCTAATTGGGACATCGCGAGTGTCCTCATCGGTGGCGTCCACTTCTTCGCCGTGACGTCGTCGGTGTCGCGCACGGCGAGCTGCTTGCGCTTCACGCAGTCTTGCTTCATGGAAACGGAAGCTGGAAACGAAATTCTGGGAACAACTATTCTAAAAACCTTTCAGCAAGCCGATCGGCAAAATTACGCCTCCCGGCGCCGGGCTCTTGTGATCGTGTAGTTGGGGCAGTCGGGGGAGGCGCTTCGCTCTCTTCTTCTTCACACTCCTTGGAAATTTCGAGCTGGTATATGTCCATTTCTTCATCGCCCATCTAGAAATCAAAGCTCTCGTAAAGCAAAGTAGGCTGCACCTCTTGGATGCGCATTGAGTCTCGGTTCATCAGCTCCTCGCGGAGCGGCGGGATCACTTTGTTCGTCGCCCAGTAGCATTTTAGGTCTTCATCGCGCTGAAAAAATATTCACATTGCTTCAGTGAATAGTCAGCAAGGAACTTTTAACCAAGCAGCTCGATTTTCAAGACGAGAGCTAATTTTCAACACCAATTGACCATAGATGTTCCACCGATAAGAAAATTCATTTCAAAAACAAAAGATGTAATCTTGCATTGTACACAAAAACACTCACCACACTCGGATCGTTCCTGCCGGGGACGATGAGACGCTGAATGCGCTCCTCGTAGATGTTGTCCGACCCGTCTGAGAGCTGAGGTGGGGGTAGGAGATGCGGTGGAAGCCCCGTGTCATCATCCACAACGTTTCCATCGTCGTCCGCAGCCAATACGCTGAAAAGTGAAGTCTTGAAAAACACGTGAAAAACTCACGCGTAGTCACTGGTGAAGAATTGCATTCGGGGTCGCTTGAAGAGCGTGCGGTTCTGTCCCATTCCGTAGAGACTCAATTGACCCTCACCATCAACCTAGAAAAGGACTCAATTTCTGTGACAAAAAATGCAGAAATTACGAAGCGGGTAATAACTTACAACGGCCAGGTGAGTGCCATCATCCGACAACGCCAAATCAAAAAGTGGTGGGCTGACGCCATTCTCAATCGCGTTCTCCCAGCGATTGCGCAGCTTTCCGGTGGTCAGGTCCCACAGCTAAAATGAATACGAAATGAACGGATAAGATGGAACGAATCGAAGAGCAACTGGACACTCACCATTAACGTGCCATCGTGACCGGCTGTGAAGAGGAGATTGTGGTGAAGCGGATGGGGCACCAGCACGTAGCTGACCCCTTGGCCGGCCATCTTGTGGATCAATTTCGCTAAAACGCAGGCTTTCGTGATCAATAAAGCCAACTTTACCCGTGGTGGGGTCCCATACGCGGAAGACGCAGTCATTGCCAGCGGTGACAATCCAGCGATCGTCGTACGACCAGCAGAGCATCGTAATCTACAAATCGCAAGTAATTCTCAGCAATTATACAAAATATATTTACCTTGTATTTGCTCTTGTTCCTTGCGGGCGCTTCGACCGGCAGCGTGATCGGCGCATTCGCTTGCTCGCTTCTAGACAAAATTTATGGGCGACGAGGTCAAAACCCACTTGTCCAGCTTCAGCGTGATGTGCCTCCACTTGCCGTCCTTGACCATCCACACCCGGGCCGTTCCATCTGGCGAGCCGGAAGCAATGCGCATCCCCGAATGAGCCCACACGAGGCTGTCGACACGATCCTAATCCGAAATGAAAAGACAATGCTGTGGAATTACCGTATGCCCCTCTAGTTCGTCGAGCTTCTTCGGCCCGTGTTCATCGACGGAGAAGAGCCGAACACGGGAATGAGAGTCACCAACGGCCACGAATCGACCGCCTAAGCATCAAAATAATCAGTGGGTACGCTGATCAAGTACCTGGAGAGTGCGTCGATGTGCAGAGCCGAAGCCCCGGGTTGTCACGTTCGCAAAAGGATTCGAAACCATCGCTAAAATCATCATATCAAAAATGCAAAATGTCCGTACTAAAACTCCTTCTTGTCGCTATCATATCGGTAGAAGTTGATCGAGCAGTCCCAGCTGGTCGTTATGAACCATTTGATCGGACTTTCGCCAAACGGGAGCCACTAAATAAGAAAATGCTTCAAATCTTTAGGGAATCTACCTTGATCGACGAAATCTGAGCGGTGTGCGGCTTCCAGATCTTCAGGCAAGCTCCCGTCTCGAGGCTCCAGGCTCTAAAATCTGGATATCAATTTGCAAGAGTTTGAAATACCTAATCGTCTTGTCGACACTGGCCGTGATCAGCAGCGTGTTGCATGTCGAGATGCTCATATCGGAGATTTGGCCAGAATGGCCGCGGAGCGTGAATCGAAGCGTGCCTTGGCGAAGGTCCCAAACTTTCACCAGCATGTCATCAGCGCCCTGGAAAAAAGCCAGATTATAAAAGTCCGTCCTCCGTACCGTCAGAATATAGTTCGCCGTCCGATCGATGAGGACACAGTAAATCGGGGCAATGTGGCCGGTCACACGATAATGCCGCTCGACGCCAACCACCCGATTTTGACCACAAATTTGACGAGGGAGTGCGCGGCCACCCATCTCGCGCGCCGCCAGAATCCTAGAAAAATCTGGTCAGGAAATTTGGCAAATAAATTACCTTCGAAACGATGTATTTGGGTCCGAGTTGATGATCATGCCAGATCCCAATATGGCGAGTGAAGGGAAATGCTCGTGGATCGAGTCTGAAACAGAGAATATGCCAATTATTAGCTTTACGTGCTTGACATCACCAAGCGCAAAAATTTACCTGGCTTACGATCGATGGCATTTCGAGGCGGCGCCAAAAGGCCAGGCGGCAGTCCGGCGACGGAAGGAGGGATGGCTTCATTGTTGAGTTCAGCTAACCGGTCAACAAGCGAGAAGAGGTCAGGAATGTTGATCCGGGACTGCAGCTCGTTTACCTAAAAAGATACAAATAATCTCTCAAAGAAACTTCACAATCGAGGAAAGGCCTTCTTAGCAACTCACATATTCTCGATAGCTCCTCTCGTGTTGCCCACCTTGGAAATCATAGCGCTTCGGCGTCACGGCATTACTGACAAGTTACAGTCTCCCTCAAAAGAACGTTACCTGTTCAATTCTTTGCGCAGAAAAGCGCCCACACGCGCGAACGGCCCATGCGTGAGAAAGCGCTCGATGAGGACGTAAAGCTCTGAAAACATTTTTTCAGTATGCCTGTCAGAAACCACTCGTCACAGCAACTACATTCAAAATTTAGGATGGGAACTGACCAAATTCGCCGCCCGTGAGCAGCTCCGTTTCTCGCGGTGGCGCTTGATACGCTGAAGTCGATGGCTGTTGGGGCTCTGGCTCTTCTATTGTCGTGTCCATGAGCTACCTGCAAGAAAAGAGTAACTTCGTAGGCAACGGGTTTTTACGCAAGAAGAGAAAGTAAAACCAATGTTGCAGAATTTGCAAAGCTCCAGCTTTCGCTTGAGGATTTCACGGAGTCAGCGCTAGTTTCAGAAAGGCAATCGCCCGCATTTCGTGTCGTGTCCATCTGGTCAATGGAACGGCGGGCAGTTGGTGCATACAACCCTGTGAGAAACTCGCCCAGCGCTGACCTGCAGACACACAGAGGGATCGGTGCAGCAGCGTACTAGAAGATAAGAAATTGCTTCGTAGGATGGGCTTCAGTACTAGAACTGTACAGAAGTATGACCCTAAGATGTTGATTTGACAGCGCGCATCGGCCAACGACATTCCGGAATTCCGAAGCTAACCAAAAATCAGGAGCTAATTGCAATTGTAACAGCGTGGTTTCGTAGTCGCAAAATTTAATAAATATTTATCTAAGACGCATCACATTTAAAACAACACGAAACTTATCGAGACGTGGAAATGGGCGCGGGCAGCCAGGAGAGGACTGCACGCTGTGACACCCATACTAACCGGACTAGGGGCATTTAAAAAGAAAGAAAACGCACAGGTGGGCACAAACATTCTGAGAAGAATAGCAGGAGGATAAACCGGGAGCCGCAAGCGTGCGGTCCCGTAGCACACATCGCAAGTTATATAGGGAGACACACAAATCACATTGGAGCAGGGTACTGTTCGTTTACTAAAATGGCCAAAGCTACACGTTGCCGCGGGAAATATTGGGGGGCCTCAACATCAGTAAGAGCTAGAGAAAGCTGTCAAACTAAGATAAATCAACAACGACAATGTGGTGAGGCCATCAGAAAACGCACACGGGGAAGAGATTGAAGGCGAGTGTGGGTAAAGGCAATTTTCATTTGGAGGGCGGTGATGAGGGCGATTATGGCGAGATATATACCTCCAGATGAAAGCCCGCGGACCAATTAATAAGTAGCTCCCTCGGACGGCTGGGACAGCTTCAGGTTCTCCTTGGCAGTCATCATGTTCTTGCGAATGTCTTCGAGCACGTTCTTGATGTACAATGTAGAATTCCAGCTTCTCAGGGTCGTCAGATAGCGCTTTTCGATCTAAAATTGAAAATAGAGAGGCAAAGAAAAGGTTTTCGATTGCCGTGGAAACTTAGGACAACTATTACACAAATTCTAAGTGGTACCGACCATGCCGTTCGACTGATTAACGCCGTTCATCGTGATCTTGGTCGTGAAACGGACAGCCGGCGGCTCCCTGGGATAGTTTGGGCCACACTCGATTCGCAGATTGTAAATCCTTGATTCGAATGGCGTCTAAACAAGAAGAATTAGTTGTAAAGCACGCTTTCGGGCAAGATGGTGAAAAGAAAGAAGCTTACCCTGCTAGGTCCAATTATCGTTCCGGTCCATCGAGAGAGCGTCATGTCCGAGTCATCTTCAAGGCCCCACGAAATGTTGCCGTCGCCCTTGCCCTTCTGACCATCCTCCAGCTCTTCCAGGAGACGGAAATTGCGAGGGACGTCAACTAAAACAAAAATTAAGTAAGGGAATAGGATAAAATAAGACAAAGACAAAAGACTTCAAAACAGACACCCACCCATGATGTTTCTGCTTTGATGTGGCGGTAGATTACCTGAAAAAAGTGGATAAAACAAAGTCAGGAGATGTTTGAGGGCGAATTGGAAAACGAAATAGATAAACTATAACTAATTAGTGGGGCCTGCTATCTTTACGCCATATAATCAAAAGGTTCAACAAGTTACTCGGGCTGGTCTGCTACATCCACTAGAATCATGAGCGGGACAAGGACGACCGGCGCGGAATAGGGGAGTGGTTGTATGCTCAAGTCAAAAACCGTCGAATTGGGGGGGGCATGTTCTAAAGTAAAAACTTTCAGTAACCAGACCAGCATAACCGAAAAAGGCGAAAGAAGCAGAATTGGAATCAAGCTAGCGAATTCCGGATATTTCGAGGGCCAACCGTTATTAGTGTAGTTTGGACCCGTTACGCTATTACCATTATAATGGAAGTGATTAGTGTCAAATGTTAGCATCTACGAGTCGGCTCTTCTTTCGAACTATTCGGTACGAGACAAATTGCAAGTAAAATCATTAGCTATTCCAGGATGCGGGCAGCCGTTCTTCACGAATTCGGCCCGGCGGAGAATCTCCGCATCGAGGATACGGTGACCAAACCGGCTGAGCTAAAGGACTCAGAGGTAATTCTGCAGAATCTATTATCTATTACAGAATTACCTCCTCCAGATCTGGAGGCTTTTAGTTCTGGAGTTCTTCAATAAAAACCCCAAATTCTCTAGGTCCTCGTCAAAATAGCTTGCTCGGGGGTGAATCCGGTGGATACCTATCTACGTGCTGGTCTGTATCCAGTATTGCCAAAGCTGCCGTTCGTCACCGGTCGCGACGGAGCTGGGGTCGTGGAAGCTGTGAGCTAACAAGTCCGCTATGAAAATACGTTTCAGGTGGGAGTCGCCGTTACAAATGTGCGCGTGGGCGACCGGGTCTGGGTGAACAGCGGAAAAAATGGGACGGCCGGCGAGTACTGCATTGTGGATAAGGTAAGTTTCGGCCAACACCAACCAGAGCGGAAATTTGCGAAGGTTTGTGCGCTTCCCGACGACGTCACTTTCGAGCAAGGAGCCTGTTTGGGCGTCCCATACCTAACCGCATACACGGCGCTTTTTCGCCAAGGAGGGGTAAACGCCAAAGGTGAAGGTGCCAAGGTAATTTTCAATAGGGATCGAACCCTCAACATTTTAGAAAAAACTGCTAGTCCATGGCGCTTCCGGAGCAGTCGGGTTGGCGGCTATTCAGCTGGCTGCTGCTCATCCTCAATCCTTTTCGGTTCGTTTCCGTGGTTGAGGCGCAACCTTGTGCAGGTCGTTGTTGGCACGGCAGGCAGCGAGACCGGGCAGAAGTTCGTTCAAGAAAACGGTGCGAGCCACTGTGTCAACCATCGCGAGGACGGTTACCTTGCAGAGCTAAAGAAATTCGACGGTACCACCGAATCTAGAATTGCACTCCTCTTTCAGGTTTCGACGTAATTCTGGAGATGAACGCGCACTTGAATTTGAACAAGTCGATCGAGGTGAATGATAAATGGTTGCGATAAATCCTTGAGCTTAGTTGCTTGCCAAGGAAGGACGAGTCGTTGTTATTGGGAGTCGCGGGCAAATCGATTTTGACCCTCGTTCGCTGATGAAGAAAGACGCTGCGGTCATTGGTAGTTATTTCACTGTTCATTGACAGCTCTTCAATTATAGGATGCGGGTTGGCCAATTCGCTTGACAAGACGTTCCCGCATTATTCTGCTGCCATCACGCATTTCTTGAAGACGACTGACTTTCGTCCCCGCGTGGCCAAGGTGTTCGAGCTGTCCGACATTTCGCAGGTAATAATCTCGAAGGCCAATAGACCAGACAATCTTAGGCGCATCAATTGGTGACCGCTGGAGGGCCCGCGAATGGCAAAATCGTCGTACGTGTGGCAAATACATAGTACATATTGGCTACGACGACCAAATTATGATATGCTCAATACCCATTCCAGTGTATTTTCGGAAATAAAAACACAATCATTTATTATACAGTGAACCACGGACTGCAATGCATGTGACAAATAGGGAAAAACGAGGGGTTAGAAAAGCACAGAACTATATTTAGTTGGAGATCTTTTTCTCGGGAATACGTATTTCATCAGTGCTAAGACACGTACCATGAGAGAACACGGAAACACAAAAGAGGGAGAGATTAGAAGATTTTTGCAGAGATACATTGGCTGAGCTTCGGCCCTTCCGTGATCTGGATCGTATCGAAGGGAACGGCCTAAATGAACAAGTGAAGAGCATCAAATTTCAAGCTACCTGTTCGACCTCGACGGCATCCCATTTTTTGAGCACGAGCAGCGAGTAAAAACTCTGAGCAGCTAGCTTGGCCTTTGTCGTGGTGGGCACAATATCGGTGAAGGTGCACGAGCTGGAAACCTTCAACTTGCTGACCACGTCGTTGAGGAGGGATGACGTATTACTCGCGACGCGTTCGATTTGTTCGGGCGTCATATTCTCCTTATTCTCGATAACCTAAAGAAAAAATAAACTACAACTCGGCAATAACCTCATCAAGATCAGGCTCGGCGTTGGCTTCGCGCATCCGCTTCGGCTCAGGCTCATCGGCAAGGTTATCAGGGTACAGCTCCCCAAATGGTGTCCGATCGGCTGCTCCGGGGCCAAAATTCGGGTCGGCGCTCGGTTCAAGTAAGCCCAAGGAGTTTTCGTCGAACGGCTGCAGGCCCATCGAGTCGTTCACCCAGTTCTCTGTTTCAGGAATTGGGTCCAAGGGCTTGTCGTCGAGAACCGAATTCTAAAAGCAAGGATAGGGGAAACCGTGTTTGTGACTGCCCGGAAACAAGTGTTTTGGATAAAAACGCACCCTCATCACGCTGCTTCGCCCCGATCGCAAGTCGATATCCTCGGCACGTGCCAGCTCGAGCTCGAGACGCAAATCCGCATGCTCAGACTCGATCGACACGTCGTCGCGAATGCGGACGGTGAGGAAATCCTGGTACCCCTAAAATACAATCGTTTAACAGGGGAACCGCGTAGCTTACATGGATTAAAGTCTTCGATGCCATATCAGAGCCAGGGACACGCAGCAAACGGGCAACATTTCCGCTTTCACGCAAGCGCATCAAGCGGCCTAAAATGTAAAAACTTTGGAAAGACCGATTGCTCATACGAGTAGGCGGGGCCATGTCGAGAGGCTGTAGAATATCTTCATAGTCATCCATATTTTCCTTCATTACTTCGGCACTAAAGACAAATATCATGAAACATCAAAACAACAAGGTAAGCTAAGGCGCACCCAGCCTAAGACAATATTTTACCTAAGGGCCAATTCTTGATCGATAATGAGACGACGCTTGCGCTTGCGAGCTGGCGCCTTCTGCGGCAGAGCGCTCTGCGACACGGGGCCCAGTTCGAAGGACGACTGCGATGTGAGATCAGCTGAAATTAAATACATATAATATCCGGTAAATCGAGACTACCATCGTCGGCTGGTTGTTGCTCTTCGACACCTTCCATGGGGACATCTTCCGTAGGGAAAAGGCTGATGTTGTTGAAGGTATCGTGCCCGAGAAGATCTCCTATAAATTGCATTGCTAAAACATGATCCAAATAAAAAACCTTGTTCAAATCCAGGGGGCAGCGGCTCGCCCATGCCATCATCTCCCGAAAAACCGAGCAGATCCGAATGGCCAAAGATGTCGGCCCCAAACGGCTTGACGGCTTCGTCGAGAGCGATCGGTTCGATGGCACTCCTGGAAAGGTGGACATTTTCGATTGATCGCTGCTGCTCATGTATAATTTATTGCTCAAAATATACCGTGATCCGTTAGCCTGAAGCGGATTTCGTAACTGCTCCATCACTGAGCTGGCCCTGGATGTGGAGATGCCGATTGCAGACAGTTCGTCTTCGATGCCTCCAGGAAGATTCGACTCGCCGAAATCGTCCATCATTCCAAAATCGGCGCCGAATGCAGATCGTTCTTGATATTCGTCGTTCATCGTGATCACCTCGAAACGCCCCTAAATGAATATCATTGAATACCAAAAAAAGAGGAGCGTACCTGATCATCATCAAAGTCGTTCTGCTTCTCGAATTCTTCGGCCTCAACCAGATCTTTCTCGAGGGAATTGTAGTGTTCGGGAAGGGTGATCATCGGTAGAATAGAGTCAATCGGTGCCTCGGCCTCGTATTCGATCGTCAAACCGCCGGGATCCGCGCGGAATGCCATCTTGATCCGGAGAAGCGCCTCATTGCAATCGGCCAGCAGGTATTTCGTCTTCCTCGAATAGATGCGGACGATGCCGAGTAGCAGGTGACCGGTAGTTCGGAGCGCGATTTTGACCTAAAAAGGGAATTACAACTGAACATGATAGAGTTCCTTACCTTTGGCTTCAGAATCTCATTGACAGCTTCCTCAACATTCGTCTCGGCAATCTGATTCCTGTTGAGCTTCTTTTCCCAGTGTGCTGCTAGCCAGATCTTCGCCAACGGGCCCTTTTTGGAGAGCACGAATTGGGCGTAAAACATCTGAAAAGGTGCGTTCAACGGGAAGTAATCGAAATACAGGCATAAGAAGCTAAAGCAAAGAGCATCGAAAACCAATTAACATCTCTGAAGGCGCCGAATACTGTTCTCGAGCCTTTGCTTGCCGTTTTGTTGTTGCGTAGAGCCGAAATGCCGCCGGCAAAAATTTGCATCCCGCGCCGGGCGGCTAGGGTCATACGGTTACTGGGGCACCGCATAGGCGGTCAAAAAACACCGAAAAGCCGACATGGGTAGAGGGGCGCTGCACTTTGGCAAAAGAAGAAAGCAAGGTCGATTGATGTATGAAATTTTTTGTACTTTATATATAGGCCGCAAATTTGTAAATTAGTTACAGTTGGAAGATTATCGAACAATCACTGCCCAAGATCACAAATTGAGAATGAAAAATCGCTTGACATCGCTAGTAGCCATCGTTCGACCAGGTGACCTCGCAATCCGGGAATGCTTTCTTCAGAATATCCACGGAAATCTCATGGTCGGCTTTGCCAAAGCCCTGAAAAAGTTAAAGTTTTCGAAGAGTTAGCATACCACTGAGTATCCATAAACAAAAATCGATTTAGCATCAGGATTGTGCTCAATTCGGCCACCGCCGACGCAATCCATCTTGAAATCCTAATACCAAGTGAATGAGTGATTTCAGCCTTGCCTGCGACAACTTCGTCCGCACTTCGTCGCAAATGTCCGCGTGGTATGGATGCCGCTTATAACCACGGACGATGAACTTTTGTTCTTTCGTGGATTTCTCTATCACCTAAATGATCCATACAGAAGGGAGAACCGCAACTTACTTTAATGAGGACGTATTTGAATTTGCCTTTGTCATCAATATCCGCATCTTGCACGACATCAAGCCCCATTTGATCTGAATAAATTTATCTAGTCGTCTCAGTTCATAAAAAGGATCGAAAGCAATGGAATGTATAGTGAACTTCCAAGATAAAAAATAAATCTTCATCAGACATAAGAGTTAAATAATAAGCTTCCTGAAGGTGACACCAGCGGACAATCGGGGAAATTACTAGTTTGGGGCAAATACGACTAAATGTCGTACGACAAGTTCTATTATGAGCCAAGCACGCTAAAGCAAGATGAGAAATACTTTAATGATATGTGTAGCATAAACAAAAAGGCGATACGAAGGAGAATGGGTGCAACGGTAACCGGGAGGCTGAAATCACAATCTGTTCAGGTTCTCCTGAGTTTTGATTAGACAAACTGGTTAAAATTATCCAAGGTAGGCGTGATTTTACATGTAGATAGTGGAAATAACAGAAGGCATAAACGCAGTGCCTAAAGTAATTAAATAGTCCTTCGCTAGTTCAGTAGAGCCGTTGAGGATTGGCGACCGAAGCCGGTGATCGATTCGACATTCAAGTCGGATTCCCATCGATCATCATCTTGTTTCCATGGGCATTCGTCTCAAGCCACTCCAAATCTTCGCAACCAGTCAGGTCCACAAAGTGGTCGGCAATGTCCTCGTCAGGCTTCTGCGTCTCGAGTTGCACCCGCTCCAGCGCCTTACGTAAATGCCTCGATTTTGCTTTGCGCAGCGAGGACTTTTCGAGAAAATACTGGGCAGTTGGACGGTCGGCTGGGTCGAGGGCCACGCATGATGCTACGAGCCAGTGCAAATCCTTCGTGAAGGTACGATTGTAGTGAGCCGTCCTTTCCACAACGTTACAAGCCTCCCCGGTGATCGAATCGAGTAGACAAGGAACTGTGCCTCCGGTCTGAAAAACAACTTCATAACTCAAAATAGTGAGAAGACATTATCGCACTCTTTCTCCAAACTTTGCATACCTTTTCGGCCAGCAATGTGAATGGGTCCATCTCCGTAAAGGGCCCGGCTCCATTTGCCATTTCGCACAGCGTGATTCCCACGGAATAAATATCCGAAGCAAGACCGTAGCCGTCTATGTCCTGCGATATTATCTCTGGCGCTAGCCAAAGAAGACAATTTTCCAACTGTGCATCGTAGGCATGGGTCACAGCATCGTAATCAGGCCTGTTTTTCGCTGTATGCTTCAGGTGAACAGAATGCCTGAAAAAATATTGCTAAAGTAATCAGTAATATCTGTCCACCTGAAACCGGTCAATTTGACGCCAGACTTCGAGTCAATCAAGATGTGGCAGGCACGGATGCCTCGATGGACAACATTGCGCGCATGCATGTAGGTGAGGGCCTTGAATAGTTGCTTCAAAATGATGCGCAACGCCGGCTCGGGAAGTCCCAACGGATAATAGTCCTTGATGACGTTAGTTGCTGCTCTAAAAGTCATTAGAACCCAATAATTTCAATTCACTACCTCATATCGGCGAGATCAGTGGTAAGACAAAGATAAGGGCCGGCAACGGTAGAAGAGTGAAGGCGAAGGATGTAGGGATGAACCAGCCGGCGAAGCCACTCGACCTGAAAGCATTGTATGTTCATCATAGTCATCGTAAAGTTAACCCCAAACTCGCGACCGTACTTCCAAAATATTAACCTCGTTTTTCAATCGCTCATATCCCGCAATTTCCAATTCCTCGCCGTCAATCAGCTTGCATGCGATCGGCGCACCCTGAAGCCGTCCCTCGTAGATTTCTGCATGTTCACAAAACTCTGCGATGATGCGCCGTCGTAGAATTATCTTCTCACGATTCAATGTTCTCAACGGCATCCCTGTCAGTGTCAAACTGCATCATCGCCAAAATTCGAGCTCCGAATAGACGTAAACTTGCAGGTAAGCAATGCGGTGTCCAGCCTATAGCGTCGAGAAAATCGAAAGATTTCCCAAATATTTATGCACAAGAAATAGACATTTTGTTAAAGTTATTTTTCTTGTTTCCGCGTGCTCGGAGAACGTTTGACGAGTTGAGTTCCAGCTTCCTAAATACGAAATTTTGGAAGATCTCAAACTTCTACCATTTTGGGTCGGCTTCGATCAGCCAGCGACCACAAATTCTTCTGAAGTTTTCCCCCATCCGGAGCCGGATAGAGGGTCCATAGCTAAAATTTTCCCCAACAAAGTTTTCTATGAATCAAAATCTTGTTTTTCGGTTGTTTTCGCCAATCCTTGCAAAAACTTCAAAAGACCTTGACCTACAAACTCCAAGTAAACAATGTGGTTTATTGTTGTTCGGGCTTCTCCTGCATTACACCCATTTTCGAAGTTCCCGCGCCTCGTTGTAGCGTCGCAAGACCATCTTCTCTCTCGCTAGAGAGAAGAGAACGCTATTGGCAGGCCAGCCAGCAAAAAGACATTGTTTTGATCATAAAATTTGTTTTTTTTGCAAATTAATTTCGATCGATACTATCATCGGCTTTTTTGGCTTCAGACGAAGCATTCCTCTGAACGCGCAAAACGGCTGGGGCAACGTTTTTCAGTATTTCGACTTTTGACAAAAGTTTTAAACAATTGTCTACGTAGCAACTTTATTACACTCATCACAATTCTTTCATCTCATCGCTTTTTCTCTGTGCCAAACCTCCGAAAATTTTCCTTTTTGAGATGGGCGTCGACATCAACACCGTCAAGGCCGGAGACGGCGCCACCTTCCCCAAGACCGGGCAGACCGTCTCGTGCCACTACGTCCTCACGCTTGAGAATGGAAAGAAGGTACGAAACATTTTTTTTATGACATCGGGCTATTTCTCATCCATTCTCCTTAAAAACTTGAATAAACTTTCAACTTTCTTTTTCAAAAATGACCTTTTATTATCCATTTTTAGATTGACAGCTCTCGCGACCGCGGCAGCCCTTTCAAGTTCAAGATCGGAAAAGGCGAGGTCATCAAGGGATGGGATCAAGGCGTTGCCCAGATGTCCGTCGGCCAACGTGCGACCCTGACCATCAGCTCCGACCTCGGATACGGACCCGCCGGCATCAAGGGCACCATCCCACCGAACTCTACCCTCATTTTCGACGTGGAGCTGCTCGGTGTTAATTAAATGTTGGTTGATTGATCCTCTTTCCGTCTCCTTCTCTTAAATCTGGTAATACTGTTGATACTCCCTTCGTAGCCGATCTTCTTTTGTAATTTATTACTCTACGCTTTATGTTTCATCTGGAACGTTTTGAATAAACAAACGCTTGATCCCCGTGTAATAAACACCAGATATGTACGAGAACCTTTTACACGCCAATTTTATTTCCAATTTTACAAGGTTCTCGGGTCGAGTTCGACGGGCAGCGGCCGTTGGGGAACCTTGCTGGGCAGCGGTGGAGCTTTTTCGAAGCCATCCATCTCCTCGTCAGAAAGAGAATCACGGCGTTTCTGAGAAATCATGGTTGCGATGGATGGACGAAGGGTTTTTGTAATGAGATTTTGCTCACCTTCGGGAAAACGGTCTTTCTGGTTTTCCAGCCAGCAAACATGCAGAGCATTAGAAAGAACGACGCAACCTGAATAGGTAAATATCTGTGTGTTATAGAGTTCCGGTAATCTGGTCGGGTGAAGAGCTGGTACCTCTATACAAGAGATGACGGACAGGCCGAGCCAAAGTCCCGCTTGTCCGCCAAGGTCGTTGATCGCTGCAGAAACCTGGAAATGTAAATTTATTATCTCCGTTCAAACGCATCACTCCATTCACCCACCGAGTAAGCCGCACTTTCCGTGTAGACATTATAGATCAGATCGGCAAAGTAGATCTGGAGAATTAGAGCGTTATTTTGATACCATTCCCTATAACGCATGGTTGTATCGGAGCCTAGTGGAAAATTGCTTTTGATCTGAATCACCAACCGACAAGCTTCTTGCATCAAGCGAATCACTGTAGTGTTCGTCGACTGGGCGTTAAATGGATCTGTGTGCCCGTCGCAGCCAAATGTCTAAAGGTTTAGGCATTGTAAAAAGGACGCCAAGGAAAAATTTTGGATTTAGAAAGTCACTTACTGTAACTATGAACCCTGGTGGTTTTGTCTCTTCTTCAACAGTAGTCGTCGATTGTTCGGTTGTAGCATCAGTGAACGCGGTGGTTGCAGTAGCCCCAGAGTTTGTTGTAGAGGAAGGTGTCGAGGACCACCTTCAACGAGACTAACTTATAAACCGAGTTAGCGCACTTTGATCCTACATATCAACCTACCAAGAAGGCCACGTCCACCCGGCGGCTGTTGTCGTCTTCTTTGTGGTCTTAGTTTTCGGCTTCTTGGTCGTCGTTTGAGACGGGGATTGGCTAGGCGAGTCCGGGGTCGCTGGGTAGTAGATCAACATGGGGTATCGACTCAGCGACGCTGTAGTGGAGTATTTCGTCTCCTCGCACGCCGGGTCGCAGCCACATTTTGTCAACGGGTCCATGTTTGGAGCATCTTTGTTCTCCTGGTTTCCCTTTAGGGCGGCTAGGCACGTAGCTAAAAACGTGGGAGCATAATTGTGATAAGCAAAATGCTCGTCTACCCTTGTCGAGCCCGCAATAACTTTGTGCGTCGAGTTTTGGAAGTCGCGGGCTTGCACATCCACATTGCGCCACGTTATCCCTGAAAAATACGCATGGAAGAATAAAAAAAACCCATAACCTACTCTTGGATGCAGCCCGCGATACACGTGTCCATGCTGTGCTTGACATCGCCGAAATACGCCTCAGAATAGGCGTGGTGGTCGATGCAGTGGCCGTAGGGTCGTTCGGCTCGGTGTATGGATTCCTAAGCTACGTGTTGATTCAATAGAAAAAGCTGGGGCACCCACATAGAACATTCCGATCGAAGTCTGGTAGCCGACTCCGGCGCTGAAGCCGTACGAGTCGAGGTCGATGATCGAGTCCCTATCCGTCAGCGCCACCCGCGCCCCAGCCACATCTAAATCAAATACGTGTATTGGGTTTTAATGGCGTACCCGAGGTGGGCAAGAAGTCGGGCAACAGCTGCGTCCCGCCGGGTTTTTGTTGCTAAAAAGAATTTAGGATTTCAGCGCAGAAAACTTACATTGACAGTAAGCAGTAGCTTCAGCCCGTATTTCATCCCAGGTCGCTGCACCGTGTAATTTTGCGTGGCCGCCGGAGTGTTGAACGAGAAGCAGCGCCCGTACAATGGGTCCACGAATTCGACAAAATCGTCTCTGAACGATGTTTCGGCGTGCTTTAGGTTACTTGGAATAAAGAATTGCGTCCAACTCACTTATAGCATGTCCTAGACGAGAAGGTACATTCGGTGATCAACTCCTCGAAGGCGTACATGGCCCCGGTCAAAGTGTTGCCCATCGATCTGACAAAGGGAAGGGGCGATCCAATAAAAACGAAGCCGAACCTGCCAAATGAAGCCAAGATATCTCGCGCCAATTCTTCGCGGTCGTAGCGATATTGTAGAGCCTAAAAAAGGTATGAGGATTCCTAAATACCTACCAGAAGACCATAGGTGTCGGGCAGACCGGTCGTGTCCTGGTTCATCACCTTTAGGTAGTGTGCCATAAAATCGGCAACTTCTTGGTATTTAGAATCACCCTATAACTCTATATGATTCAAGAGGCCTATGTCAATTCTGCTTTTACTGCCCGTTTGCACTAACCTGAATGACGGTGTATTTGTACGGATTTGTGTTGCACACCGTAACCACCGGAAATGGCTGAAGAATAAGTTAATTCACTGAATTTCAGGATACCAGCGCGCTGTAGTAGATTTCCGTGTCGATACGGGCCGGCTTTTGGAGGTACTTGATGAGGATGATGGCGAACTCGTAGATGAAGAATATAAGGAGCACGATGAAGACGATCAGCCAGAAAAGAAAAGCCGGTCGGGAGCTCGCCTCGGCAATGTGGCCCAGGCCACATACCTGTATTATGCTTGAAGGTATTTGGAAGGTAGAGGTAGGAGAGAGTGCGAGAGAGAGAGAGCGAGAGAGAGAGAGAGAGAGAGAGAGGAGACGGTCTCCAAACTAACCGTAGTCCACTGCGCAAAATCCTTGAAGAGACTTTTAACCAATGTATTCCTAAAGGGACAAACAATTGTAGCTTCAGTCAACAGTACTTCTTCTTTTTGGGCGCATACTTCGAATCGGACGGCTTCCGCTTCATCGAATTATGGGGCTCCATTACTTTTTCCATTCTAGAAGATGCTCTAAAAGGTTTATTAAGCTGTAGTTTTTATAGTTGGAGTAGGGGCTTTGTCCCTTTAGAGAAACCTGCGAAAAATCGGGGCATAAACACGGACGGGGTACGTGCGCGCGCCCTGACAATGCCATCAGAAATTCCAACGTTCCCGGGTTGCAAAACGCCACGGGGCGGATCCTCTTCGCACATCCTCGACGCCGCCTTCTTCGAAGTGCGCGGGCTCAAAAATTCACGGAATTTGGAAGACCGAAGAATGGGCACGCGGCACATCTCCCCGGGTGACTCGAGGGACAAAAATGGAGTCCAGCCAGGTGGGTTACGGTCGGACAATGGGGGATCTCGGCACAAAAAAAAACCGGGACGAAAACAATCCCTTCTTGTCAGCACCAATTGAGGGGACCCGGAAGCTGAATATTGTGCCGCGATTACATAAGACCCCTCCGAAAAATCAATCTGCCGAAATACAGAAAATTCCAGTGGCGACCCGGCGACCTTAGAATAGATCGATTTCGAATCGGACTAAAAAATTCGAATAGATCAAATTTCGAAGCGATCCCCCAACTTCTGCGCCTGTCTGTGCCTTTCTTTGAATTTCGCTCTTTAAATTCTGCGTCGCAAAGCACTTTATCAACGCAAAACAAAAAAACTACCAGCTACAAAAGGCGCTAAGGCAAAAAAAGTGTGAGCAACGTGAATTAACCTGGGGAATCCGATAAAAGAAGGCCACAGCCCGAAAGAGCCAGAAAGTAAACAATAAACAAGAAAAAAGCCTAGACAGTGGTGTATGAATTGTAGATCACCCCGATCAGCGACAGCGAGAAGTTGATCCCGGTGGTGACGACGAGGGCGAACGACCAGACCGCCTTGCAAACCGTCGCATCGAACAGGACGCGCAAGGCCAACTGAAATTTCAGATTTGATAAACTTCAAAACATAGTAGAAAAAAGGTACGAAAGATTTACGGACCTGTGGACTGCCCTTGATTTCCTCCGCTTTCGGTTCAACGACGTCGGCAGCGTGCCCGAGCCATGAGAGATCGGCTGGAAACCAAACAGGTTTTTTAATGGCGTTTGAATCACCTGTAGATTTCAGCAGTAAAGCAAAGAAGAAGGAGAGCAGCACCGGCACGAAATACTGGACGACCGCCGCGCAGAAGTATGAATAATAACGGAAGATCTGAATTGGATGATATTGCATCTGAAGTCCACGACGGCATACCATGGTCTGCAGATGGTAGTTCTTGACGTGGCCGGTCTCCTTTTGAAGTTGCAGCAGTTTGTCGTAGCTGAGATCGAGATGAGATTGCAGGTGGACCCGCCTCAATGCCATTCTAAAAATGTCGGATTATGTCATCCAGATTACAAAGCACCTGAATAACAAATATCCCAGGACGAGGTAAACGCGAAGGATCTCCAGCTGAGGCTCGGTCAACCTAAAAGGACCATGTGAATCAATAAAGCATGACCCACAATTTTCGTGGCCCCTCAATCAAGTAGTATTTGACCGGCTTCAGGAATAGTAGAAGGCATAGCGCTGGCATTAGAAAAGAAATGTGTAGTAGAATCCTGCAAAATCTTTCAAAACCTGTAGAAACAACTCACTTGAGCGTCGGGGTGGCCACATTCAACGAACGCGTGTACAACGTTGCAAATCGGAAATTGGGAAAGACGAGCATAGTAGAGAGGAATGAAAAGAAAACCTACAAGGCACGTTGGAAACAATCATAAGCGTACCGATAACGAAATATACAGCATCAACGGGCTCTTAGCTCGGGCATCGATATCCGAGAAGGTTCCAGTCTCCTTGATGACTGCGGCCACTTGTGACGTGAAATGGTCGTAAGCTGGAAAAATCACGTAAATTGCTATTTGAAAATTCTCACCGCCTAGTAAATTGATGTCGAGCAGCCGATCGGCCCAAAGGGAAACCACAATCGAACTGAGGAAGTAGAGAGCCCCGAAAGAAAGGAGAAGCCCACGCTCGTCGGCCGATGCCCAATAGAAAGCAGTCAGCTTCGTGAGGATCTAAAATTTTTATATTTTCAAAACTCCTATTATACCTGTAGGATGAACGCTACGCCGATAATCAGCCACAAAACCGAGACGTTGGTATCTTGGCTAGTGGGGAAGACGAATTTCCAGACCTGAAAACAAGGTACTCTCAGAAAATGGATTACCTCGCTCAGGGTGTAGACAAAGACAGCGAGAGGTGTATATAGGGACATCCAGTAGATGCTTGTGTAAAATTCAAAATTCGTCAGCTCGAGTTCGTCCACCGGGGCCGCCCGTACTTGAAGGCTTGTGGCCAGCAGCTGCTTCGGCACGTTGAACCCTTCGCTATCCTGCTCCTCGCTAAAATATTAGTTGCGAATTCTAGGAGCTTGTGAATACCGTCTTTTACGTCGTTGTCGAGGGTTACCATCCTTTGGCGCCGGCATCAACGCCCGAAGCTGATCATTGCTAGGCGCCAGATATCGATATAACCTATAAATAAGAAGATTAGAGCATAACAACGCGCCAATCTCACCCCCGAATGATGTACCATTTGACGAACGAGACCCGTGACGAACATTTTGACAAGATGCAGACAACAATGAGCGTAACTACGATATGGAAGCCGAGAGCCGCCTGAGAGAGCTTATTGGCAGCAAAAACTCAACATACCATTTTCACTAACAACTAAAACAACTTCCACTCTACCTTCGTGAAGACATCAATTACCTGAAAATCCTCAATAGGTAAGCAGATACTTTTCACAAAACAATTGTGGTGTCTAGCCAATCGAGTGTGCAACGAGAGAGCAGTACAATGTTTATTTGCATGGGGAGCGGTATATACATTTTATTATACATCGTGCAAGAAGTTGATGAAGCTATTATAGGCGCCCTCGAGTTCGAATAGCATTTGTCGGGCTTCGTCCTCACTCAATTGGTCGGCAGCGCTCATCACCGACAGCTTGTCATGCCTGGAAGAAAGAGAATCTTGTCTAATCACGCGGTCTTACCATTTCTTGACCTTCACCTTTGCATCGAAATTCTCAGGCAAACGACTGACAGCACAAATCATCGTATAAAGGTCCTAGGCAAAAATTGTATAAATTCGCGAAAGAGCCTACATTTAGAGAAGGGAAAAGCTCGTCAACTGCCCGTTGCTCCAACTTCAAATGATCGAATACGGTGATGAAAATCTACAAAAAGGATATTGTGAAATTGGGATGATCTTACCTCGACGATACCCGCCACATTTTTCACCAAATTTCCCTTGTCGTCTTTCACCACCACCGGCCTGCCTTCGCGAATTCGTTCTAGCGCTGCCGGGACCTGTAGGCGGTACTTTGAGACGAAAGCTTCGACGTCGGTGCCATGCACAAGCCGCATTGCCACCTAAGCTTTAGAAATTACAAATATCCAATCGATACCTTGTACTGGTCCAACAACTTGAAGCATTCGGTCTTGTACTCATCGGCCGTCACAAAATCCTTGACGAACATCTTCTCGAGGCACTCCAACGCGTTCAACACCTAAAATTGCATCAGATTCAGAAGAAAACCATGCTAAAAACATACCGCAAACAATTCGCCCATATTTTCGACTTGCTCCCGCTCCGCGTTGTTCTCCCACAGTTTCACCTCCCGCATCAGGTTTTGGTTGTTCATCGTTCTAGAAATAAAGCTTTAGAGAAAAAGTTTCCAAAGGGTTGATTTCAACTATTTTTCGTGAGTGAGAGAGGGCGAGCGAACGAGAGAAGCAGAGTTCCGATGAGTCAAGGGACTGCGCGCTATGCTGTGCCCCGCCCAAAGTGCGCGAATATGGCCGGTTTGAAGAGTTGGCGCAAAAGACTGTAGAAACCAATTTCCGACTTTTCTCATTTTCACATTTTCCCCATTGCAGTTTTTTTTCTTCGAAAACATTCATTATTATTACGATCGTTTCAGGGCAATATGGATCTCGTGCAGATCAACGTGCCCAAATATGAAGACGAACAGTGTCGGCGGGTCGGTGAAGAGTTCTCCCGATTCATCCGAGAGTGGGTATTTCGGAGAATTCGCTTGGTCGAATCATATTAGGAACATCTTCTGTTTTCAGATACGCGAACGATGAGGGCGACAAAATCTACTTCCAAGCCATGCAGGCCCTTGGCTTCCAGGAGCGCAATACCCTCTTCGTCGACCTCACCCACGTGCACGCATACAGCGTCGGCCTCTACACCTCCATCTCCATCAGTTTTTACAAGTATGTTTGTGATGTGGTTGCCACAAATATTGCTGTTCAGGTTGTATCCGACTTTGTGCAAGGCGCTTCACCTGGAACTGCTCGAAGTAGCGAAGAACAAGGACGAGAAACGGATCCAGAACAAGCAGCTACACATCGCTTTCGGGAACCACCCCACCTTTTCCAAGGTTTTTGATCGGTTCTGATGAAATCAGCTTCTTTTAGCTTCGCGAGCTCGTCGCGGAAAATGTTGGTGCTCTGGTGCAAATCCACGGACAGGTACACCATCTTGCAAAAGTTTACGCGTGTGTTTTTAGGTGGTGCGTACTCATCCGGTTCATCCGGAACTTTTCATTGGGACATTTGTTTGCGACGACTGTGGGGTGACGATTCGTGATGTTGCGCAGCAGTTCCGTTACACACAGGTTGCTATTGTTGCTCCGGCATAATCCCTTTTTAGCCCTCGAAGTGCACAAACAGCCATTGCATGAACAGAACTCGCTTCAGCCTTGACATTGACGATTCTACGTTCGTCGATTTCCAGAAGCTCAGGATCCAGGTTTGACTATTTGCCTTGCGCTTAAATATATTTTAGGAGCAATCTGACGAGCTGCCGCGGGGCTCAATTCCCCGGGCGTTGGACGTGATTGTGCGAGGCGAGCTTGTCGAAAGTGTTCAGCCTGGAGATCGCGTGACCATTACCGGCTCGCTGATCGTGATCCCCGACATTGCGATGATGTCCACGCCCGGTATTCCGTTCGAAACATCACGGTTATTCATTTCTAGGTCTCCGCGCCGACACTGGCAAAAAGGGAAAGCAACAGCAAGAAGAAGGCGGTCTCGGCGGCCTCAAATCTCTCGGCGTGCGCGAGATGACGTATCGGCTCGCCTTTCTCTGCTCAAAGATCGGCACCAATGCAACGACGGTAAGCAGTTATTCACTAAAATATGGTTGATTTTAGTTTGGCGGAAAAGAAGTGAACGATTCGGTCGAGCCGCTGATGCTTTGGAATGGGCTGTCGGACAGCGAAAAGGCTACGCTGCGGAAGATGAGCGAGGACAAGGATATTGAGCTCCATTTGGGCGACAGTGTTTTCCCGAATGTTTATGGAAACGAGGAGGTATGACATTTTTCTTAGCAAGAAGTAGTTGCGTGCCTTTAAGATCAAGCTCGGCGTTCTGCTCATGCTGTTCGGAGGTGTGCAGAAGATGAACAAGGGAGAAGGGACATGTCAGCGCGGAGACATCAATGTGCTCCTCGTCGGCGACCCTTCCACCGCCAAGTCTCAAATGCTCAAGCGCGTCGAAGAATTTGCCCCACGAGCCGTCTACACGTCCGGCAAGGCTTCATCCGCGGCCGGTTTGACGGCGGCAGTGGTAAAGGTATCTTTTTTTGCCTTTTCGGGACATAATGTCGCGATGTTGCCTTTCCCGTTCTTGCTGATGTGGCTGCTGATTTAGGACGAAGAATCGATGGACTTTGTGATTGAAGCCGGCGCCTTGATGCTGGCCGACAACGGTGTGTGCTGCATCGATGAATTCGACAAGATGGAGCCGCGTGATCAAGTCGCTATCCACGAAGCCATGGAACAGCAGACTATCTCGATCACAAAGGTCTATTCAGGTTTTTCATTATCTTTATCGTTTTTAGGCTGGGGTCAAAGCCACACTGAATGCCCGCGCTTCAATTCTCGCAGCCGCAAATCCAGTTGGCGGCCGATACGATCGCTCTCGTCCATTGAAGGTTCGTTTAGTTTTTCTTTTCATAGTATTTTCTGGTTTAGTACAATGTGCAACTCAGCGCGCCCATCATGAGCCGCTTCGATCTGTTTTTCGTGCTGATCGACGAGTGCAATGAGATTGTCGACTTCGCCATTGCTCGTCGCATCCTCGACAACCACCGCGACATCAACGGCCAGGACCATCGCCAGACCTACTACTCAGAAGAGGATGTCAAGAAGTACATTGCGTTCGCCCGGCTCTTCCGCCCAAAAATCAACGAGGCGGCCGCCGCGGCACTCGTCGACACCTACAAGAAGCTGCGCATGCAGGACAGCAATAATGCCACCACCTCATCTTGGCGTGTGACCGTTCGGCAGCTCGAATCGCTGGTCCGCCTCTCTGAAGCGCTGGCCCGGATGAAGTGCTCGTCCGAAGTAACGCCGGCTCATGTTGACCGTGCCGCTAAGCTGCTCTCCAAGTCGATCATCCGTGTCGAACAGCCTGATGTTCTGCTGGATGATGATTGGGATGACGAAATGTTGGAGCAGGTGACAACGAATGATGATGGGCTCAACAAGAACAACGAAACCGCCGAAGCCGAGGGGGACGAAGGAGACGAGAATAGGGTATTCATTTATTTTGATTTTTTTAAAAGGTCGTCCCCGGGGTGCCCGAATGTTTTTCGACCTTTTTTGATGGTATCGGAAAAGCCTTGTCAAATTCGTAGGGCCTTATCGGTTTCAAAGTTTAACAAGCTAATTTCTTTTAAAAATTTTCCTTCGGAACATAGGAAAAACTTTAGGTCGAGCCTTCGAAACTGAAGATTCGCTACGAAGTCTTCAAGCACATTGCCGACATGCTCGTCAGCCACATGCGCGCCGACGAGGAGCAGGCCGGTGGTGAGGAGAACTGGAACGGCGTCCAGGCCAGCAAGCTGACCGAGTGGTAACTTTTTTTCATCCGAAATTAACCTTGGTGCTCATAGGTTCCTGGCAACCCTCGAGTCCGAGATCGACAGCGAGCAGCAGCTGATTGAGCAGAAAACTATTTGCGAGCGGTACGTGCATTCTTTCATTCTTTTACACCACCATTTTAGCGTGATCAAGCGCCTCACCACTGATCGCATTCTTGTCGAGTTGGAGCCCGGCCAGGACCCGCTGCTCATCGTGCACCCGAATTACGTATGCGATGACTAAAATTTATATATACTGCGCGACGAAATTGATCTCATACCTGATTTTTCCGGTTGTACTCTTTCTTTGTTCTTCCAAATTTGATTCTCTACTTTCAACGTTGTAACGCTGTTTCTTCTGTAAATGCAACGACAAATAAATGACGAATTTATGTACACACAATCGACACGCATCGTAGCAAAGTGTAGAGTATTTTCAATCCTTCATCTGCTTGATATCGGCGACAAGCTGGGGGCTTTGCGGTGGGCTGTGAACGGGGGTGTGGTCACCCGGAGAGGGCTCGTGTTCTTGGTCGAAGCGGACGGCGTCTTCCCGCTAGAATTCAAATGTACAAATTCTACCCGAGGCGCAAACCTGTTTGATCATATTTGCTGCAGTGCCGGCTCCCACTCTGGCGTCAAGCAAAATCCGCTGGATCTCCAATTTGATGAAAGCTTTCTAAAGAGAAATCCATTATACGCAACGCTAGAATTTGCCTACGTCTCGGTCATTCAGCTCGGCCAGTCGTGCGGCGATGAAGGCTTGAAACCGCACATCATCGTCGTATTGTGCATCGGCCTAGGAAAGTTTCTGGCTTTGTAAAAGGAGTTGCCTGTTGACATTCAACGATGCTATGTGGCGATTGGTAGCGTATTTCATAGCCGTTCGACAGTTCCTAAAGCTTTTCGTATCATAAAATAGAGACGGAATAACCTGATCGCCGCCAATGAGAGGAGACGGCATTCCAAGGGCATTCACGCTGCGTCCCCGGTACTCGCTGTAGATTTCGATGGCATCTTCTTGCCCATCAACCTCTATCGCTTCTATTGCTTCGATTTCATCATCTGGTAATGAAAAGATACAATGGACTCTTTTTATCAATGACTTAAAGGGCTGCCGACGGCATGTGTCGATCCCCCCATCAACAAATTGGCAAGTAGCCAACAGGGGAGAGAGCGCGCCCAGGGGAGAGGCGCAGAGACATTTTCTTTCCAGCGCGTAATCGATTGACTATGCCGTCGGCATCCCTTTAAGGGCAATTAGCAAATTTCGCACGGTTCCCACACTTTTATTGATATGGACATACGGGTAAGGTATCAAATCTTGCTTCCAATTCTATAGAAATACTGGCGTGCAAACCTTGCGAACCGTGCGATATTTGATAACTGCATAATTCGAGTACAGTGTTTCATTATTTGAAATGCAACTCACATGCCACTCCTGACGGGTCGCTGATGATGATCGTCTCGTCGCTGAACATGCCATCGTAGTGGCCATTTGCGGGCAGCATTTCAGGAGTGTAACTATACCAATAAATAATATTAGCAATAATTATTATGATAGTTACGAGGGTGTGAAGTTTGAAAGCTGCGGCAAATGTTTACCTACGGCAACGCGTCACGCCAAAATACGCCGTGTCAATGCGCACCCTTCACAACGACGCTTTCCCTCTTTATCGTCATCGGGCCGTTGGAGAGCACACACTAATGTCGGCGAAATACAGCCGATTCTGGAAATAGTTTACTTTAAATTACTGGAATGACTAGTAATTTACGAATTGCACAGCCTTGTGTTGACCCCTCACGAGCCAACCAGGCCAAAACCGTTAGAAATCGCCGCTAGAAAATTTGTTTATTACTTTCCGGAATCTCTTAATAATCCCAATCAAAATGTTACAGAAATGAACAAAAAGAGTTTGCGAGATGACACGGGTTGGGAGCGAGGCGAACTGCTCGGTCTCGTCCAATACGTTAACGGAGCGGTAAAATTGGACAAGAGCACAACGCTACTAGCCATCCATCGCATATGTAAGCACATGGCCAAGTGTGGGTGAAAACTGGCGTCAAAAAGATAGAAATATCGCTTCAGTCTCGGCCCGAGACGAGATGGCTGTTGCTACATGTTGTCGCAAGTTAATCGCGCGGCTTGTCGAACTGCCGGCGGACATCTTGAAGGAGGCGGAATGGGTATCGCTGCTCCAGACGCTTACAAAGGTGCGAAAATCAAATATTATGCTAATAAAAACCGCGAGTTTCAGGGATTTTCATTGCCGTTTCCCGATATCTCGCCGGAAAGCAAAAAGACGGGCACAGATGTGGAAATTCCGGTCTACGAGGTGGACCCGCGCAGAGGTTCTCAAGAGGCGGTAAGTCGAAGGCCGTTAGCGAGAGGTCAAATATATTTTTATTTTCTAGCATATGCCTAGCTGTTTTTTTCAATAATATATGAATTTTACGGCGCGAATTATTTTATGGATTTCTCGACAATTATAAAAACCCTTTGTAACTTTTCGTATTTTCCGTTTTTCATACATTTCCAAAAACTTGAAAATTGCATATTTCTTATGTCCTACTATCTAAAAAGACAGCAGGACGTTATAACAATGTTTTTTTTGTCGTTATAGGGCCGTATGGGGTTAATCGAGAAAAACTGGTTTCTCGCCGCTAACCCCAAAAAACAAAGCAAAAACGACAAGCTGTTTAGAGACTCTCCGAAGCGGTGTACCGGATGAACGCGAGCTTCATTGGTGGGCATCTATTGGAAAGTGTTTGCCAGCGAGTGTTCCCGGGCCGGAATTGGGTCATCGATTCGGAAGCTGGAGCGGAGGAGGAGCAGCCCAGCACTAGGTCAGTGGCAAAAAAAACATGAAGTTCAAAAAGGACACTTTTTAGCATGGATGCTACACAGGAAAAGCTTCAGCTCTTCACGAAAATCATGTCTTGCCCGTGGGTGGGGCTGCCGCAGCGAGTAGCCGAGGTGGGTCTAATAGTACTATAAATTTGGCAAAATCGATTTTTTTTCGGATTGAAGTTAAATCCGTAAATATCCGTAATTTTTTTTAGCAAATTGCCGGGGTCGCGACAACGATTCTCGTATCGGCCGCCAACTCGTGTCCACGAAGTTCACAGAAACAAGAAGACATTCAGGTAGATGATCAGCTCAAAAACCTGAAGGGCTACTATATTTTCGAAAAAGCTAATTTTTCAGATATTTTTTCGAAAAGTATTTTCGAAAGCCTTCCCGAAAACAGAATTTCCAAGAAATTGCATTGCGGTTTCTTAGTTGTTTCGAAATTCCGATTTTCGGAAAAATGCCGATCTAAAAATATAAATCAAAATATAATAAAAATCGCCAAAATATCTAATTAAAAAAGTGAATTACAGCCATAATCCCGACACCCAAAATACCGACAGCCATAATCCCGCCATTCAAAATCACGACAGCCAAAATGTGATATTTCGGGTCGTTTTACCCATAAATGGTTTTAGAGTCGGGGGTTTCTGGCTGTCGTGCTTTTATCTGTCGGGATTTTTCTTTGGCTGTCGAGATTATGGCTGTCGGGGTTTCGAATGTCAGGATTTTGGCGTGAGCCCTCGAAAAGTGTCTTTCGAAAATTTGACTTGTGAACTCAATTTTCGAAAAGAGAATTTTCAGCTGATGGTCGAGTCGACAAACGCCCACCACACAGCACTCGATGCCGTCATGCCAATGTTGCCCGACCCGTCGGCGTTCAGCCGGCAAACGGCCCAGATCTACAGCGAAATATGCGAGAAGTTCTTGCAGTCGGCGCTGAGGATGACGGTGGCAAAGGGGTTGCTCGCAATTCTTCCCCTCCTCCTCGACACCAACCTTCCACAGCTACCGGAAATATTGTGGAAAATTGCTGCTTGGAACTGTCTACAGACGACACCTGTGCCCCCTCAGCATTCGGCTGATGTACCCCGGATAGTCCCTATTGCAAGCCCGGAATCGGATGATCTCGACATCAACCTGTGGCTGAACTCGGCCATCTCGTCGGGCATGCGCACCGCATCTGGGTTGAACCCGGCGAACAATGAGAGCAACGTTGAACTACTTCTTATCGCCATTGCATGCCTACAAGCAATTTCCTCCCTCCAAAACCCATTCGACCAACGATCCAAGGACGAACTGATCATCGTCGCCACGCACACCGCCAAGCTCGAGGACCCACAGTTCATCTCCCAATTCGGGCAGCTCTACCGTCATCTGCTGGCCAAGAAGGTGTTGGATAAGGAGGTGAAGCAGGAGTTGCTCACCGCTCTACTGCAGCTCTTCACAGCTGGGGAGAACATTCGTGTCTGCGACGTCTTGACCATGGTGGCCAGGGCCGAGCCGGACTTGAAGGACACCGAAGTAGCTCGCCAGATTGTGCAGACCGCTGTCGCTCAGGCTGACGGAAACCTGGGGCTCGAACCGGCCGTGTTGGATCTTGTTCGAGATCTCACGCAGCTACTCTCGAGTGACGATCTTGCGAAACTACTTCAAGACCTCGTTCCACACCTATCGGATCATATTAAGAAGTACTTGAAGGGCGAGCCACTTTATCGAGACGTCGGTCCGATACACACCAAATTGCATCTGCTACATGTTCTACTGAAAGGCGGGCGTGAATTGGTGCCGATGGAGCGATTCTACGAAGCAGGACTCGAGCGCAAGAAGGAGAAGAAGACTCCGGAAACTCCTGGCCATCACCTGCAGACTCATGTTCGAATGGAGATGACCGGCCTTGACGGCGAGGGATACTTCAAATTCCTGGAAGATGTGGCCGAGGTGGGACTACGGAGCTTCAGAGAAGAAGCCTACCCCGCGGCCGCCCTCCCGCCCCTCAACACCGAATTCCTCAACTACATTCGCAAGGGGCAGCCAACGATGGCCATGATGAACTACTTCTTCCGTGTCTACAACCACTTGTTCACGGAACAGACAAGGATTTATCTGCAGTCCTTTAACGCTCATGATCCCGGCTTCGAACTTCTGATGCTGGAGACGTTGTCCCGGGATTCGGCCTGTCCGATTGCTACGCGATTTGTGAAATGCATCCACGCGGAGCTGAATACGACCGGCGGTACCTTAGCGACGTACTCGGCATTTGACGGGATATTTGCAGTGCTTGCCTCTCCACTAACATTTACCCCGGCTTTATGCGAGGAGATTGTCGAGTTGATCGACTTTCTGGAGAAGCGCACGCTGGTAGTCCAATGTCGCGACGTATGGAAGTGCGAGGGGGCTGTGGATCGGGTGCAGAGTGTACTCCAGCTCCTCAAGAACCCCATGCTCAACCAGGTGGTCCCGGGAGCGGAACGGCGACTGCGAGAAGCCCTCATCCCGGAAGTGGCCGACTATGCTGATGTTTACACGCGACGTGTCGGAGGGCAACCCTTACAGCTGGAGGATGATTGGCAGGCGACAATTCGTCACGGGACCTCCGGCGCTGTGGATCCAGCAACGGTCGCAATGCGCACCCTTCACGAGCGGCTGGTTATTGATCTGATGTTGCGGGTGACGTTGCCGGAGTGTCGTAGCGAGCGAGTCATCCAGTGGCTATACAAATCCCATGCACTCCAACTTCATTCCTGCACCGTTGGCGTGTCGGAGGCGACGAAGACCATCTTCCAGGGCATGGAACAAGATCTTCAAGTGGCCCGCCTCACAGCCCTTATCATCCAGCTCCTCCACGGCATGATTGATGTACGCGGGCCGTACTCCGTGGAGACGGGCCGACTTCAGAACGTCTTCGGCGAGCTGTTGTACGGTCTGTTTGAAAAGGGAGATGATTTGCCATGGGATGAAGTGCCGGAGACGATGGCCGAGCCGATCCTTGAGCTGTGTGATGGACGCATCGAGACCTATGGGGCGACGAGAGCCCTCCTCGACTTTGTGCGTCGTGTCCTCGAAAATACGGATCTGAACGATCGAGCGAAGAGGTTGATCGTGGGCCCCATCCAGCAGCTGCTCCCCCAGTTCCCAGATTGGATCAAACCTCAGCACAGCCCAATCTCCATCTTCACCGGGTCGCAAATGCTGTTGGAGGTGCTGGACGAGGAGCCCTACCTAAAGACACTGCATGATGTGATGACGCGTTGCGTGGAGAAGGTGTTCGACACTGGACTGCTCGATGACCTTTGCCGCTGCCACCCTCTGCGTGTCCAGAAGACGGACCGTTTTGCGCAGTCGATGCTTAAATATCAGCCAAAAACGGACGACGAAGACGTGGACCCAGTGAGAAAAGCCCTAGCGCTTCTAACACAGTTCAACACCCCACATATCCACTCGCGGATTGCCGTCAAGCTTGCGGACCTGCTCGACAAGTGGCTGATCTTTGGGGACGAGGAATTGGCTGTGTTGAAAGGAGAGTTGGTGGCCGAGGAACAGCTTTTAGAGCGCCTTGTTTGGCGTTTGAGGTTGATGAGCGTGTGCTTTGCATACTTGGACGAGTTGGCCTCCCGACTGAATGGACACTCCGACGACGCACAGTACTACAGTGATGATGAGGTGGGCTTCGAACGTGTTTCGCAATCACGGCTACATTTCAGATACTGACCAAGCAGCTGCACAGCATCCTCGACACGCTCGGCTCCCCGAACCGCTCCAAGTCCGAGGAGCGCGAAGGGCAATGCGGAGCCGAGGCCAGCTTGTGCACCTATTCACGTACTCAGCAGAAATTTGTGGATCAGCATTGGTATAACTGCCATACGTGTACGATGACGGAGGCGGTGGGTGTGTGCTCGGCATGTGCGGTCAACTGCCATCGCGGTCATGATCTCTCCTACTCCAAGCACGGCTCCTTCTTTTGCGACTGTGGCGCGAGGGGGCCCGGTTTTTGCCGAACGTTGAGGTAAGTCAACAAACGGCCTATTTCGATTTTGTCAAAAATCATTATATCGAAATTTCAATTTGTCGACATTTTATTGTCATTTCGGTTCCGGACTGTTAGCGGCGGGGGGGGTGAGAGCAGGGCGTCAAACTACTTTCTGTTTTTTCTACCTACATCTACCTGTTGGTGTATATTATGTATTTTATTAGGGGTTTTAGTAGGTTTTCATTGCTAGAAAGTTATAAAAATATTTATAAAAAACGACCTTGTTTTGGTCATTTTTATATATTTTTGACCAAAAGTGAACAATGTTCGAAAATTTTTATTTTTTATATTGATTTTATGTCTAAAAACTATTAAAAATGCTATAAAAATGGTTGAAATTTTGTTATAAGGCAGTAGAGAATTACAGAGAAGGAAAAAGTTGCCCCCCCCGCTAACAGTACAGGACCGTCTTTTTTGCCTCGATTATTCATCTCAAAATTGATGCGAATTGGAAGCTCAGCGCATTGATATTTGACAAAATCATATTCCGACAAAATACAACTCCCGCCATTTCAGCCGAGCCGAGCACGATGTCAAGGACACGCAAAAGGTGGTGATGGGCGCCGTTGGCGTAACGAAACGCCGTGGGCCCAGCTACGATGATCGCCAACAACTTCCACCCCTCGAAAGACCTTTTTCGGGCATCGAAGTGAAGCCGAGTGAGGAGACCGAGATCAGAAATGCCCTCCTCCAACTGCGAACCATCCTCGACCGCCACACCGACGACATCCACAACTTCTACAAGGCTGTCAAAGAGGTGGGTATGTTCAGCTACAACCGTAAGCAAAGCTTAGGCCTCAAACGCACGCTGGCTTCTCCCCGAGCGTCGCCTTGAAGCCGTCGCCGAGACGGGCGAGCAAGAGCTGCAACATGAAAAACTGATGACGGCCGTCTTGACGATCGACGATGGAGCGCAGGACGTGTTCGAGAGGAGGGGGGATACCTCGTCTACCATTCAGCCCCATATACTGATTCGTGAATTGATGGGTACTGTGCGGCTGCCGGGTGTTGGATGCGTGATCGTCTACCTGAATGAGGCGGGGGATCAAGTGTCGCTCATTCAGCCGACGGCCAATCCAAACAAGCCTCAAAAAGCCGGGGGAGGACCCGTATTTTCCTGGGTATGTCAATGAGGAGTTACGTTGATTTAGCAGCTTTTCGTCTCTGGATGCTAATTTCATTTTCGTGCAGCTTGAACTGTTTTTGAACTAGATATACTTCAAAGCTATTTTTGTTGAAATATAGAAAATTAGGGTGATTTTTTATACTTTGACAAAATATGAATCCTACTTAGGGTTCTGGACCGATAGCGGGGGGGATTCTTAACATGGGGATACCACTTTCTGTTTTTCCACCTACACCTGCCTGTTGATGCGATATTCTGTATTTTTATGGTGTTTTTAGTAGATTTTGATCGCTAGAAAGTTATATTGAAATATTTTAAAACATTTTTAAAACTCCAAAATGTTGACCTTTCCTGCCTTTGGGACCTTTGGTACATTTATGACCAAAAAGTCCAAAAAATATGTCGATAATTTTTATTATCTTTTATCTTGTTCTTATATCTAAAAACTATGTAAAGTGCTCTAAAAATGATTTATATGTTGTTTTACGGCCGTAGAGAATTACATAGAAAAATTTGTCCTCCCCCGTTAACAGTCCAGAGCCCTAATTAGCATACAGAACAAAAATTGGCGAAACGTCGTAAGCACCCGACAACTCTTTAGAGAATCGAGACTGAGTCGTTGGAGTTTCGGGCAAAGAAAGTGCTATGCGAGGAACAGACGGCCATTGTCTATGGCGGTAGCGACGGGCTGGTGTTGATCTTCAATAATGAAGGAGAGGTGAGAGCGCACCTTTTCTTTTCAAAACGCCTCTCAAATTTCCAGGTCACCGAACGGCATGCGATGCGGCTCCAGGAACATCGTGGGGAGGTGCCAACACACGTGACACGCTGCGCCTGGTTGGGCGGGGATCGCCCATTCTTGGCTTTTGGTGGGACACAGCTGGTGAAGATCTTCGATATGGCCGTCGACATGAACGAGTGCATCGAAGAGCTGGTGCTGCCGATCGAGAACTTTACGGATATGGCCATCGACAAGGGCAGTCCTGACGCGAAGGGAGGCTACGGTGGCCCGAAGATACTCGTGCAGGCCACGCAGGGAGGCTTCTACAGTCATGCGATGATCGATCGCGATTTGGACAACCCGGGGGAGGGCAACTCATACTATCTGACAAATCAGGTGGGAACTTGAATCGTGATGAAAAGTGGACAATAAACAAACGTAAGCCTAAGCCCTAAGCATAAGCCTAAGCCTATGGCTAAGCGTAAGCCGAAGTGTAAGCCTAAGCCTAAGCCTAAGCCTAAGCCTAAGCCTAAGCCTAAGCCCTAATAAGCGTAAGCGTAAGCCTAATCCTAAGGCTAATTCTAAATCAAGTTCGTCCATTCAGGTCCCATCCCCCTCGCACAATAACGCGATGATATTCTCGATGCACTACTCCCGGCACCTGAAGCTACTCTTCCTCTCGCTTTCCAATGCTGTCCATTACGTTCGGGTTCCCGATGGCGATTTTGCCCGCATTGATGCCGCCAACTACCACAAGATCGTGATGCCGGACGCGGTAAGCGCGTGGCACGAGCAGGACGGGCTGATCTCGGCGATACACCACGGGAAGCCCCATCTCTGCACGTTCTTCTACCCGAAGGAGGGTGCCATCGTCACACAGGTTTGCGTTTTTGACGACGGCAGTCCTGCAGAGAATTTGCAGCAGTATTTAATATCTGATACTTTCAGCAAGTCGAACTGCCGAAGGGTGCAGTCTGCTACACGCTGTGGGCTGACCGATGTTCCGGCTCCCATTATGCCATCTTCGTGCTTGACGATGGTCCTCGAAGTGTCGCCCTCTACGCCAGCGATTGGGCCTCCGAGCCAGACTTCTGGATCAAGGGACAGCCCCTCGAAGAACACATCCTTGAGTCGGATGAAGACGACGACAAGAAGGAGCCCCTCTTCTTGGAAGAGACCCCATCCGAAGACCTTGTCACCATCTTCGAGTCGGCGACACTGGCCACGAAGGTGAGCTTCAGCTGCGACGAGCTGGGGCTGTATTATGATGCGGAAGAGGTGACGAGGAGACTGACGAGTATTGGGACGATGCCGTTAACGATTCTGCAACGGCAGCCGATCACGGTGAACGTGCGACTGCAGGAGTACAACTTTGTCGTGAGGGCATTGCGGGTTGAGGTCGGGGCCGGGAGGCTGCCAGCTGGGGTGACCATTCTGGAGACGAGGTGGGTGGAAAATAAAATGGATAGAGAGAGAGCGAGAGAGAGAGAGAGAGAGAGAGAAGAGAGAGCGAGAGTGATACATAATTACATCCATACGTGATACTTCACTACTGATTTCAGATACGATTTCGACGGCGAAGGTGCGCGTACGTTTGACATCCGCTTCACCCGCACGCAGAGCCAGACCATCGATAAAGCCTTCTCGGTCACCATTCATCCAGGAGAAGACCCGGGCCAGGATCAAACTGCCGTCGTCAGCATCCAGGTCTTCGGCATATCCAGTCAGGACTTTGGGTGCGAGACGACAAAGAAGGCACTACTCCCCCCACTCATCTTACCCCAACAATTCCTCGTGCGGCTGCTCGACCTCTACAAGGACACGCTGGGTGCCGGAATCGAGTACCGCAACCAGGAGCTCGCCATCCACATCGGCGCCGGTGCGTCGGGCCCCAGGAATGGACATGCATTAATGGCGGATGCTGCGGCGTCCATGCTACGCACGGCAGTCCCCTCGATGGCTGAATACTATACCTACAAGGATCAGGCTGTATTCGCCGATTTTGCCTCGTAAGTTGACAGCTTTTTTTACAAATGGATGGCTTCACTTACAATTCCTTGGCTATCGGCCGATGTATGAGCTAAGTTAAGCTAGGTTAAGCTAAGCTTAAGCCTAAGCCTATACCCAAACCTAAGTAAGACTAAGCCGAAAATTACCTTAGAGACAACCGTGAGCGCAAAATAAAAACGTTAAAAATTTTCGTTAGCTTATCGATATGACCGCTTTCCATTGTGGACCTCTCTAAGCCTATCGATATGGCCGATTTCCATGGTCGACCTCTATTAGCCTAAGCCTAAGCCTAAGCCTAAGCCTAAGCCTAAGCCTAAGCCTAAGCCTAAGCCTAAGCCTAAGCCTAAGCCTAAGCCTAAGCCTAAGCCTAAGCCTAAGCCTAAGCCTAAGCCTAAGCCTAAGCCTAGCTTAAGCCTAAGCCTAAGCCTAAGCCTAAGCCTAAGCCTAAGCCTAAGCCTAAGCCTAAGCCTAAGCCTAAGTATTAGCTTAAGCCAAACTTCACAAACCCAAGCGGCCCCTTTCAGCTTCAACCTCCTTGGTCAACATCCGATCCCCGTGGACATGCTCTCCGGATACGCCGAGCACGTCAAATTGATGCTTGCCACTCGCGTCCGACAGTACGACGACCTGATTAGGAGACATTTTGACTCTGAGCTCCATTTCTGCGCATTCCTCTTCAACCAGATTGCCCTGCTCGATAGCGCCTCATCTGCCCTCATTGAGTTGTACTGTCTCGTCGTGTTTCAGGTACGCTTCAATGCTGTTCAACCGGGTTTTTAGGCATTGTCGACAAACTCCGCCGAGGTTCCGTCCATACAGCAGCAATTCTTGGACCTGTTCATCAATGAGAGGGTGAGTTTTAGAGAGAGAGAGAGAGAGAGAGAGAGGGAGAGAGAGAGAGAGAGTGAGAGAGAGAGCGAGAGGGAGAGATATGTGCCTGCGCTTAGGCTTTCAGGCTTAGGCGTTGTCTTAAAGATAGCCTCAGAACGCTGGTTACGTTGGCCCGCTTTCAGACGGGTCGCTTCTACTCGACGATCCGTATCGTCGCCCAACGCATGATCCAAACGTTCGTCGCCGTGTCGAAGGCCGACCGCAACCAGGCCAAGGGCTCCGAGGTCGGGAAGATGGTGCTCAAGCATGGCGGGGCACTGCCCTACTACCAGCTTGGGAAGGGTCTCACGCAGGAGGCTGATCCCGCCGAGACCATTCATCGCATGGGACCCATCGTCCAGGCGACACAACTCGGTGCTGACCACGTCGACTTGTTCGACAAGGGGAAAGGTAGCGACGTTCTTAGGTTGTAAGGGTCAATATCTTGTTTTCCTTTCCCGCTCTCTCTCTCTCTCCCTCTCTCTCTCTCTCTCTCTCTCTGTCACTCTCTAGTCTCAATTTCAGAATGTCACTGGATTGTCGAGCTGATCCTGGCCATAGCCCGGAAACTCGGAGGAAAACCCGAAAAACCCGAGGACGACGAAGCGGACATCATTGACATCCCCGCGAAGCCGTATCGCCTTCGACCCGACACACCTCAAGCCTGCGCCCTGGTCGCCCTCGACATGGTGCTCATCTCCCAGCTCCCCGCCCGCCTCGTTACCTCCGTTGCCCAGCAGATCATCGCTCACATCAACTTTGAGAATGGGCGTTTCTTCGTCCCGAGTCGCGACAATTACAGGTTACTGTTTTGATACACCCCAACACCTCTACTCAGGCAATTCATCCTCCTCCGCATTGTCATGGTGCTACTCCATAAGTGGGACGACTTCAGCGAGGCCAAGGCCGTCAAAAAATCTGTTCGAATCAAGGTACCCCTTGACTCCTGCACCCCACTCCTTTCAGGCCCAGGACTCCAACGACGAGCCGGAGTCGGAAGGCGAAGAAGAGCCCGACGCCGACCCGACCTCCTCCACGTCGCCGGCCCACAAGGAGGAGAAGCCGGAACTGCGCGAGCTTTGCGAGACGTTGATTCAGAAACACTGCCTCCTGATGTGCTTCGAGGCGCTGAAGCAGGCGCGCAGCTTTTGGGCGACATGGCAGGAGCCGAAGACGGACGCGCGGAAGTGGAGTGATGGGGATCAAGGTGCGTTACAGGCAGATCGAATGTAGCTGAACATTTAGTGTTCGACTTGATCCGGCCCTACCCGAAGCATTGGGGCTTCCAGGACGGGTACCGGCTAATGGTCACCGAGCTGGCCGTCCGCCTCCCATACTTGATTGAGCAGCACGTTGACCACGGTTTCGGGACCGAGTGGAGCGACATTTTATGCCAGCTGATGTTCGAGACGAATTGTACGCACCCAAAGGTATGTGCATTAAGGAGAAGGAGGCAATCACGATGCTATGATTCCAGGTGCGCCGCCTCTGCCGCAAGATGCTGATCGCCATCCACAACCACGACAAGTTCAGCTACAGGCTTGTGCGCGGCATGCACATGCTCACCTGTCAGATCGCGAACCTGAACAAGAAGATGGCGGAGAGCAAGGGAGTCGCGCTCACCCATATGCAGATGACCGAGATGTTTGAGGTGGGAACTTGTCTAAGCCTAACCCTAGGCCTAATCCTAAGCTTAAACCTAAACCTGTAACTACCCGACAAAGGGCGTCCGGTCACTACCCCGAAAAGTCACTACCCCGAAAGTCACTACCCCGAAAGTCACTACCCCGAAAAGTCACTACCCCGAAAAGTCATTACCCCGAAAAGTCACTACCCCGAAAAGTCACTCCCCGAAAGTCACTACCCCGAAAAATGATAGCATTGTTTTTCCCGGAAAAATCCAGTTTTCATGCGGTTTTCCTATGAAAATCATGTAAATTATTTCGGGGTAGTGACTTTTCGGGGTAATGACTTTTCGGGGTAATGACTTTTCGGGGTAATGACTTTTCGGGGTAGTGACTTTTCGGGGTAGTGACTGTACCTCTGACAAAGCCCACTTCCTCAGATCGTCAACCGCATGGCGAAGATCTCGTGCGAGCGGACACCAGTCTGGCGCATCATAGCCTGCCAACGGCTGGAGTGGCTACTCTCCATTGCCTGCCAACTCCCCGATCCGATCTCGGGACGTATCGTTGAGCTGCTACTGATTGCCGTTCGAGCTGGGGAAGACCTTCCAGCGCCCGGTAGGCCGTCAAGAGGTACGATACCTACCTTTTCACTTCAGAATTGACCACCTCGTTGCCGTACAGCGAGAAGGTGCTCGACCTGCTCAGCACCTACCAGGGCCAGCTGGCCAATGAGCTGATTGCCAAGCCGAAGAATTTGCTGTTGTTCAAGGTGGGCAAGTTAGCAGAGGTTCCTGGGGAAGGGGTAGGCTAGCAGAGATTCCTTAGGAGGAATTTAAAATATCTAGATATTCATGCCTAACTTTATGATTCTAGAATCTTCTCCTACGATACCTTCTGGGGCGGGACGAAGCACGAAGATGGATGCTCCACGGAATGCTCAGAACCACCATCCAATTGGCTTCTCGAGCCAACCAGGCCACCCTGCTCCGAATCCTCTGGATCGAGCTGTGGCCCGTGGCCCGTACTCTCGGGTCAATGGGAGCCCAGCTGGCCGACCTATTAGCCACTTATGCTCCTCGGCTTCTGCCCCTCAACGACCTCATCACTGTCAGCGAGCAGGAGGTGAACGCGATCCGGAACGCGCAGAAAATGTGGGTCAAAGTCTTGACTATAAACTCTGAGTTCCAGGTTAAAAATGGCCGGTCACGACGCGGCCACTCGCCAGCTGAACGGCTTGGGGTTGACGTGGCGCGAGGCAATGCTTATCGACACTAGCCCATGTCTTGTCTGTACCACACGACAGGTACTGTATCTCTGTAGTATTGCCGTATTTTGTATTGTAGGACACCACGCAGACGATGAAGATGTCGATGATCAAGCAGGACAGCCGGTACACCTCAAATGCGCACCTCATCAAGCTGGCCGGGCATTATGAGATTAGCAAGGTTTGTGAAAGCGTATGGTTAAGCCTAAGAATAATCCTAAGCAGGAACCTAAACCTAGTCCTAAGCCTAAGCCTAAACTTATGCCTAAGCTTAAGCCTGCCTAAGCACAAGCCTACGCTTAATCCGAAGCCCATGTCTATGCTAGGCCTAAGCCACGTGATAACAATTTGTAGGTAATCATCAAGCTCAGCGAGGTCAAACGTGGGAAGACGATCAAGAAAGTCGTGCTCTACTATTGCCAACGCCCCGTCCAAACGGCGATCGACCTGAAGACGCACAAGGACGAGTGGGAAAAGGCGGCCGAAGTTACGGTGGCTCCCGGGGATCTCGAGATCAACCTCACCCTGCCGATCCCGCTCTCAACGTCTTCGCTGGTCGTCCACTTTGCCGAGATTCACGAGGCGAGAGCTGGGATGGAGTTGCACTGCCCGAGGTGAGGAGCCGTTTATGCTAACTCTCTCTCTCTCTCTCTCTCTCTCTCTCTCTCTCTCTTTCTCTCTCCAATTACTTCCTTTAGATGTTCCACAACCGTCCAAGCAAATCCGGGGATCTGTGAAAATTGCAGCGAAAACGTCCACCAATGCGTCAAGTGCCGTCAGATCAACTACGACGAGAAGGTCGGTGAGAGAGAGATACAGAAAGCGAGAGAGAGAGAGAGAGAGAAAGAGCGAGAAACCGTTTGCATCGTAAAATTTCAGGAGCCTTTCCTCTGCCCATCCTGTGGATTCTGCAAGTACGCCCGCATGGAGCTGCTCGTCGTCAGCCGCCCGCTGGCCTCGATCCCGCCGCTGAGCAGCGACAAGGAGTACCTACAGGTCGGCTCAATAAAATATTACTTCTTGACCTCTTATAACTATAGAATAACTCTTATAACTCTTATACTAACTAATATAACTTGACCTCTTCTAGGCTCAAGAATCTATGGGAAAGCTGCTGTCGGAGATGGAGCAGACGAGGACGAGCCTCACTGCCGCGAAGGCCCTAGCTGAAGCCCTCTGGATTAAAGAGCCTCAACTTCCGCCGATAGCGCTGCACGAAGAGAGCATCGAGCACGCCAATATTCTGATGCAAGCCGTGCCTCAGCTTCATCCCACGCAGGTACCTGAGAAAGCGGCAGCGTAAACCGAAATCTTAGCCCTAACCTAACTTATCCTAGATCCAAATCGAAGATTAAGACTAATCTAAGCCTATCCCTACGCCTAAGCCTAAGCCTCAGCACCAATAAATTGACCAATTTCTAGAGCAGCGTCTCGGCCCTATCAGCATGCGTCAGCCACTGCAAAACGGTGCACGAGGAGCTGTGCGCGCAGACTCAGCAGCTGATCGCGTTCCGGTACATAGGCTCCTGCTACCGAAAATTTGTTCTTCAGGGAGGAGCTCCGCAACTACCAGAACAGCTCCAACTCGACGATCCACAAGGCGCTGAACATGGGCTTTTACTCGACCAGGTGGGCGTCGGTTTTTGCGCTAGGGCATCGCGGTAGATTTTGACGGAAAATCCGAATTTTTAGCAGCACTTGTCTGGGCTGCATATGCGCCAGTGTCATCCATTCTGTGTCGCTGATCGCGGCCACGTGCGACCAGCCGGGCGTCTTGGAGAAGGTTCGTGTGGACGGGCTGGCAGAGACCATTTGAGAATCGAATGCGGGATAGAAGAGTCATCTTGTGATTTAGGCAGCCTAGCAAAGTTCCATTGAGAATTGAGGCAGACTAGGCGAGACCGTTTGAGGATTGACATTGACATTGCAGCTCCTCGACAACGACTTCATTTGGGGCCCACTGTTGGCAATGGGCCAAGAATTTGAACCAATCCGCGATGACGTCGAGCTCCTCCTCTGCCGGTTGACCTACGAGAACCAAAGAGGAACCGCGAGGTTAGGAAATGGAGGGCATAACAAATTTGTGCTCTAGGCTTTGCGAGCTCGCTGCCGCGAAGAAGATCAACAGCACGGTGCTGGCAAGGTCGCTCTTGGCATTCCCCGACTCGCAGTGGCAGCCGAAGTTGAAGACTCTATTCAAGGTAGCTGAACAGAAGCAAAATTTTTCTATACTCAGAGGTCTCAATAATGCATATTACGACAAAATAATGCCTTGTGTCTAGCGAAAAACTTTCCAGTCCCTCTAGCATAAATTACATCGACTCCCAAACCCATTCCGGAACTTCTGCGCAAAAAGGCAAAAAGTCTGGGCCGAACCGGGATTCGAACCCGGGACCTCTCGCACCCGAAGCGAGAATCATACCCCTAGACCATCCGGCCACTGGTAGACGGGAATGACGAGGGGAATAAGAGATTTGTGGGCGTGACCTGCCGAGCCTAGACGAGTGCCAACTTAAGCCTAAATTAACCGAAGCCTAAGCCTAATTCCAAGCCTTGACTAAATGACCTGGGAGGCATTTGATGATCCTCTGAAATTTTGGTGACACCTTCACACTAACTATTACAAAATACGCCCCTCCTAGCTCGCCTCGCAAAACCCGGACGAGGAGACGACCATCTTGGCCCTGCTCTCCGTGCTCGAGCATTTCTTGGAGGACGGCAAACCGATGAAACGTCGAGCGCAGGAACTGCACTTCGAGGAGAAGCTCCGGGGTCCAGGTGGCCGATACGGTGGCCGGACCCAGAAGCGGAAGGTTGCGCCCAAGCCCAAGCGACGTGGTTCGGAAGAAAGTGAAGACGGGGATAGCAGCTCGCAATCTTCAGAGGTACGGATTTTCTATTAACGTATACTATGAAGAGCTTAAGCATAAACCTAAGCCCAAGCCTAAGCCAAAGCCTAAGTCTAGGCCTAAGCCTAAGCCTAAACAAGATAGAACCTTTCAGACTTCAAGCGAGTGCTCGACGCCTCGGAATCGCCGTTACGCCGACCTCCCGAAGCTACAGGAATGGCTGGAGTCATCTTTGGACTGGCAGGAGTTGTGCGACGGATTGGAAAGCCAACCACGAGGCGAGCAGACCAAGGAAAAGCCGAAAAATCCCGAAAAGCTGTTCTTATTGGTGGGTGTTGATGCTCATGGCCCTGATGAAGCTCTGATGGCTAAAAACACGTACTTTCAGGATAATGACACTTTCAGGACTCGTCTAACTGGTTCTGGGCATCGGTTTTCTCCCCGTTCCTCTCCCTCCGCGCCGCCGCCTCCAAGCTGGTCACCTCGGTGGCAAGCCTGCCTGGGCATAGCGGCACAGCCGTGGCTCTCTTTGCCATTGGTGGGCTAAATTTAGTATTTTCGAGTTTTGAAAAATTCTAGGCATCGTCCGCAGCGCGACCGTACCCCCCGCGGTGCAGGACCAATTCTTCAAGGCCGCCCACTTTTTGATGTCGTCACCAATTATTCGCTTCCGCCTCTTCGCCGCCAATTTCCACTTGCACTTGGCGAATTTGATCCGGGAGGTATGCTTTAAGGGAGGAGCAAGTTAGCAATTTGCTAAGCATTAGCCTAAGCCTAAGCGAGCGCCTTTCAGGAAAGCACAGCCATCTACCGGGAAGAGCAGAAGGAAAACTCGATGGACCACTGGTTCGGGACAAGACTCCGCTTCCTTGTCGGTGAGTGGATCATCTACAACCTCGAAAAGCCTCAGAAGCAGTACAAGCAATACCATTATTTTGTTCAGAAGTCTTCTCGGCCATGATGCTCGGCTCGTCGACGGACAAGATGTTCCTGAAAGCGGCCCGGAAGCATCTATTAGAGCCGATTTTTGAGGTTGGAATATTGAATTATGCATTGATGTTCCAAAGCTTAAGCCTAAACCCTTACCTATTCTATATCTAATATATAAAATTCTAGGCCATCCTCAACCTAAAGTGTGTGACCCTGAAGCGCACCCGGGCTATCGACGCGTCGCGTACGGCGCTGCAGCGCTTCTTGACGAAGATGATCGGCAACGAGCCGCACCAACTGTTGAGGACGGCCGTCGCCCTGCTCGACAAGGTCGACGACTTCCAGATTTTGGTATGAAACTGGCCACGTCTTAGCGAATGAATTATAGTACCAAACGATGGCCGCGATGGAGGAGCTGCTGTCACCGAAGGAGAGCGCTGAAGCTCATTTCTTGATTCAGATCGAGAAGGATCCGCCGCAGGAAGAGTATCTGCAAGGTTCGACGAGTCTCTCTTTCTCTCTCTCTCTCGCTCTAGCTTGCTCTCTCCTTCTCTCGCTTTCTCTCGCTCGCGTTTTCATTTCCTCCCTCTGCCGATGGCTCTCTCTCCAACCGACTCTATTTGTCGTTCTCTCGCGCACTTTGGCACCCTCTATCTCTCTATCACTCGCTCGCTCTCTCTGTATCTCTCTCACTCGCTCTCTCTCTCTGGGCTCTCTCTCGCATCACCAGTTTTTCAGGTCGCATGACCGGCAACCCATACAAATCGACCGATCCGGGCATCGGTCCGCTAATGCGAGATATCAAGAACAAGGTAAATCATCCATGCAAGCCTCTCACTAATTCGCATCTCCCAGATCTGCCGCGACACCGAGCTGGTCACCATGATCGACGACGACAACGGCATCGAGCTGCTCGTCGCCAACCAGATCGTCCCGTTGAATCTGCCGGTGAAGGCGGTCTATGACAAAGTGTGGAAGACGGTGAGTAAAAGGCGTCATTGTCCCTTTAAAAACTCTGTCCTCACTTTCGGTCTTTTCGTTGCAGGACCACCCCACTCAGCCGATGATCGTCATCTACCGGCTGCGGGGCCTCCTCGGCGACGCTACCGAGCCGTTCCTGAACCTCAACGACGCCGAGGAGATCGCCGAGGCTGATCTGGCCGCCGCGCCTTTGATTCATGAAATTATGGAGTGTGGCGGAATTGAGAAGGCGCTGAACATTCTGCGGCCGGTCGTGTTTGATGCTGCTGGTCGTCTACTGTTTCATCAGATGGGCAAATTCTTTGAGATGTAGGTTTCAATTTAGGCTTATACCTAGGTTCTCCTTACGTTAGCTTAGGCTTAGGCGTAGGCTTAGGCTTAGAGTTAGGATTAGGCTTAGGCTTAGGCCTGGTCTGCATGCGCACCCATTTCAGCCTCGTACGCTCAAAGACCTGCCGAAAAGCACTCGTCGAAGCCGGCGCCGTCGACAAATTCCTGCTCGTCTTCATGCAATGCCTCGAGGCAGCCGGACTCGACCGCGAGGCGCTGATCAAGAGCACCGGTTTGTAGATGACCAAAAAAAACGATACCTTTTTGTTTCTCCAGAAAACGTGGACAGCCCAATGACGCGTGTCTTCGACGAGCACATGCGCAAGAATGCGCCCTCGGAGGCGGGCGAAATCGCAGAATTTTACCTGTTCCTCCTCACCGAGCTGTTCGCCGACGCCGAGGTGTACCCGGTTGGTTGAGCTTTTGGGGGGATGATTTCTGGTGTTTCAGCTGTTATGCGGCGAGTCTCCGGAGATGATCAAGATGTTGCTGGGGTTGTACCTCTACCGGCCGCCGGCAGTGGTGGAGAGTTTACGCCGGAATACGACGCTGACGGTTTACATGTTGAAGTGAGTGCGGTTTATAGGTGTTTAAGTGGAAGAAAACGACTTCAGTTGAGTTTTAAAGGGACAGCGACACCGACGCTTTCACGTCACTTTCAGATGCCCCATCACCCAAAAGATGAACACCCTCCTCAGCAAGATCATCCCCGCGGCGGCCGTCGGCAGCGACGCTGCTATCGAGGCCCTCGTCGACAAGCTGTTCAATATCTTCGACTGGGAGATTGTGGACGCGAAATGGTACCTGATCACCGATACCTTTAGACGAACGTTTCAGTACGCGCAACACCATCCTCCTCGACTACCACACCGGCGCGCTGAGCAGCATGTGCACGCTCGTCTACGACATGCTCGCCACGCCCGAGACGGCCAAGATCAAGGACCGGCTGCTGGAACGGAAGCTCGTCAGCACGGTAAGACAAGCAAGAATGGAACAATTGTAGATGCTCTTAAGGCGGTGGACTATCTGCTGCGAGAACACCCACCCTTGTACAACACGATGGAGTCGCCCGAATGGAAGGAGTACCTCAGCCGACCCTGCCTCAAGACTGTCCTCACATTAATGCGCGGTCTCGCGAATGGACACGAGAGATGTCAGAAGGCGATCGCTGAGAAGAGCCTTCATATGTTGCATCGACTTGAGCAGGTAAAGACGATTTAAGGGATAGTGCCAGCTATTGTTCTAAAACTCATCCCCACCTCCTAGGTGGCGTCGGTGGACAGCGTGGGGACGCTTGCAGAATCGGTGGTGGACCAGCTGAAGGCCAATGCCGAGGTAGCCGCCCAGATCGAGGCGGTCAGGCTGGAGACGAAGCAGAAGAAGCGACAGATGGCGATGAACATGAGGCAGAAACAGCTGTCGAAGATGGGCATGCAGATGGGGCAGGGCAGCGAAATCAAGGTGGGAATTGTTTGAAACTGGGTTTCGGCTTAGGCTTAGCGTGGGCTTATGCTTATAAATCGACTTAGGCTTAAGAGCGGTCGTGCAAAACAACGACTTCTAGGTATCCTCCCGGAAGATCGCCAATGAACCGACGCTGGACGAGGCGGGCCCCAGTGACCCACTCGAGTCGTGCTGCATTTGTCGAGAGTCGATTTGCAATGTGGGTTCATCTCTCTCTTCTCTCTCTCTCTCGCTCTCTCTCTTTCTCCCTCTCTCTCTCTCTCTCTCTCTCTCTCTCTCTCTCTCCTCGCTCCCGCCTTATCTTTCCCAATCGATCACCACACATTTTCAGACGGAACGCGTGACGTGCGTGTACGCCTTCGTGACGCCCGTCGACCCTGTGCCCGTGGCCACGGAGTACAGTTCTGTTTCTCAGGTTTGTTCTCTTATCGGGCTACGGTAGGATACGGCCAATTCAGCTCGTCTTCGTGCACCTGGACTGTCATCAGAGTGCCATCCGAAGAACGACATCTCGAGGTGGACAAGACGAATGGGGCAAGGTAAGCGAGAGAGAAGAGAGAGAGAGCGAGAGAGAGAATCGCTGGAGAAAATGCCAAATTCTTTAGGCCTCCCTCCACAACGCCGGTGGACTCTGCAATGTTCTAATGCCCATCCCCATCAGCCAGGCGATGCCCAACGAATTCCGGGGCGCGCTTCACCGGGCCGAGGCTAATATCGGGGTAAGCCGGGCCCCGCGACGCGAACCGCAATGCATGGTGCCTCCTAAATTGCCCATCTTTTAGCAAGTCTGCCCGGCCGCGTTTGCCATCACGCGCACCTCCGTTTTTCTCGACATCTGTAGCCTGGTCGATCGATACGTGAACCAGAAAAGCTTCTCGCAGCATAGTCATGGTGAGAGAGAGAGAGAGAGAGAGAGAGAGAGAGAGAGAGAGAGAGAAGTGCAACTGAAAGATCAAGAGAATGAGCAAGAGAATGAGCAAGAAAATGAGCAAGAGAACGAGCTAGAGAAAGCGAGCGGGTGTTCGAAGGTGCTTGATCCTGAGGCCAATTCTGTCCTTTCCAGGTGGAGGCAGAGAATCAAACATGCAATACCTGGTGTCGCTCCAGCTACTCGCGCTCACCCTAGACGAGGGAAATCTGCCTACCAGGACCCCAGAGCAAAGGTAATTCTGGCCTAAGCCTAAGCCTCAGCTAAGCCCTGAAATTCAGACTACTAACCTTCTTGCTGACGACGCAGATGAGCCAGCACTGGCGGGAGGAGCGGGAGGATGCGCTCCGAGTGACGCTCAATGATGCATTGAGACCTGATAGTCAGTTTTCCAAGCGAGTGAATGGGAGAGAGAAATCGAGAGAGGGAGAGAGAGAGAGCGCGAAAGAGAGAGTGAGTGAGCGAGAACTTTGTTGTTTCCAGACATCAACAACCTAAACTGGCCTACCCTGCAGCCCGTCTTTCTCACTTGGGCCCTCGTCGACCTGATGTTCCACCGAGTATTGGTGGTGGGTTGTTAAGAAACCATTAAGGATGCGTACGGTATCGTAGCGTACGGCAGCGTATGGTAGCGGCGCGTACGTGCTAATGTGCTTGTACTTGCGAACTGTCAATAATAATGATAAAAATTCCAGTTTGTCACCGACGACCGCGTCAACTGGCTTAAGGAAAATTTTGTGGACGCGTTGAGGAAAATGGGTGACCTGGTAAGCAAAAATTGCCTGAAGAGCCTCTGCTAGCATACAGTTGCCTAAAGAATCTTTGCAAGTCTCCCCTTCCAAAAAAATCTCTGCTAGCCTGCCCCTTCCTAAAGAATCCCCTGCTAGCCAACCTGGTGTTTTTATATGTTTTATCCGTTTTGCAGGTCAAATACTACGACGATAACGTCTTGCCCTGCGAGGTTTTCGCCGAGTTTGCCGATGTCATGGGTAAAACGCGTTTAATTTTCTGAGAACTTCAGAATTCAGGTCTCGATGCAAACCACGAGATCTGGCTGGACGTCAAGGATATCTAGAACTGCCATATTTGCATATTCCTTTAATTCATCCGCATAAATCGATTTATTGATATGGACGTGCGTTGAGCTTTGAAGGTACAGATTTTACATAATGCCAGTGGCACGGACGCTCTGTTTGAAGACCGACTCCATGCTCGCCTGAAATTTTTAATGGGAGCGTGACCACTTTGGTTTTGATGACCTACATCAAAAACGTGCTTGATGTTCTCGGTGTTGGTGGCCGTGGTGAGGTAGGGGATGAGGGAGCTGGAAGGCGGATTCTGATTTTGTATGCTGAAGCCTAAGGCGAAACCTAAGCCTAAGCCTAAGCCTAGCCCGAAGCATAAGCCTAAGCCTAAGCCTAAGCCTAAGCCTAAGCCTAAGCCTAAGCCTAAGCCTAAGCCTAAGCCTAAGCCTAAGCTTCAACCTAAGCCTAAGCCTAAGCCTAGCCCGAAGCCTAAGCATAAGCCTAAGCCTAAGCCTAAGCCTAAGCCTAAGCCTAAGCCTAAGCCCAAGCCTAAGGCCATGCGAAACCACTAAAAACGAGCCCACCGTCGAGGCCTGGCGGCTTTCTTGAAGAGCTCAAAGAGAAACTCGCCGACTTCTTCGATATTATCACTACCTGCGAAAGCTTTGAATCGATCCGAGTTAATCTAACCTTGGTAGCTTGGAAAACACCGCCGGAAGGGATACGTCTTCAGCAATTCCTTGAATAGGTCCACTTTGTTGAGGAAGAGGAGAAACATTGAGCGTCGTAGCACCTGGAAATTAGGCTTGGGCTTAGGTTTAGGCGCAGGAATAGGTTTAGGCTTAGGAATCGGCTTAGGCTTAGGTTCAAGGTTAGGCTTAGGCATAGGCTTAGCAACTAGGTTTAATGGCAATAACTACATACCTTATTAGTGGCAATATCGCGAAACAGTGCCTTCGATTGCTCCATAGAACCGATCTGAAAAGACACTTTTTGGTGTTCTACAGTGATCCCCACGTCTTCATCACGAGCGTCTCGGGCATAGACGGTTAGGTCGACGATGAAGAGCACCACTCTAAATTAGCTCAAAAATTCGGGCGTCGCTATCCTGTTTTTCCTAAAGAATTTTCCCTAGCACCCAAGCCCTCACCTGACGTCATCGAAAAGATGCAACCACTTCCGACGCTGTGACTTCTGACCTCCCACATCGATAAGTCTGCAAAAATTGGCTCGCCAGTCGGTGGATCGCCTACCGTAGGCTGACACTTCTGTACTGAAACGTATTAAACGTAATGGTCGTCGTCGGCTCCCTTGAGTGAAGGATGTCATCTTGGGTCGGGACATAATTTGGGTCCGCTATTCGCTTTATGTTGTCGAAAAAGCTGAAAAGTTCAGGGTGAGCGATCGGAGGTCTCAGAGTGGGGCTAAGACCAAGCCAAAGCTTGGGTCCTAGCATAAGTCAAAGTCCCAGGCCCAAGCTTAAGCCCAACCTAAGCTTAAGCCTAAGCCCAGGCCTGAGCCTAACCCAGAACCAAAAACTGACTATTTTGTGGAATCGATCAGAAAAAGCCGATGGCGCTCCGCGTAGACTGCCTGGATACATGGAGACGCCCAAAATCTAAATGCTTCCTGGGGACGCATTAATGAGAGGCGTATCGAAAACTCCTGAAACTAACGTAGCCAACATGTTGCCCAACTCCAGACAAACCGTCTGCACATTTTCGTCGTCGGCTTCATCGAAAAAGTCGCTGATCATGGCCACAGTGTTCTGAAGTGTCGATTTTCAATTGGAATTTAATATAAAGGTTCTATATTTTTGAGTATATTTTCAAAGTGCTTAAAATAAAATTTTTTTTGTATTGACTTTTTTTGGAGCCAAATCAACCCGTAGATAGGCCCATGAATCGTTGAAAATAACGTAAAAACGAGTCGAAGCTAAATTCCTGCGTAATGCTAAAGGACCTTAATACATTACGCGATGGAAAGACGCTGCATTACTGACAGCTGCCAACTCACCATAATGCTCATCGTCGAAATTCCCAACATTCTCGCCCCAGAGCACAGTTGCTCATACGCCGTGCGAATATTTCTAAAAAGTTACGCAATAAAAATCATATAAATTATAGTTGTTTACCTAAATATCAATTCGGCAAAAAACGCCAGCTCGCCGATCTCTTTGAAGCCGCCTTTGTGGATGATTCTCAAAAGCTTTCAGTTAAAACGCACAAAAGGGTTGACTTTCGAAAGCTGGTTCTACCTCATCTGTTTGAAGATCGTGCTCTTGCCACAAGCTGGACCTCCTAGCAACAAAATCTTCATCAGGGTTCGGTCGTTGGAGCGGCATTCGGTTAGGTAGTCCTCGATCTCACGGTGGCGCTCCCTGGAATTAGAATTAGAGCAAATTAGCGGTGAACCTTGAGACAAAACTAGAATCATTTTAGGCTGGGGCTCGAGCTAGGATAGATTCTTGAGGATAAGGTTTGGCTATTGGCCCAGATTAGATCGTTAAGCTTAGGCATCGACTTCGCAAAGGTATCGCAAAGGCTTCGTTTAGGCTTAGGTTTAGACTTAGGCGTAGGCTTAGGCGTAGACTGCCTCGTTCCCTCTATCCGTATTTTTCATGGTCTTTTGATCCCGACCCGGCTGATCCCAATACCTGGCGAGTAATTTCAGCCGTATCTCCAGATCCTGGGGCTGAAGTTCGATTTCCGGGTCAGCCGGCGGGGGCAGCAGGCAGCTGAAAAGTTGGCGTTGACGCATGGCGTTTTCATATTCGACGTTTGGGCGATTCTAGTTTTTGTGCTGAGCGCAGAAAGGCGGGATGGGCAAACTAGCAGAGGTTCTTGCGGAAATAAGGTCGAGTTCTAACTCCAACCCGCTAGGCAAGCTGACAAAAATTCCCAGAGAACTAGCTTCTGCTTAGGCTTAGGCTTATGCTTAGGCTTAGCAAGCTAAAGATAGATGGTTGCGGACCAGACCGTAAGACAAAACGATTATTTATATTCTATGGGAAAGCTAGGCAAGCCAGCAGAGATTGTTGTGGATCAAAGGTGGCCAGCCGAGATCTGTGAAGCTTTAAAGGCCGCTTGATGCGTCTAAATCTACAAAACTTACGGATGGTTGCAAATTTTGTCGAGCCAATACGGTAGTGGCATAGGCGACAGGGCAGAATAGGTGCCTTGAAAGGACGATGCTCACCCAGCCCAAGATCGATCCAACCAGAAGCCCTATGCCGGCGTCATTTCATGCCCTCGGGGCGCCTTGAATAGTGTGAGGTTTTGGGCCCTTAACGGATATTCTGGAGCACCTGCCCGGCCGCCAGTCCGTTCACCTGGATGGCCGCGGAATTGGCGAGCCTATTGGCCGTGGTGACAGGTGAAAACCAGAAAAGCACTTTCAGAGACTATTATCGTAGACTTCTTGTCGTTTTTAGCTTCAGTGGACCTTCAAAAACAATATGACTAAAGATTTTCAATAAAATACTGATCATGTCCTCTGAAAGAGCGTGAAAAAGTACTGAAGAATTCCCGGATGATCGAGATCCCATTACGAAGATAGGCCAAGGCTGTCTCGTAGTTGGGATGGCTCATACGTATTCATGGATATTCCATGGCATCATGATTAGGCGCAATATTGCCACTTCAAAACCTACGGCCCAAAACGTGTAGTTTCGGTTTGATCAGTGGCAACGGCTTTAAGCCTAAGCCTAGGCCGAAGCTTCAGCTTAAGCTCAAACCTAAGCCTAAAGGCTAATCATCTGTATTCCTACAGCTAGGCCTAAGTATGCCAAAGTGTTATAGGCCTAAGCCTAATCACAAGCCTAAGCCTAAGCTGATCCCTAATCTAAGCACAAGCCTAAGGCTAAGCCTGAGCCTAGTTGTAACCTTATTAAAGAAGCTCCAAAGCAAAACAGGGGCCAGGGTATCGTAACCAACCAGCCCCGCCCCTTCAATGACGTATCGATACGTATCGGCCTGCAACGAAACTCGGCCCGACTATTTATGTGACAGCCATACAACCGTCTACCCCGCCCCCACACAATATATATAGCACGATCAGGCATCTTCTTTTCTGCACTACAGTAGCCACATCTGCATTAATGGATGCTTCAAACTCAGCACATTAATAGGCGGACACCGCTTCCCTAGCTCTTATGCATGGTTTCATCGTAGCGGTTCTGGCGCGATTAATAGCCTTTACTATGGCATTTTCCATGCTGTTCATTAATCGGCAAACACCTAGACACTCAAACTTAAGCTTAAGCCTAAGCAAACTAGACTTGATAGATAGGTTTCGACCTCTTCGATATGATTTTCGGATAAATTTCGGATTTTTTTAGAAACCATTTAGCCAGAAGTAAAGTCAGAACCATTTCACTTTTAGAAGAAATGGCCCTTCACCCCAGCGATCCGGCGCCGAGATTTTCGGCTGAACGCGAACCGGAGCAATCGGAGGACGATGAGGACGACCCGATGGTGGGTAGGAGTTCATTTGGTTTGCAAACCGGCAGAAGTGAAGTGCTCCCGCGTTAGTCCAAGGACGGCTCAATTTTCAAAATAGTGACCAGCTAAAAACACGGTACGCTGATTGGCCAATTAGTCGTCGTGGCAAAAGGATACGGTAGTTGAGACGCCATTTTCTTGCAGGACAAAATTCAGCGCGCGCTTTGCAGCAAGGGGCCGAATTTTCGTCTCGTCCCAACAATGTTTAGCAGACGCGGCTGTACCATTTTCGATATTTTATTGAAAGCATCATTTTCATCATCATTTTGAACATTTAGGACGCTAACCAATTCGATGAGATGCCAGGGAGTTCCAGCCAGGATCGCCCGGGAACGGTGAGCTTTAGAGTTTCAAGAGCAGGATAAGCCTAAGCCTAAGCCTAAGCCTCAGATTAAGCAATCCCGGTTTTAGTCCCACGAGAAGGAGCGGAAGCGCCGCAACGCGATTAACTGGCGACAAAATATGGCGGACATGCGCAGGAGACACGAGGCCCTGACAGATGAGTCGAAACAATTGGAACAAGAGTCCGCGAGGCTACAGCAAACGCTCGAAGCTGTAAATAAGCAAATCGCAGAACGGGAGGCTGAGGTGATGAGGCTGCATCGAGAGAACGGGTCGTTGACGGCAAAGGTTAGGATCAATCAGATTTTTTAGAAAAAGGCAGCCTAGCATAGATTCTTTCGGCAAAATGAGGCAGCAGAGATGTTTTAGGAAAGACAGGCTAGCAGAGATCCTTTTGGAGAGGGCAAGCTAGTAGAAAATTTTTGCAAAGTTACGTTGATGCCCTTAATGCTCAATTCTCAGGTTGAACTGCTCGAACAACAGCTACGCGGGCAGTGACGTGACCAGTCGTCGGCAAAACTACATATCAACGATTTGCTATCATATGAAAAAAAGTCATGCTGGGCTTCAAAATGCCAATTTATCATTAACGAAAATTCCGGAAAGCACAATTTCTACGATAACACCGGCAGAATTCAAGTGAGACATTATGAAATTCGACACTCCAACATCGCGTTTTCCTTTCGCGGCACATAATTATTTTTGTTAGGAATTTAATAAATTTTTTGAATTCTTCTGGCGCATCTACGCAAATTTGAATTACTCGTCAAAGCCCAGGCGAGCCCGAGTGCTCGACACGCTGCTCATGATAAGAAAACGATCGGTGGAAGGAAATTCATAAAAAAAACAGATCAAAAGCTTGTCTGGGGGAACGGTTCAATACAGAAAGGTCAAGGATCAAAGACAAGACGTCAGCCGACTAGTGATAGTCTCCTTTTCTCACATCTCTCAAGCCGCTTCTTATCTTACTACGCATTACTAAATGTTTAGAGAACCAGGAGCGTAGGAAATTTTCGATTTTCGACATTCTAATCAATCACCAAAATTCGAAAAACGTAACCGTCGGGTTCGCATCGAACACTTTATTAGTCGAGACTTACGGTTGAGCCTAAGCCTAAGCCTAAAAACTAAGCTTAGAAGACGAAAAAAGCGCCTGAAAAGTATCGATTTTTCTTGATTATCTTGCGAAACAGGTGTGACGTGGCTTGAAGGGTACGTATAGGGTGTAGACCGGTGATGATTGACACATTAAGGAATACTATTGACTATTTGCTTGCAAAAATCCTATGCCGACTGCAGCAAGGAAATTCTTCTATTTATAGGAAATCCTTCGCTTCTTTCTCTCCCTCCCCCCCTCTCTCTCTCTCTCTCTCTTTCTCCCTCTCTCTCTGTATCTCTCTCTTTCTCTCCCTCTCCCACTCTGGCGCTCTCTCTCTCTCTCTTTCTCTCCCTCTCTCCCACTCTCACTCTCTCTCACTCTCTCAATCTCTCACTCGCCTTCCAAATTTCTCAATCTCTCCCGTTTCAGACGTGTGGCATCCGTATACCACCATACATGGAGCACAGGAATTCCCCAGATACGGTAACAGTAGCCTTTTTGAGGGTTGCCATTCGATTCAGGAGCAAATGCTGCCACTAAAAGAACGGAAGCGCCGCAACTCTAAACTTTGGAGGGCGAGATTGGCGAAAATTCGACATCAGGTGCCGATATTGGAACGGCGCAAAGAAGCGCTGACACTTGACAACAGGACGCTAACGGTGGGTGTAGCCGCGGAGATTGCCCTTTCCTAAAGAATATCTGCTAGCCTGCTTTTCTCATCGTTTTCAGGAAAAAATCTCTACGTCCAGGAAGCGATCCCAAGATTTAGAACGACAAATCGCTCAAATCCTCCACGAAAATGCAAGTCTACAAATCACCGTAACAATTCTCGAGCAAGAAATAGCGCGCAGAGAGGCCCAGCATACTGACTGGCATCTGTGGGCCAGTTTGTAGTTTGTACACCTTGTTTTTTTTGCAATTTCATTAAACTGAATACGAGACCAGAACGCTTTATACATGAAGCAGACCCGCGATAACACAATAAATTACGCTGTGCAATGCATTTAAACGGACCGGGAATTCACAAAGGATGGGAGATTTTTTTTGGGATTACAGATCAAGCTTCCGATTAAATACATGGAATATAACATGGAGCACCCGAGAATGGAGAATACCGTGTGGGGGAAGGGGAATACGGAAGACTACGTGGCGATACGGGCCGGAGAGAATCACAATTCGGACACGGGATACACAAAGTAATGGAATTATGCTTAAGCTTAGCTTAGGCTGGGCTTAGGCTAGGGCTTATGCCTTCGTTAATGAATCCATCGACGACGAGAGGGTACTCTTGACGAGAGTACCATGACCGATCGAGCTGCATAGGGCTCTGGAAATCATTTAGGTTAGTCAGCAACTCCAAACTCGATTCTAGCCAATTTTAAAGGGGCTGTGATGTCAATCTGATCCGAAGAATCGTAGAAAATCGAGAAGTCAAAATTTGCATGATTTATGCTTATAAAAACTAGCAAATCTGGTTTTTGTGCCGATTTATAGCGGTTCGGGATCGTTATTTGAGGATTCTCTCCATTTCTCTCTCTCTCTCCCCCATTTCTCTCTCTCGCTCTCTCACTCTCTCTCCTTCTCTCATTACCCAAAGATTTCAACGCAATTTCGACTTCACAGTCTCTTCAAAGAGCCCCCCACCTTCCATTGAAGAGCCCATTATTCTGGCGGTGTAGCCGTTGCGTAGTGTAGCGTAGCGTATTGTCGCGTCCCTTCACGGGTCGGCAGAAGACTACGCGTGCAAACTCTTTTCGGAAGCGGCCGCACATGAAATTGTAGAGGATCGGGTTGAGGCAGCTGCTCGAGTAGGAGAAGAACCTAGAAATTGTGGGGGGCATTAATGGGAGAGATAGCGGAGTAATCAGTATCATAATTGATTATCAGCCCCTGTAGACGTGCATTAATGAGTGTTATAATTGAGCTCGAAAAATCACCTCGGTGTCAGCTTGCTCAATGCGATCCAATTCATATCGATCTCCTCTTCTTCAACTTCTTCCTCCTCACGCCCTTTCTCGAATGCACTAAATAAAGGGTTCTTTTTCAGCGTACCCGTTCTCTGTCCTTTCCTGAAGAATCTCTGCTAGCATGCCTTTGTGAATCTTCTCTGCTAGTTTGCCTGTTCTCTTAAAGCAACGAGCCAAAACCTCCTTCAAACGGCTCAAAATCCAACGAACCTCTTCAAATGATACCAATGCACTGGCAGATAGCTGAATGCAAATACGGCCACCACGGCAATTAGCATCCGAATGGCCTTCCGTCGGTGCGCCAGTTGCAGCTTGCCGATTCTGAAAGGCACGCATAAGCTCTAAACATCCTTGATGCGCGTTCTCGTGTGCTTTAGGGGTTTAAAGGGATGGCACATGAAGAGAATCTTCAGCCCCATAGGTTTTTGCAAGACTTAAGAGGGTCCCAGCCACTCACTTCAACTCGGAGGAGCGGAGCGTGTTGCGCATATGGAAGCACAAGTATGAGATTAGGAGCAGTGGCATCAGATAGAAGACGAGGAACATGAAGACCTGAAAGTATCCGGATAAATCGCCTAACCAAAGCCTAAGCCTAAGCCTACGTGTAAACCTAAGCGTAAATTTCCTACCTGATATCTCCTCTCGAAATCGGCCGACCACGTCTCCATACACCGTGTGCCCCACTGAAGAGAAATTTCAGGCTACAGGGCATTACACCTACCGTAGTCGTAAAGTTCTCCTTGGTGAAGTTGGCGGGCTGGAGGTTGAGGGTGATCGGTTCGGGGAGGGAGAGCACGATGGAGAGCACCCAGGTTCCTGAAAGGTTTTGTTTACGACTTTCCTCAAAAGAAATCGTTCTCGGAAGCGGGGAAGCTAGCAGAGATCATTTCGGACTCCAGAGAAATTTGGCAGACATCATTTAGGAGCAGCGAAGTCGTACCGGCAATAACCTTCCTCGTCGCCCGGATAGGTCGCTTCAAAGGATAAGTTATAGCGCGCCACCTCTCGAAGGAGATGAACACCAGCGACTGGATGGAGACGTACACAGAAGTATTCTAAAAGAATCTTATAATTTCAGAGCATCCGAACTCGCTTCGCACCTGGAAAAAGATGATGCTCTTGCAGGCGACGTTGCTGAACCAGAACGTCTTGGTGACGTCGTTGATGACGGTGGGCGGGAGGCAGAATAGGAGGACGAGCAGATCGGCGCAGGCCAGGTTTGCGAGAACGATGTTCATCGACGACCACTGGAAGGTGGGAGGTTAATGGATCAATGCTTATAAAAATCCTTGCAGCTAGCCTACTTCCGCTTAAGCATTCGATCCTCAAGGAACACTGCTAGTTTCTGTGCCCCTGAGTCATTTTTCCTCAAATTGCGCGCTAATTTGTCTAGCCCGCAGATCTTAGATTTTTTGAACTTACGCGCAGTTATTTACGGCTCTCAAAATACGCGAAAAATCTAATGACGCCTTTGGTAGTTTTTCCCTACCCAAGGCGCTAATCCCCCGTCGGGTTAAATCGGGCGAAATGGGCCCGGAATAGCCGGAGCGCTAATCCGGATGTCCCAAGACATTTTCGGATGTTGTCGACCTTTAGACAAAGGGTTTTCGGACGAGATTAAATTTTTTTTGTGTTAATCATGAGGCTTTTCAAGGGCCGGTTGATGTTTGCGGTCAGGGTTACGGTTTCGGGAGGGTATATGCTTTGGTATTTTGGGATATGACCATAACCCTTCGGGAAGGAAAAGCCTATGCCCCCCTTAAGCCGAAGCCTAAGCCGTAGCCTGAGCTTGAGCCTAAGTCTAAATTTATGCCTAAGGGTAAGCCTAGGCCTAAGTCTAAGGTGACCTAAATAAAGTGGTCGGGGACCACTCCTCATAAAGCCTGATCAAGCAGGCAAACTAGCAGAGACCTTTGCGCAAATTCTTAAAGACCTCCTGAAGCCCGATTTTGGCACCCAGCCAGGCTATCCCATTTTTCAAGCGATCGAATTCGGCCGATGAATTATTGCTCGGTGTAGTGCACAGTTGTTTCGTATGCACAAAAATGTTTTTGAGGCCAGGCTTCCAATCTTGGAGGGCTGTTTTTGCTACTCGATCTCGAGCGCGGTTTTGGGTTTTCGGTCGCCTATTTCGAATTCTGTGTTTCGGTTTGGTGGGCGTTCGTAAATAGGCGCCGGGGGGAACGGAAATCCGGAGTTTTTAGGAGGCCTATTTAGGAAGAACGATCAATTACACGGTGATAAGCGACTGGTCGAGTAGGCATCCGCGTAAGCGCTGAGCCTAAGTTTAAGCCTACGCCAAGCCAAAGCTTAACTTAAGCCCAAACTTAAGCCTAAGCCTAAGCCTAAATTTTTTTGAGAATTGCCTCACCATAGTCCGTTTTGAGATGACCACCATCACCACTAGCGTATTGCCAATCACTCCAACCAGGAAAACGACGCAGAAAATGCCGACAAATAACGACTCCAGCTGGTTAGGCCATAGGTAGCTTCTAGAACAGCGGCTCATAAAGGAGAGTCCTTTCATTCTGCAAACCTGACCACATCCTCGTACTCATCGTCCGTCATATTCTCGTAGGACGGGTAGTCCACTTCGTTCGGGTCGCCCATTTCGTGCTAGATATTTCGAATTAAACTTCTTAAGTCCTGAGATCCTGAAGAGAGAAAACTTGAGCAGAATCAAACACAAAAAGGGGATCAGATTGGACCTGCGCTTCGCCTCGGCGAAAAATAATTAGTGCATCTAATCCGGGGAAACATGCTTTTGTAAAAGATTCCAAAGACATTGAGGAAATGATTTTTGCAGCAGTACGTGATTTTTGGCGCCGTTCCGGGAAGCAAAACCGGGGACTTCACCGTTCGAAGAACTGGCTACAAATATGTAAAAAGTGCAGAATAGTACAAAATCCGTTGACAAAAGAGAAAAGTGCGTTAGAATTGAAGTCGCCGGGGAGGGGAGCGCCTCGAGAATGTTTGGTAGTTGTGGGCTATGATCAGCGTTCTGGTGAAGGAGCGGCGGGACGAAAAGAGACGAAAGTGAAGCCTAAGCCCAAGTCTGCCTAAGCCTAAGCCCAAGCCTAAGACAGGTCGTTGAGGCAACACTCTCCGAAATAGCTGCCAAAAGTGAGGAGGGGAAAAGGGACGAGAATCTTTCTTTGAAGCCGGCCAGATTTTCCCATGGCCTGCCATTGTTTGAGTGGAAGGGGAACGGATCGAAAGCCAGGGTCGAGGTGGAGAAGATTCATCTGGCCAAACATGAGCATTCGCCTTTAATTAAAAGGATCGAGCAAGATCGATCCGCGCTGTTGGCGCGCTCCCTTTAGGAAAAAACTTCAGTACATTTTGATGCTGAACGGGTTGACCAGGTTTTTCGGGCTCTTATAGTCCCAGCCCGATGTTATCTATGCAAAAGAGTATTGGGTGGATTTTTGAGCCGGATATGGGAGGAGGAGGAGATGGGCAAAGATCTACGGGGCCGAAAGTCTGATGAGAAAGACAGAGAGAGACAGAGAGAGACAGAGAGTGAGAGAGAAAACGAGAGGGTGCTAGAGTAATTGAGTGAGAGAGGAAGGCGAAAGAGCGACAAGGAGAGAGAGAGAACGCGATTAAGAGAGAGAAAACTACGCATTTTAGAAAATCAATAATTGGCAAATGCTTAAGATGCTTTTAACGAGCAAAAACCACCCGAAAAATGGTTAGATTTTGGGGCTCGAGTCTGGGCGGCATCACATAAATATCAGAGTTGTTTGGGTCCGGGTAGCTTCCGAAGATGAGGCTCCTGGCAGAGCGGCGACCCATATCCGTGGGGAGGCTGGTTACTTTTGGGAATATTCGTGGAATGGCTGAACGGGTCGAAGTCGTTGGTCACCACGGCTGGGCTGATTGCCCGCCCCTAGATTATCCCCGGACAACCTTTTGCGATGACTACACGACTTTTCGGGTGGACATGGCCCTATAGGGGGGCAAACACGGATTAGTGCTCGCGTACAGGGGGATGTGGATTACGTGCTGCCGCCCCATTTTTGAGGGGGTTACGGTGGTTAAAGGAGGCGGTTAGGCTTATGGCTAAGCCTAGCCTTGTTCCTAAGACCAAGCCTAAGCCTAAGCCTAAGCCTAAGCCTGAGCATAAGTCTAAGTCGAATAAAGCATAAGTCGAAACCTGCATCTAGGCCTTGTAAGCATAACTCTTAGTAGAAGCCCAATCCAAAGCTAAGCTAGCTGGTTTCGAGCCAAGCCCAACCAATCCCAAAAGCCAGGCCCAAACCCGAGCGGCCAACCAATGTCTAAACATCCCTTTTAGAAAAAATCAGCAGAAAACTTTTCGAATATTTTAGAGTTTTAATTAAACGTGGCAGGGAAAGGTTTTTTCGGGAGAAGACCCTCCGGAAATCTGACTTTTCGGCGATAACAACAGCGTGTCTTGTTGACGGGATTATCCGGACAAGGGGGTTTTAACCATAGTTTGGAGAAGATGGGCTTCTGGTCAGACGACGGAAGAAAAATTCGTTTTGAAAAATTGGAAACGGCAGAAAACACGGGGCGACGGGAATTTATGCAAGACAAGCTGGCAGCTATTTTTTAGGAATGGACCGGCTAGCAGAGTATCTTTAGGAACGGCGGATTAGCAGAGACTTTTTAGGAAAAGCAGCGCCTAAAAGAAACAGCCAAGCCGAGTTCCGGGCTGGCCGGAACGAGCCCCGGAGCCCCCGGAACTTGCAAAACGATGTGCGGGGGAACATCTGTGAGGGGTTAGGGCCCTGGGAAAGTGTTGAGGTGCTTTAGGGCCCGGGCTGAGCCTGCCCAGCTTGCCCCCGTCCGCCACCAGCTTATCAGATGCCCCCGAGATACTTGAAATTTCATGAAAGCCGGAAGCGCTAGGCCCAGAAAATAAGCCAATAAGGGCATGCAGGGGCATTTAAGGTATATGCGTGTGCTTAGGAATATTTTATAATAAGCTGAGGTTCAGGCTTACATGGGCTTGGGCTTAGGTTTACGCTTTGGTTTGGGCTTAACCCTAGGATTGGCTTAAGCTTGGCTTAGCCTTGCTTAGGCTTAGGCTTTCGCTTAGGCTTAGCCTTAGCTTGGACGTAGGTATAGGTTATACCTGGGCCCATGCCCACCCCGGGCTACGCCGGACAACAAAATACACGTGAACCAGCGGGGCGTCGAGGAGGAAAGTGATCGTTGTGTCGTCGCAGCAGGGGCGCTACCCCGAAGTGGCCCCAATTTCCGTTTTGGTGACCCCGGAAAAAAACGAGTGTGATCCCCCGCGGAAAAATGGACGACATTTTGATGTGGGCGTCGGGGGATGCCCCGGTCCGGAATACAGCCAATTTTCCGAAGAGCGGATTGACTAGCAGAAACTGCCGCGCTTTGGGCGAGTTTTAAAGCAACTTGGAAGCGGGGATAAAGGGAGCAACTTTAGGAAAGGCAGGCTAGCAAAAAGTCTTTAGGAAAGCGCAGTCCAGCATAGATTCCTTAGGCAAAAACGCACTTTCGCATCGGTATTCGACAATTTGTTTCCACGACACGAAGCCGGGTAATTTTGTAGATTTGGGGAAAACAAGGGCTGGCTGGTGTGGATGTCGGATGCCCGGAAATTGGTGCCCGGTATTTCCGGGAAGATTTCGTTCCCCCATCTCAACTATTTTCGGAAATTGTGTTGCGGAAATTGGGCACTCATCAGACGCGGCATATCGTCACTATACGGTAGATGACACCGAAATTGTTGTTGGACTGTCTGGATCTGGGAGATAGAGAAAGAAAGAGAGTGAGATATAGAGAGAGAGAGAGAGAGAGAGAGAGAGAGAGAGAGAGAGAAAGAGAGAGCGAGCGAAAGAGAGAGTGAAAGAGAGAGACAGAGAAAGAGAGAGCGAGAGTTAAAATGAGAGAAAGAGAGCGAGAGACAGACTCAAGACCTATGCAGACACGTCAGACAAAAGACAAATTGGAGAGCATAATTTTATGCGGATTATTCGATATGGAGTGTTTTTCGGATTCCGTAGCGGCGCGCTAAATAGAATCGAGGCGAGTGTCCGGCGGTCCAGTCGGGAGCATTAACAGACACTCGGAACGAGGCCAGCGCTCCCTAAAATGCGCCCCCCAATTACCCAGTGGGGTTGATGGCGCAAATGGGGCCAACCCCTCAAATTTTCGCGTGGGGCCCTGGGAGCCTGGGCCCTTGCCGGAGGTGATAGGGATCCGGAAAAAAAATGGCACAAAATATAAAAGAGCACACGAATAATAAAGGGAGGAAAATTTTTGCGTCTAGTTGATCTCGTTCCGCATGACAACAATTGAAAAGGAATTCGAAATTTTTGAGAGTTCAAAAGATGAAGGGAAATTAATGGCAACATTAGGGGGTGCGGTCGCGAGAGAGAGATAGTGAGAGAGATAGAGTGAAAGATAGAGTGAGAAACAGATAGAGTGAGAGAGGTAGAGAGAGAAAGAGAGAGAGCGAGACAGCGAGACAGCGAGAGAGAGCGACTGAGAGAGTGAGAAACAGATAGAGTGAGAGATAGAGTGAGAGAGTGAGAGAACGAGAGACAACTACAAAGAGAGTGAGAGAGAGCCTGCGATTCGAGCGGGAAACTGCAGCAAATATCGAAATGCTTTTTCATCGAGCTTTTCCATCCCTTCGCCCCTCTAAATGGCCCCACTCAACAATTATGGGGGTGGGAAAGTTTATCCGGAATCGACCCGTTGACGATAAAGTTTGGCAATCGGCAAGTCAACGTTGTTACCTAGCCTTAAAGGGATTCTGAAGGCGGTGAGAGAAAAGGAGAGCGAGAGTGATGGAGAGCGAGAAAGTAAGAGCGGGAATTAGAAACCCCTAAACTTATTTGCCAATTTAAACCCACGACTGCCAGACCCTGGGAATGTGGAGGGTATTTGCATAAATTTTCGCCTAGGGTTCCGGTCGAGCAGTGAAGCTTCGAGGCAGAAAACAGTGTAAAATGCCGGTTCTAAAAAGCATGAAATTCCAAGCCTAACGTGAACGTGCAAAAGATTTTTGACTTTATTCACCCCCCAAAGGCCGCATATCTTCCCAAAAATATTGTGCCCCTTCTTCGAAACCCCTTTAGGAAATCCCAACAAAGATGATCAAATTCTCGGAAGCGCATAGAAGCGTGAGGGTTCAGAAAGCAGTGTTCGTTTTTTTGGTGAAAGAGACCCGAAAATCCGGGGGAATCCCGAGCTACGGGGGTGAATTTTGGACCCACTGAGGAGAGAGTCATTCAATGCGAATGTGTTTATATTAATCGAATTAAGAGACAACGCGTCGTCAACGGGAATAGGGCGGAATTTGGGCCCGGAATAGGATTTGGAAGAGTGCCGCGTAAGAAAAGCTTCTCTCTCTCTATCCCTGTCTCTCTCACTCTCTCTCACTCTCGCTCTCCCTCTCTCTCCACAACACTTCCCGAACCTTGAACACCTTAAATAATTCATTGGATCGCCAAATTATGTTGCGCGAGGGCACATACGCACGCGTATTCTTATCCCAAAGAACATCAACAATTCAAGGGACCCTCTATAGAATATCTCACGTCGCCATTTCTGCGCTGTGTTGTGCGCTGAGGGCATTCCGAGTGGATTTCCGTGACTTTTGCCCGGCCGTCGATTAAGCATTCGCTGAATAAGAGACGCGTAGCTTAAGGCCGTCCCCATCCACCGCTGAATTATTTGTTGGTCGCGTCTTCGGAGGGCAAATCATAAGGTCGGTGGGTTGGTGGGGTCAAAACAAATAGCGGTTGGTTGGGGGATCTTCGTATTAGGAAAGTTGGTTTAAGCCTAAGCCTAAGCCTAATTCTGAGCCTAAGCCTAAGCCTAAGCCTAAGCCTAAGCCTAAGCCTAAGCCTAAGCCTAAGCCTAAGCCTAAGCCTAAGCCTAAGCCTAAGCCTAAGCCTAAGCCTAAGCCTAAGCCTAAGCCTAAGCCTAAGCCTAAGCCTAAGCCTAAGCCTAAGCCAAAGCCTAAGCCTAAGCCTAAGCCTAAGCCTAAGCCTAAGCCAAAGCCTAAGCCTAAGCCCAAGCCTAAGCCTAAGCCTAAGCCTAAGCCCAAGCCTAAGCCAGGCACACGGGGGAGCAAAATTACAAGTGCAAGTGCTGGAAAAAGCCAAAAAAACGCAAGACAGCCAACGCGCCGGGGCTAGAAAATATTTGCGTTCCCGTGGCGTCAAGTTCTGGCGGTGAGGCGCGAAATTACTTCTTGCTAGGCCTGGCATTGGCGGGCAGGGTGGACGATTTCCAATTTCGGGCTCCGGGGGTCGAGACTTCTGACGGAAGAGGTGTGCGTGTCTGGTCTACGTAGTCGCAAGTCAGGAAAAGAAGTTCGGAGCCATATGGATAGATGGGGGAGGCGGCCGACGAATTCGTTCCGGGGCTCTAGTCTCGAAAAATTGACCTCGTCGAAGTCGGGGTTAACAGCTTATTAAGGTTAGAAGGAAAAAGGTGCGGAAGAAGAGCGAGAACAAGAGACAGAGAGGAGCGAGAGAGAGCGAGAGAAAGAGAGAGAGAGAGAGAGAGAGAGAGAGAGAGGGAGAGAGAGGGAGAGAGGGAGAGAGCGAAATAGAGAGAGAGGCAACAGAGATAGAGAACACAAAGCTATTCACGTATTCTCACGTACTCGCTCAAACCCTAGATCTTAAATCCGTGGCCGAAGTGCCGGGAGGAAAATCTCGGCAAAATCTTCACCCGGCTCTCCCGGCCGCCATAAATCGGCCGTTTCGCGGCGGCGTAATGGCGCGCCGATGCGCGTTTTTTCGCCGATTTCGGGGCTCACCGGGCGGGTGGCTTCTCCCATTTCCGGGACAAGCGAGTAAGACCTATGTTTGCCGATTGATGGCGCCGCCAAGTCCGGAGCTCGGGAAGCGCATTTTAGTGAATGGATCGCAAGGGTTTAAAGGGAACGACAAGGGGGATTTGCAGAGATTCTATAGGAAAGACCAAACTAGCAGTTATTCTATAGGAAAGGGCACGCCAGCTGATACAGTCTAGCATCGATTCTTTGGGTCGCAGGCTAGCAACGATTCCTCAAGAAAGGACAAAAATTCATAGTCGAAAAAACCGTTCCGCGGCACGCTTCTGGACAACAATGCAAACCGGGTCCCGGTAAGGCCTAAAGAAATTTGGCATAATACCCGCGAGAGGACCCGAAAAGCGCGAGCCACGAGGAAGATGATTGGGGTGTCGGAGGAAGGGGGGGGCGGGGCGGAAGATTTGGGTCGACCACCCGGAAACAATGGATTTACTCGAAACAAGGCGCAAAATGGGTGGGGGGGGGGACAGCCGCGTGTTTCTGGTCATAAAAAGCGTCTGGTTCGGGAGGTTCGCTAACCTGCTGTAGGCTCCTCAGAAGAATCTGCCTGTAAAAGCGGTGCTAATCGGCACTCTCCTAAAAGATCTTTGCTAGCCAGCCATTTCGCCATTTCGCATTTAGCCAATATTTGCCGCCTTATGCTCAGGGTATTATTTTGGGTCCAATAGCCCAGGTCCATTTATGCTCGATTACTCAAAATCCACCCGCTCCCCAGGTCAGCCATGGGAATCAGCTAATGTTTCTGGGAGCGGCAGGCTCTTTTGGGGCGAATTTTGAGTCAGGTGGTGCTTGGGAGGCTGCATAGATGCAGCTGGTACATGTTTCGGACGTTTGGAACGCAGATTTTCGGTGTTGAAGGGGATGGAATAGGATCGCTCTACCGCCGGGTTTTTGGGTACGCCGGAAATGCATGTGTAGACTTTTCGAAAGTTATAACGGCTGGCTTACTAAGCTAGATGGTTAAACTCATACTTGTTCCCAGTCCCTTTAACCCGCGACAATCGTGAAGAATGCGAAGGAGAACCCCTTTCCCAGAGAGCCGAAGTTTGGTCAGCCACCGCCTAATGAGCGCCTCCGGCCGTCTGTTTTTCGGATTTCATTTTGTGGCGGTCGGCCCCCGGCTGACCGTTCATTTGGATGGGAACGGAGCGTGGAAGAAGAGAAGAAGAATGGAATTGCCAAAATTGGGCGAAGTATTGGGATGGAATCTGAGATCAACATGAGGAAATAGCGGATCGGGGGTGTCTGGGTTTTCGGGAAAAGGCATGATTTGGGAGAGATTCTTGGGGGAAAGCATGCAAGCGGAAATTCTTTAGGAAAGGCAGGCTAGCAGAAATTATTGGGAATGGCTGCCTGGAAGAAACACTGGCGAAGGGCAGGCCAGCAGGGATTCTTTGGGAAAGGTAAGCCAGCAGAGACTCCTTAGAAAGGGCTGTCCGGTAGAGATTCTTTTAGGACAAGGCAGGCTAGCAGAGATTCTTTTGGAAGAGCTGCCTGGCAGAAGTTTTTGGCTGATTTATGGAATGTTACACCCTGAAACGTGCAAATGTTTTGGGAGAAAGCGGTCAGTCGGTGCATGGCAGACAAATTTGGCCACTCAAGCCAAGTAGCCTCGGGACCAGCCAATGTTTTCGGCAAAGTAGTGAACCCGAAATAGATGGAGGTCCAGACACTTCTTCTTGGAGCTGTCCAGTAGAAACCAAAGGACACGAATACGGGTTAAAGCCATCGAAGGGCGCACATCAAAGTCCCTCTGCTGCAATCATCCCATCAACTCAAAATCCCTTATTATTTATTCCCACACAATAAAAGGCACACGAAACGAATGGCATCACACAAGAAAACACAAAAGGGAAACGCAAAATCGGGGGGGTCTTTTCCAAATAAGGGCGCTCGGTTTTTTTTCTTAGTTTTGTATCGCGCATCGGGTGTCTTCAATATTAATTCGCGCTTCATCAGCCGGCGGTGAGGCGGAGCTTCAGATGAAGTACATGCGGTACTTGAACTTCTCGGCCACCGTCACGCACTCCTGCAGCGCCGCGTCGCTGTTCGAAGGGCGGGCTCCAGGCGGCGAGTCGTCGGTGCCGGTCGCTAAAAGCAGCACGTTTCGAGGTCGTTTGCAGTGATTTTGAAGTTAAGCCTAAGCCTGAGCCGAAGCCGAAGCCCAGCCGAAGCCGAAGCCAAAGCCTATCCCAGGGTCTGAAAACACGCACGAGTGTCAGTGGGCGCGGTGGGCGCGGGAGCGCGGCTGTTCGCCTTCTTTGCCGGCCGTCCACGCCCGACGGCCATCAAGTTGGACAGGGTCGACGCGACGGAGCCCGTCTCGGTCATGCTCTCGTTGTCGTGCACACCACTAAACACCGCGGATCACTATATGAGGCTCGACCGGCCGTACAGCTTGCGCTTGACGTGGCAACGGGCGCGGGTAGCCACGAGGTCGGCGTAGTAGACGGGGGCCGGGATGGAGACGGCGCGCGTGCAACGACCGTACGTGTGGCACATGCTGTAGGTGATGGCCTGCATCTCGTCCGACGTGAAGTTGTTGTCGTCCCACAGGACCAGGTAGCGAGCCGGGCGAGACGTGCCTGAAGGAGATGAACATTGAGATCTGGCGTCGCCTAGAGTTTCACTGCTAGTTAAATGCCTAAGCCTAACAAGTCTGCGATGAGTTTTTGAACGAGACCTAGCTAGTTCGATAGAGAAAAAAATTCTGAACAAGATGTCGGTTTCCAAATCTGCTAACCGTGTACGATATTCAATAAAAATTAATTTTAATGAAAAAATCCCTGGACGTCAGGCTGCGACCTATGGATCAGGCCCGGGACAAAGCCCACAGCGCGAACCAGCATCCGCATGAGATCGTGGCCTAGTGGATAGTGCCGGCGCCTATCAAACTTTTGGAAAAGTATGCCCAGGGTTCGGAACTTATTGTGATTTATTGTTTTGCTTTTTGGTTTTTCTCGCCATTGAATCGAATTTGGCATTATCGAGCAAAAGCAAAGAGTTTTACTAGCGAGGAGTCGAACCCGCTGGCAAAAAGACAAAACTTTGAAGCAAGCGCACTACCAATAGGCCAGCTGGTCATGGCTGGAGGGAGGCCCAAAGGGGGCTATGTCGACGCGCACCAAGACGGCAGAATCTGCGGATCAGGCGGAAAATGATGGTTGGATTAACGATTTTCAAATTAATTTTTATTGAATACAGTACACGGTTAGCAGATTTGGAAACGGCATCTTGTTCGTATTTTTTTCTCTAACTTCTGTCTCGTACACCTATATCTACCAACCCTTATAAACCAATTGCCCTATGCTGAAGCACCTTCCTGGCTTGCTTGGGGGCTAAGAGCCCGCCCCCCCGCCCTGGGGAGGGGGCAGGTGGTCGAAGCCTTCGGGGGAGGTCCCGCGGTCGTGCCGGGCGGGATGTTCTTGGCCTTGCCGACGGCGTCCTTGCTGTACTTGCAGAAGATGCGCGCGTGGTGCCGCTTCTGGACGACCACGTAGCTAGAAGACAAGATGGGTGGTTTGGCGCCAACATAATGCCTACGTGATAGGCGGGCGGTAGTCGGGGGACAACATCAAGCAGGCGGAGCGGATGCCCTGGATCTCCTCGCGCAGCACCTCGGCGAACTGGCCCTCGCTGACTCCGTCGCGGTAGACGATGATGCGCTCGGGCTTTTGGTGCGTGTTCTTGTAGAAGGCCACTGAAAAATGCCGATTCCCCAAATGGTCTTCGCCAGCTGGCCCTAAATTCCTGGTTCCGTACCCAGGCGTTCGCGCACCGCGTCCAGCAGGTAGACGACCGACTCGCGGCACTTGCGCTGCACCTTGACATTGGCGCCGTACGTCTGCGGGTAAAGATCGAGGTTGGCGACGACCTGAACGAGCTGGTAATGTTGGATGAAGCAGAAGTACTCACGGCCGCCACCGAAGGGATGTTGAGACGTTCCTCGGCCTGCGTTGGATGCGTCACGTCGACGCCAATAATCAGCGTAGGCACGTCGACGAGGTACTTGTTGGTGATGGCGTCGGCGACGAGGCGCGAGTTGATACCGCCCAGCTTCATGTTGATCTTCAGGATGATGTTGGAGCAGGTGGCCGGCGATGGGCGGAGCACGTTCTTCATCAGGATACACTGCGACATGATGCCGTACGTCATGTCCGAGCACTCCTTGACGGTCACTGAAAAGAAAGGGGCATCTTCAAGAAGTGCACATCTCGAGCCTACTGTAGATGTCCGAATTCTTGGCGGGCAGGACGGCCATCACCAGGTCGCATTGGGTGCCCGTCTGGCGGTACTCGGTGGCCACCTCCTAGAAAGGGAAGATCATCTACAGGCCACATAGGAGGCTTACTCGGAAGAGGAGGGCGACATCCTCACGGCCGCGCCCGTACTTGACAAGGTCGGGCCAGCGCGGGAACTCCATTCCCATCTGGGCGGCTTTGCTGTGGAGGGCCTGGCAGAACTGCTGGAGCAGGTGCTGATCACGCGGGTTCACCAGCGCGATCATCGAGTACGAGCGGCACGTGGCGGGCAAGTACAGCGTCTGGTTGTCCATTGACCAGGCCCCGTCCTTCGGCTGCACGACAGGGTGCTGGAAAAAAAGCTTGATGGGCTCTCCCAAAGACTCTGATAGCCGGCCCTCTCCTAAAGAATCTCTGCTAGCCTGCCCTTTCCTAAGAATCTCTGCTACCCACAGCCCGCTTGTTCTGCTCGCCAAAGAGGATGGCGGGCGGTTGCAAAACTCGGGCGGTCGTCTCGAACATCTTGGGCACGATGGAGAGCCCAAACTCCTGGAGGAAGGGGTCCTTATGGAAGGCCGCCTGCTCGCACAGCGCCGTGATGCGGGACTCGCGCTGCTGGGCATCCACGGCCGCCGCCTGAAAAAAAACATTCTCCGGCTGGGGCTGGCCAAGTTGGAGACGTACACGAATGATGCTGCTCGTCTGCTTCTCGCTGAGCTTCTTGTTGTACTTCTGCGGCGTGTCGAGGGTGCACACCTCCAGCGGGAAGTAGATGTACCGCTGCGGGGGGCCGACGTGCAGACACGGCAACTTGGGGAACATCAGCGGGCGGTAGCGCTGGCCAAAGTACTCGGCGACGCTCATCTTGCGCTCGACGCCCTGCTCGTCCTTCGTCTTGAACGTCACCTGGTCGGCGGGCATCTGCAGAGAGTTGACGCGGTAGACACGGACGACGCCCGGGCGGTGGGAGATGCGGATCTAGAGAAGTGGGTGGTTGATGCTCAAGGTCTGGACGACTACGTTCATCCCCTTCACGGCCTCAGCAAGGATCTTGTGCTCGTGAGTGGAGAGTTGGAAGTCACGGTACAGCGTCTCGGCCTAGAACGGCAAGTTCGACAAGTTCAGGAGGGTACGTACCGAAAGCGGGGTTCCGTCATCCGGATGGCGTTGCTGCTGCATGAAGGGTGGCATTCCAGGGCCGCCCATCGGGTAGCCGCCACGCTGAGGCGGGAACGGTGGCATGCCAGGACGGCCTTAAGCATCAAGTGCAAGCAGTACAGGACGAGTCTCACCTCCAGCTCCCGGCGGCATGCCCCGATTGCCGGGATGACCGGGCGGGAACTGCATGGGGCCACGCGGGCCTCCGCCCATCTGATGCATCGGGCCACCAGGTCCACCCGGTCCGCCCGGGTTCATCGCCTTCGCCGTGTGCAGGCCGGCCTTCTCGTTCAGCACCTCGCACATGAACTGCACCATCGAGATCTTGGCCTTGTAGAAGGCGGTGTGCGCAACTGAACTAGCGGTGGAGAAACAGAACGTGGTTACAGGATTGCATTATCGCCAACCCCTTACCGTCAATGTTCAGCAACGGGCGCCAGTTGGAAGCAACGTGGGCCGATGAGAAGAACCCGGTCCACATCTCCTTGCCGCCCTCCAAATCGAGCGAACCGCCGCCGTTGGTGGGGATACGGTAGCACGACGACTTCCACGCGTAGAAGTTGCGCGAGTTTCTGCAAAATACGGAACTTTCCGACGTCTTCAATGCGTTACGCACTCGATGAAGGGGCAGGTGAGGCTTTGGCGGAAGACAATGTCTATGATCTGGATCGGAGTCAGCACGCGCTCGTCGAGATTCGTGGTCTTGGTGCGCTTCATTTCGATCAGCACCGGGCCGACGCACTGCAGCGAGATGGCGCAGTGGGTGGTCTCGCGCGAGTCCTTCGCCAGCGACACCTCGGTCTCCAGGCGCTGCTGAAATCAGCGAGGAGTTCGACAAGTTCAAGGCCTTCTACCTGGGCTTTGCCCTCGGCGAAGGCGACGCGTTGCGGGGTGTACATTTGGTGGGAACCATCGTAGGCGAGGGCATAGCGGTTGGGGAAGACTTCCGGGTGGTCCATAACGGCCTGCCAGAAGATGGCGCGGTTTTCCTCGCTAAACGTGGTGGATGGAGAGAGAGTGAAAGAGAAAGAGAGAGAGAGAGAGAGAGAGAGAGAGAGAGAGCTGGGGGGAGCAAGAAAGTGAACTGCTTGCTGACCGGTCGAGCTTGCGCGAGCCGGGGTGGTGGACGATGACGTGGTACTGGACCACCATCACGTTGTCGTTCTTCAGGCCGATCTCGAAGAAGTTGGCCTTGACGGGGATGGTGCGGCCGAGGACGCCGATGCTTGGGCGGTGAGCGATCTCGCGCAGGTTCATGCAGGCGAGCTCCTGAACAAGGACATAGACAGAGGGAGGGAGATAGAGAGAGGGAGGGAGGGAGAGAGAGATCACCTGCAGCAGCGGTGGCGACAAGTCGCGCGGGCTTCCGGTCAGCCGAGTCGATGACGACGGCGAAGATTTGCGCTGCGAGTTGGCATGCTCCGGGGAGTGGATGCCTGAAAAGCAGGATGAAGCCCTGGGTAGATGTCTATTGGTGCGCCCTCCGAGCAAAACGCAGGCGGGCTGCCACCTCCACCATTCAAAACACCACCCCCAACAAAAATGAGGAAGGGCAGCCCACCTAGCGAGTGCTCGGGGCTTGTCACCGTCACGTCATCCTGGGTGGCTAGGGTGTAAAGGCGCCCTGGAAAGCGTTATGGAGCCGTGGCGATCCAAGAGAGATTCTTTAGGAATGGGCAGGCTAGCAGAGGTTCAGTAGTAAAGGGCAGACTGGCAGAGACCTTCATAAATGGTCAGGCTAGCAGGGATCCTTTAGAAAAAAAACCCGGAAAAACCCAAGAAAACAAAACACTAAATTAGCATAACCAACCGGAATCCGCGTTCTCGCCGTCGGACAGCGACGTGGCGGTACGGTAGGCCGGCGAGACGGACATCTCCAGGCGGTTGGTCCTCCTGCTGGTGCCACGACCGAGCGGTTGAAGAATGGGGCACAGCTCGGAAGCTTTTGCTTTTATACCAGGATTCTCATGCTAATCGCGTACCTTGCGCTTCCGGGTAGTGTTTTATGCAAATTAACTCGCCGAAATTCTGAAACTACATGAATTTTGGTTTTTAGCTATCGGAATCTATTTCCATAAACGTGCTCGCAAATAATTTTTCAAAAAAATCAGATTTTAGAATGTCGTGTTTTTGAAGCGATGTTCTCGAGAATTTGGAAGAGGAGTCTCGAATACTCAAGCTCTCTCTCTTTCTCTCTCTCTCTCTCTCTCTCTCTCTCTCTCTCTATCTCTCTCTGGTTCTCTCTTTTTGTCTCTCTCTGTCGACATCCCTTGAAAGCTCCGACAATTACGAATCTTCATCAAGTTTTTACAAAAGCACCTGTCGCGTCGCGGATAAACCGATCCAAAATTTGGCAACATTTCCCGGCCCCCTACCAGGCGATAAAGACTAACCAATTACCTACCCGTCCAGTGAGGGGGTCCCAAAAAAGGACAGGTTGCCACGGTAACGTGTGCCCTGAAGGCATTTGTAGCTCGGGTGGGAAGATGTTGCCTTTCAATGATGCCGAGCCGCCCTCCCCCACGACCACACCCCGCAATTAGTAACCTTTCGGACTGGCCGAACTGATTTTCAAAAACTTCCCAGGCCTTAATTTGAAAAACCTAACATTTTGTATCTGGCGCGCGTCAGGCTGAAGTTCTACACAATATTGCCTTCCTTATCTGCTAATTTTTCACTCAGCCTCAAGTCCGAGCTGTTCAGCAGATACTGCCTAAGGAGTCACCAATCATTAAGCCGAGAATTTCAGCCTTTCTAAGACTTCTATCGATCGAGATGTTAAGACTGTTTCTCGGATTTTTTCTGGAGTCGAGCATTAAGCATTTTTTAAAGCACGCCCCAGACCAGCAGCGGAAGTAACGTGGTGGGAAACGCCGAGGAAATTGCCCTGTTTTTATCTGGCACACCCCAATTTCCGACTCCCACCTTCTTCCGGGGGGCCTACCGCCGAATTGCTCTTCAAAATATCCCTCAGCCGATATTCTCTCTGTTTTTCTCCTTTCCGACCGTATTGTTGTATCCGGATTTCAGCCAAATTTTCCGGGTCTTTCAGCGTTTCCGATATTAGGTTTAGGGTCGGGCCATGCCTATTTTATGGCCTCCGGCTGCCCCGCACCAGATGATGTGGTAGACGACCAGGGGAGACGTTTCTCGAAGATACTTGTTGCTGACGTCGGAAAGCCGCGGAGACCTAGTCTCGACTTTTTAAAGGTAAGTAGAAGTATGGAGGAAGTTTACTAGATGTACCCAAGGAATCTCTGCTAGCCTGCTCTTTCCTTAAGAATCTCAGCTAGCCTGCCACACAAAATTCCACTTATTTCAGGCACAAAAAGAGATGTTCCAACCAAGACCGACCCTTCTGACGAGTATGTCTGTGTTACCTGCTATCCCCTCAAGCTTATCCTCATCCCCAATCACCTCCCCCTCGGGCTCATCTCTGCCCAACCTCGACCAAACCCACCACTTTGCCCGGCTCGACTATCATGCTCCTCTCGCTGTGAAGGTGTTGCCGAACATGGTAAGGCTTTGCTTGCGAGTTCTATAGGGAAAATATAGTTCGATAAATAGACCTTTTCCAGCCTCTCCCACCTACGCCAGCTCATCCACCACTCCCAAAACTTGATCGTGGTGTCCTCCTCGGTGCCGCGTCCCCAGAAGTTGCACAGGAAACTGAAGAGGAGCCGAAAGCCCCAGAAAATCCCACGACGGTTGGTGTCGCAAATCTCGTTTATAATTTCTATACGTAGAGCTCCTCGCAACGGCCGGGGACATCGGCTTCATTCCTGATTGGCAGGTCCACGGAATCCGGGCGTATCCGTTTCACTCAGAGCTTGAAGCCGGCTGAGGAGGTGAGCGGAAGACGAATGAACTAAGACTTAGCCTAAGCCTATTCTTACGCCTACTCCTAAGTCTAAGCCCAAGCCCGACACCGGCATAAACCTAAGCCTAAGCCCAAGCCTAAGCCTAAGTCTAAGCCTAGCCTGACATCAGCCGAAGCCTAAGCCTGAGTCAAACATGCGCCCAAGCTTAAGCCTAATCGTAATCCTAAGCTGAAGTCAACGCCTAAGGCTAAGCCTAACCTTAAGCCTAGGCCAAAACCTAATCCGGGGCTGCAGATCCTACGCAAACGTCTCATCGAACTCGACGTGGCGCCGGAGGAGTACATCGAGGAGGACAACGCAGCCGAAAGCCTTGAGCTGGACGACTCGGATTCGGAGCAGAACCCCGAAGACACAGCCTCCACTTCTCAGGTGGACCGGTGGGGCTGTGTGTGCTAAGTGTCCTGGGTTAACTCACATACTAATACTACTACTTGACGTTTATTCGGCCACCGTAACCGCATCTTTTAGCCCCGACGTCCCGGCTTCACCTTCGATAATTGAGGTCGAGCGGCTGCCAGGTGAGGGGTCAATTCCAGCCATAATCCAGACGACCAAGATCCCGACAATTTCCGCTAGACTGCCCTTCCCTAAAATTCGTTGCAAGCTTTTTCTTTCAGAAATCGACAAGCTAGAAGAAGCTATCGACTTCTTGGGCGGAGACAAGCTCGGCCAGTTGTACGACCGATGCCGGGAACAGGTCAGCATCTTGCGCCCCGCCGACCGGCTAACATTGCCCATTGGCGAAGAAAACGCCCAATTTAGGACCCGGAAAAAGCAGGCAACCTTACGGCGTCGCGGGTTTTGAAGGCGTTCATCGACGTCGTACCTGGGGTAGGTTTTGGCCTTCTTTTTCATGACCTGACCCTTTCAGGCGATGCGTCGGAAAAGCGTTTGGCGCGAGCTGATCATCACACTGGCCCCGGGGGATGAGCTGATCAACTACACAACGCTCCTCGGGACGATCAGCAAAAGGAAGTTGCAGATGGATGTCGACACTGGGTCGGTTAAGGGGGTTGAAGGGAGCTACTCAGAGAAGTAATTTCCGCCTAGGCCTAAGCTTAAGACTAAGCCTAAGCCTAAGCCTAAGCGAACCCTAAGCCTAAGCCTACTCCTTTAGCCCGCTCCTGACGGAAGCTCTGGTGCGTGAGATCGGCCAGCTGCTGCCCTCCAGACCATCGACGACTCAGGTCAAGAAGGAGCTGACACGACGCCAGGTAAAACCTCAGTAGCTTGTCGCAAATTCCCAAATTTCAGGTCATCGCCGAACTCGCTGCGATCGCCGCGCGGGACCCGACGATCGACTTGGAGCGGTTGAAGCTGGTCGGCTTCAAAACGAAGCTGGCCATTGGAGAAATGGTAGAAAGACTGTCTAAATTGTTGAACTTGTTCAGCACGATCTAATCTCTTCTTGCGGGCTGTCCACCGCGTTCGAGCCGATCTTCGAGCGTCTCCTCGCATCTTTTCAGACTCAAGACGGACAATTTCAGTAGGTTCAGGATCAGGCGCGTGTAGAGAAGGCCTTATTTGAAATTGGAAAGGAGCCAACCGGTTACACTATCCAAAAACAGAGCAGAAGTTGGGGCTGTGCTAGAAATGATTGCTTTAGTTTCGGCGCTTTTGCTGGTTGTCTGGATCGACTGCGGCGACACATTCCGACTTCTGGCGACGTCTAGATGAAGCTGATCAATCTAACATTGAGTTTTTCGCACCATACTTGTTCTTTCATTTTGGCTGTGATAAAGAAGCGGGTTATTGTGGCATCGTTTGAGGGCGCTAGAATTAAAATTTTCGATGCTGGGCTATTAGCGGGGGGGTAGCGGGGGAACGAATAGAACGGCACTAGAACAAAATATAAACTATTTTAATAAGAATTTTCCATAGTTTACAGATAAAATACAATATAAAAAATAATAAAAAATGTTCGCTAAACGCTTTCGGGCTAAATTCGTAGATAGCTCCATTCTTCACATGCGATATATCATTTTGTAGCTCTCGGCTTGAACCGTTTCGAAGGGAGGGTCCTGGGCCCTCAAAATCAAGAACGGCCGAAATACAGGCCCAAGAATTTTTTCAAAAATTACGCAAAAGTGTTTTTCCAGGTCACCTCTGCATGAGCAATTTAGATGCGATACTGTGAATGCCAATCGATAGCTCTCGGGGAGTAGATACCGATAGATGTTGCGATCATCAAAATTGGACCCGGGAATTGCCGAGACAAAGGCTCTGGAAATAGTAGAGATTCTTTAGGAAATGACAAGCTAGCAGAGATGGGAATGTTTCGTGATCTCGCATTTTCATAATTTCGCAATTTCAGAGACTACGGTGCATTTTGAAATTGACAACTCGATAATAATAATATTTTATTCTCTGTGAGCAACGCAAAGACAGGGGATCGCACATTACAAAGTACGAAGGTTAGACAAAATAGTTGTTAGAATTCATTAATGTGCGGATGAGATCTCGGAATTTGTGGGGGGAGGGGATGAGGACAATTTTTTAAAAAAAATCAAAGAGAGGACACTAATTTATCACCGGTGCAGCGAACGTGATTCCTTTTTACTAAAATACGTTGTTTTCAGGTTACGGTAGTCGACAAAAAAAACCAAAAAATTGAAATATGGGTGTGTACACGTTATGCAAATTGTGGAGGGCATCAGACAAATTTTTTTAGAGGAGTTCTATACAGAGAAGGGATAGAAAAGACTAGGAGGTTTCGAAAGTTAAACTACAAAGTACAACAAAATGACAACCCGTAATGTGGTATAATCGCAGGACGTACACATATCGTTCTCGAAGGAGGTGCAGGGGATAACATAAAAATCGGGGAGCACCTTGTCTATTGGCCAGCATCAAATAAATTTTTGGGAAAGGGATTTTAAAGGGATGGTGAAGAGATCTCTCTCTCTCTCTCTGCCGCCTAGATGTCACCATCTCTTTAAAAGCTCCAAAAAAGTCAGCACCAACTACAAATACACTTTCTTCACTTTATAATCTCGTGGTAGCGTGCATTGATTGAGCGACGTGAGCACGGCGTTTCGGTCCCTTGCCGGTGTCGTCGCCCCGGAAGCCGCCTGCGAATGCGAGACGGTCATCGTCGGGTGCATCGACAACACCAGGGAGGTCGCATCGACGGAATGCTGGATCGAAAGGCATTTTAAAGGGACTCGGGAGGCAAATACCTTTTGCGGCGGCAACCCATAGATCTGCTCGACCTTGTTGGTGGTCGTCAGACTGTCGTGCCGGGTCAGGCGGGCCGTTTGGCGCCCGAAACTATCGTAGTCCGAGCCCGAACTGCTCGACGATGAGTGGTGCTGGTTTTCGAGGGCTTGGGAGCGGGAGAAGCGGTAGCCGATCTGGAAAAAACTTCCTGAGAGGAAAAGGCTTCCTGAGAGGTAGTTGGCCTTCGCCATAGCTTTTTCTCCTCAAAAGCCCTTGCCAGTTGTCTTGGCTCCAGCTTTGATTTATCAAAGAACTCTAGCTCTGCACGGTTGGCCTGCGCTATCCTCAGGAATCTTCAGCTAGCCTTTTACGTATCCATGCTTCACGCACAACACCTCCACGACATTCCTTACCAATAATCCTAGAGCTCCAGCGAGTACAAAGCACAGGATACACGCGATCACCAGATGGTTCATCGTGTACTGACCGCCCGCTCCGGTACCAGCATACTGTATCGGGGCTGCATCTGAAAAGGGGGCATTTAATCATCACTTGCTCGCTTTCCTTTTTATGAAAAAATTTTCAGGATTTCAACCAATCCCCCAGTGTTAGGACCCGTCTTCAAGGCCACACCTCGACGGGTTGACCAGTAAAATAGGAAAAACTGCAAGGCTAGAAAGTAGAGCGGATGGGACAGCTGCGATCCCATTAAATTCAAATTGTTATTCCCCTCTTTCAAGAGAAACAGAGAAGATCTCTCTCTCCCTATCTCGCTCTCTCGCGCTCTCTCCCTATCTCTCTCACGCTCTCTCCCTGTATCTCTCTCTTTTGCAGCCTAAGCCGAAGCCTATCCATCTGTCAACAACATACCATGTAGGTCCGATTCACCCTCAACAATCCCCTCCGGACACTGCTCGCTGCGCCCATAAAAGATGTTCTGAATATAGCTGCCGTCGTTCTTCCACTGCTCACGTGGGGAACACCTTAATTTCGGGTTAATTGGTACGAGAGGATACGGTACCGATGCCCCATCGAATCCCAAGCACAATGAGGGTCCTGTAGATTGACGCAAAGTGAGCAACTGCGCTGCTGTTCACAGTTGTGCATCGGAATGAGGGCGACCTGGAATATGGGAAATTCATTGATCGTCTCCTAGCCTTTCCTAAAAAATCGCCGCTCACCTCATCCGAAGACACGACAGCCACGAAACCCTGCTGACCGGCCGTTAGCAAATTGACAACGGGGCTTCCTTTCGGGAAAACCTTGACCGCCTCGATGATGGCCGTCTTTCCGCCATTGGACACCAGCTTGAGGACTTTCCCATCGGAGGTGCCGACGAAGATAACGTCGTGACCCTCGTTGGCGACGGAAGTTACCTGGAAAGGGACGTATTCCGTTGCCTGCGCCGTGAAAGTAGCTTCTCTCTCCCTCTCTCTCACTCTCTCTCACTCTCTCTCTCTCTCTCTCTCTCTCTCTCTCTCTCATTCACTCACCCCGGGCAAAACAGCGATCTGCGTCAGCTCCGGGTGGTCGTTGCCCTCGATGAGAATTGGCTGGGTCCGCGACTGAATGGCCTTGTGCAGCAACGGGTTGCGCAGCGTGAACGAGATGGTGGCCTCGGGCAACTTAGTCGAGTCGGGCACACAGCTTCCGGGGCGTGGCTTCGGGATTTCCGACTTGGCGAACGGGGACCACAGCGAGGAGACGGTCTTCTGAAAATGGGCGTGGTTCAGAGGAATGCTGTGGTTTTTTTGGGCCTTGGCCTAAGCTTAGGCTCAGGCTTACCTCAACCCGATCCCAAACGCCGAACTGAACAAGTAGCTCACCTGATGCTTAAACGTTCCGTAGAGGAACTCATCCCGAATGTTGTTCATCGAAAACACGCAGATCGCCGACATCCTCACGTGGGTGGACGGCGTCGTGAAGACGGCGTACACAAGGTGATCAGAAGACGAGGGAACCGGCTCCGAAACCGCTTCTAAACACAGCCCCATTGCTTCAGTTCCAGTTATCACAATCCCTTTAGTCCATCTACAAGAGCAAAATAGCCTACTGAGCTCGTTGAAGTAGAACGGGGTGCCCGCGGCCAGCGAGCAGTTCAGCCGTGCCTTCACGAAGGAGGTCCACTTTTCGTTGGCGGGTCGTGGGGCTCCTTTGTCGTTTCGGCACACGCGGGCTACGCGCGCGTATACCTGAACGGGTTGAGGTTGTGGAGATGTAAGAATTAGAGAAATTTTTATAGTTTTCAACAGTTCCCCCCACCCTTCCTCCTTTAAGATTTATCCACCCTACCTGGCGCTCCTCGTTGTTATCCATCGCCTCAGAGGCTCGCTCCCGGTACCAAAAATAAACGTGCTCCTTGTAGGTAAACGACGTAACGAAATTGGGCGCTAAAATGCAAAAAATTATATAAAAAGAACCCAAAAGCTTACAGTCCAAGACGCGAACGTCATCGCGTTGTGTCCTGATCCCCTCGTCCTTGTCCGACAACCGCTTCCGGTAGATTAACGCGTCGTTGCCGGCAAAGTCGGACACGGTGCCCGCGTAAATCTCGTCATTTTCGGGGATATAGACGGCTGTCGAGTTGTCGCGTGGGTCGTACGGGGAGATGGCCTGGAAAAACGGAGGGTTTCCGGCCGGCCAGCAGGGGGGCTTTAGGGGGGCTTCTTTCTAAGATTTGGAACAAGGCGAAGCCTAGGCCTAAGTTTAAGCTTTAACTTAAGCCAGAAGGTACTGAACACCCACCTGGCCATCAAACTGCCTGACGCTCTTCGGCTTTGCGTACCCGGGGGTCGTCACGTACTCGCGGCACATCGGCTTGAAGGCGTGCGTGCCGCATATTAGCATTTTTCCGCCGCCTGAAAGAGAGATACATAACAGAGAGAGAGAGAGAGAGAGAGAGAGAGAGAGAGAGAGAGAGATCCCGACAAACCTTGCCGTGCCAAGACCCGTATGTAGTTCTCGCAGTCGGGCTTCAGTTTGCCCTTCATCAGACAGTCTTCTGTGACGTTGGCCGGCGGGGCCCATTCGATTGTCTAGGAGCGATGATGAATTTAGCCGTTCTTAAACTTACGTGGTGGACGTCAAGATTGTTGAGGCTGAGGTTGTAGACGGCATTTCTAAAAAAAAGCTGTTTCAGGCTTTCTTCGATTCCAAAACGGCGCCTGCTAGCCTACCCCCGCTTCCTAGGCAATCTGTGCTAGCCAGCCTTCACTTCCGAGTTGGTCTTTGCTAGCTTGCCTATATTCTTAAAGGTATCGTGCCATTTTCTCGAGCCCCGTTTCTCGGATCCTCCCCCAACTCCATTCACCCGTGAAATGGATGCCCGAAGGAAATGGTGCTTCGCGCGCCATTTCCTCCCGGCGTGCGTCAAATTCTTTGAGGACCCCACAAAACTTGGGCAAACAAGCAGGCACCATTGGCCACCCAGGGGGGTGCAAGCAAGAAGCAAACATATAGCCCACGGGGATACGTTTCAAGGACTTCGTCCGGGTTGGCATGGATAGTATGAGATTGAAGTTGGGTAGTTGTGACTTAAGCTTCGCATTAGACTAGGCTATCGCACTAGGCTTAGGCTTGTGCATCGTCTTCGGCTTAGGCTTAGGCCGGGTCAGGCTTAGGTTTGGTCAAAGTTTAGGCTTGGGCTTTGGCCTAAGTTGTGCCTAGGCTTAGGCCTCGTTTTAGGCTTACGCTTAGGCATAGGCTTAGGCTTAGACTTTGACCGTTGACCCTCTATACCTCAACCTTCTAGATTCCGCCTTCTGACCCAAGCCTTTTCAGCGTCAATTCCCATGCATCCCTCCTTCGGTGTGTATGTTTAATATTTGCCCTCCCATGCCCACCCTCCTTCCGTTCTATTTGTTCCGTTTGGCTCCGAATCGACGCCGCGGCCGATAAGGATGGATTTCCGACAGCATCCAATGCACGCCCCGCCCTGCGGGGGCAAGAGCTTCATTTCACGCCCGGGTCGTGCGAATGGCTTTGCGGGCTTTGGTGTGTGTATTTTAAAGGGAGTGTGATTATTGCAGGTTGTAGGCTATGATGATCACTTTTAGGGAATGACATAAATGGCGTAAATGTCGTAAATTATGGAGGCCTACGCCTGACCTAATCCTAGACTAAACTTAGAACCTAAAAACGCTTAAGCTTACACCTAATCTCAAGCTAGCTAAGTTAGCCAATCTCAAGCCCAAGTTCCAACCCAAGCTTAAGCCAAAACCTAGGCCAAAGCGCCCTAAACAACCGCTAAACCAAAAGTTCTCACCTCGCTCCAACCAACAACGAGTCGCCGTCGGCTTCGAGGAGTTTGAAGTGATCGGAGGCACCGGGTGACGTGCTGCCAAAACGATAGACCCGATCCGAGGAGGCCGCTGCAAAAGTTCAATTATGCTGTGTTTTCAACCTCGGAAACTCTAATAATCCTTGCTGGTTGCTCGTGTTCCGTCACAGTGCCACTTTACACGTTCCCAATTTCCAGGTCCCTTCCCATCCCCGTAAAAATTTGGGTCAGTACAGCTTTGCGATGGGGGTAGGGGGGAGGCTAACTCGTAATCCATTTCCTCACACCTCCCCTATGACCTTGCTTTGTGATGGGCCTCCGTTTTTTCCGAGCCACTACACAAAACGGTGGGACGGATAAATGGCTTTTTCAAGGCCCACAATGGCATGGGGGGCTTAAAGACCGTATTTTTGTCTAAGCGAAACCTAAGCCTAAGCCTAAATCCAAGAGTAAGTAAGTTTCCCCTGTCTCAATTTAGCTAGAACCCCACACCTTTGCAGAATGGATGTTGTGGGATATGAGGTGTTGCGATGAGATCTATTCGGTGTGTTCTGCGGGGCTGAACATGCCCCCGGGGGATCGGATTATCGGCCAAGATCTCTCTCTCTCTCTCTCTCTCTCTCTCTCTCTCTCTCTCGCTCTCTCCCTTCATACATGCGTGGATTCGATGGCGGATCTGTTCGATTCCCCCCCCCGGATTCGGTCACTTTTTAAGGCGCAAAAACACGCGACAAATCGGACCCGTTTAGCGGCGGCCCCTCGCGGAAAGTGGCCGCGATTGTGGTCAGCGATTTCGGGGAGGAGGGCGAGTCAAATCTTTGCCTCTAAGATTCACTAGGTTATCTTGCGAGGAGATCTCGGAAGTGGCTGTCGGGTAACAAGCAGCGAGTCTTGAGGAAGCATCAAGGGACGGCATCGAAAAGGGGAACTCCAAGCGAAGCACAAGCCCAAGCCCAAGCGAAGCATAAGCCGAAGCCAAAGCCCAAACCTACGCCTAAAACTAATCCTAAGTCTAATCCTACGCCTAAACCTAAGCCGGATCCTAATCCTAAGCCTACTTTCCCTGCCAAACCCCTTGAAATTCCAAGAATTCCGGCACACTCCCCGGACGGGCCCACAATTTTGATCAATGGCCTTGTATGGCTTGGGGCGGTTCCCAGTGGGACCACCGATGATGAGCCCCATTTTAAAGGGATAAGGCAGAGAGCGGGGAGGGTCGGAGAGGGCGATGCGTGTCCAACACGGTCCCCCGGGAAATGCCCACCCAAAATGTGCTCCGACTGCTAGTCAAGTGGCTAATGTGTCGAGTTAGTCGCCTTGGGGTGAGAGAGGGAGAGAGAGAGAGAAAGAGAGAGAGACAGCCGTCCAGACAGAGACATAAAGATACTTTTTCTAAAGAATCCCTGCTAGTTTGCCCTTTCCAAAAAATTTCTACTGGGATTTTCCTTATTTTCTGTCTGACCCCTCGCCGTATGCAAATCGAAGTGCGGGAGCGGCTCGACCACAAAGCCGTCCGGGGCGTCACCCTGTCTGCTGACTCAAATGTTCTACTTTTCTCTCCTTCGTGATTTCGTGAATCGGATGAGTCAACGATGGTCGAATGTTTTAAGACAGATTTCAAGTGCGTTATTTGGTGCTAGCCGTAGTGGTGTCGGGAGGAAAACGCGTTACTTGCCGGGCAAACATTGATAAGGTAATCTTGAGACTGAGTCAGAACGTTTGAGGGTTTTGTTTGGTCTTTAAGCCTAAATGATGTGTTTCCGGAAGCCCAAGCCTAAATGGTAAGCCAACCCTGGCCCTTAATTCAGTATAACTCTCCATCCCAGCCATTAACTTGCATCCTGCCCCTGTGCGCAGATGTGTGAAATATGAGGCCAAGGAAATGGAAACGAAAAATGACACATTTCAGCGAAAGGCCTTGTCCTCCTCCCAATCCATCAAACTAGCAGAATTTGAAATTCTTAAGGAGGCTCACTCATCCCACGCTCCACCATTTGCATCTCATTGGAAAGAGAGAGAGAGAGAGAGAGAGAGAGAGAGAGAGAGAGAGAGAGCAGCGGTTTATGATAAGTCCCAGCTGGCTGGGGGCCAACTGCCCGTATTGTCCCGTAGTCGACCACCACAAGATTTCTGATTTATCGACAGTCAGGGGCAGATGGTCGGTTACTTGTTGAAAGGGTAGAAATGCTGCATTTTAGAGGGTCATCGAAGGGAACATCTAGAATGGATATTTTTAAGGGAGATCCAACCATGCTTTTTGGACAGGCACGCTGAGGGCCTCGACCGTTCCCCAAATGACCTCTGCCAGCATGCCCTACCCCTGCTAAACAAAACACCGCATCCTGAAGGGCCCCCGATAATCCCGGGGCCCTCAAAAATATTGGCCCTTGATGTCGCCGGCTCGTTTTGGTAGGGGTTGAGGCGCTCTTGGTGCCCCAGGGCACTTCAGGGTCGTCGAGAGGAAATTACGTACCATATGGCCCGGATTGACTAGTTAGGGTTGTAAAAATTTTCGGAACCTAAACCTCTGCCCAGGCCTAAACGTAACTCTATGCAAATTATCAAAAACCCAGCCCTTCTCTGTCCGCTCGCCACTCACAGGACAGGCAATAAACCCTCGGGCGTCCCTTTGACAACTTGTCCAAATATGGGGGTCTCGCATTGACCCGCTCGCATAAATGCCCTGAGGGCACGAAGACGGTGTGTTTATTTGTGAGGCCACAGACACCACACGATAGTCAATAATAGGGGCAGGAGAGGAGGGGGCTGAGGGTCAATATGTCATCAATTACCGCCTTCGAGGACTCGGGAGGGATGAGTGCCGTGTCTGGGATATGAGTATTCAGGCAACTCAGAAGAGCGCTTCGACGCGACCAAAAAGCTAGGCTTAGGCTCAGGCTTGGCTTAAGCACCTTTCAACTCATTTTTTCCGGCCCATCCCCAATCTGAAAGGTGCGCTTGGGCCCCGGAACTTCTTTTGGGCCTGCACCGGGTCAAAAGCATGCGCCGGTCTAGGGAGCAGCTTTTCAATGGCCTCCTCCACCCCGATGGCCGTCTCCCATCTGTTGCCCGGGGCCGGGGGGCATTCGGTTACAATTCGTCGAGTGTTTGCGCGCTCGGGAACAATCTGGGGATGATGTTTGGAAGTTTCTCTCTCTCTCTCTCTCTCTCTGGGTCAGAGAACAGATGGTGCCAGTATTAGCTGTTTCTCATTTCTCTTGCGCCCCCTAGTAAGGCGCAAAAACGCTAAATTTCCGCTAGTGTACCCTTGACAAGAAGGCGGCGAGCAAACGCGCGCGGATTCGAGCGCCTAAATTTGGTTAGTCGAGTGCGGGCATTGGTGCAAGGGGGGATGCAGCTAACGTGTAAGGATAGTACGAAAGCTTAGGCTTCGGCTTAGGGGCTTAGGCTTAGGCTTCCTCTACTTTTCCTAATTCCCTTAAAGCCCTCCCCCGAAATCCCGGAACTACGCGATCGCGTGCGCGCTGCCCATTTTCCGGCAAATCCCCGGGCCATAGCGCCGGGGCACGTTCCCCGGATGTCCAGCCGAACCCTTTAAAAATCGGGCTCCTTTTGGGGGCCCCGCTAATGCGATTGGCTAGCCCGGCCCTCGACGACCCAATTTCCCCCCGGGACCGTATAAACCGATAGCTTTGAGGATATTATTGCCCTCGCACCCCATCCAACCCACTCGATTTCTCATGGCTTCAAGCTGGGCCCGGCCGGCCAAATTTGCATACGCTTTTTTGATGTGGATGTGGATTTATGGGGGTTTGGGAGAGGGCAGGCTAGCAAGGATCCTTTGGGATTGGGGAAACCGGTAGAAGTTCTGCGCCACAATCTCTTAAGGATGGCCTTGACTGCCCTACGACAAATTGGCCTCTACCGGCCATCTATAGAATTCCATCTCGGGGGTGACCTGGGCAAGTGAATGTGCCCTGCAGGCATGAATTGGTACAACATCGCGCTAATCCACTAGTGGAGCGAGAGAGAGAGAGGGACAGAGTGAGAGAGAGAGAGAGAAAGAGAGATAGAGAGAGAGAACCTCAAGGATCTTCCCGGTGCGACAAAGAGTGCGCGCCAAATGCCCGAAGGGTCTCGACCCAGTTTCGTTAAGTAACAATTTCCGCAGCCGGTACCCTGCAAGTATCAAACGGAACAATTGCAGAGAATGTTTGAGAGAAAATAGTCGAAATTTCGAAGCAACAAGGCCGGGAGCCTAGCAGGGATTTTTGAGGATCTACAGATCAGGCATTTTTTTTTTTTGGGAATTTCTAACACTTCAAAAGTTACAGTTTCAGAAGCCTAATTTTAAGCTGATGCCCAAGTCTCATCAAACCGGGTTGACCTATGATTAAGCCAGAATTTTCAAAACCCCAAACCCGTCCCAACCGTAATTTGTACCCCCGCCCTCCGGTCTTGGGTCAACGTCCATGAGGCAACACAACTCCTCGAGCCGACGGGTCATTACGCAAGCCGGCGTGTGTTCTTGCTCTCTCTGCGTCTCTCTTTCTCTGCATTCTCTCGCCCTGTAGGGTGAGCTTGGCTGCTTGTTCTTGCGCGCATCCCGGGAGTGCGCCTCAATGGGCGGTAATTTGAGCCGCACCCGCAGGGCGTTCTGGTTTGACTGGTCAGCATTGACCACAAGCTAGCTACAATACCATCCAATTAGGCGGACGAGCCGGATCGGCTCATTAATGGGAGCTCTGATAGCATGCCTCATTCCTAAGGAATTTCTGCTAGCTGCTTTCCTTTAGACGCTTTGCTAGCCTGTCTTCCTAAACAATCTTTGCTAGCCTACTTCCCCAGGGAAATTTTGCGAGCATCCTTCCTAAACAAGGCCTACCATGGCCAGCCGGTCCCTTTAATCGTAAGCCCGGAAAAGAATCCGGTCGGGACCCTAAAAATGGCATTGCAGGTTGAGTCGGGCTCTCGAGGGGTAATTATTCAGGGCTTGGATTGGCTCGGCTCGTGCTTTGGATTGGCCACCCAATTATGGGGCACGCAAGAGATGCGTGAAAAATTGCCTGGCACCACGGTTCTTCTATGCGGCTCGCCATGCCGGGCAAGGTCGACGCGGCAAAGCGGATTCACGGATTTTAAAGGTACTGGGAAGTCATAATGGTCATGAGCCTTATGAATTGAAGGTTCAGAATGGCTCAGAAGAAAAAAACCGAAAACCAAAATCCCGACAGCCATAAACCCGACAGGTCATCCTCCCGAAATAGCTTTTAACGCTAATCAAAAAAATTTAAAACGATTAAACTGAATTTTTAGCAGGGCCGAATGGCAAATAATCCTGTAAATCAAAGCTTTCAAAGCCTCTGAAGCAGCTGTTCAAGCTAAATCTTCACCCTTAAAGGTTCTGATATGGGAGAAGGACGCTAATCCTTATGGATTTGTGATTCCCGTCCCATTAAAGGCACGCGGAAGACAACTCTGACACTATAAGTTTGTGGCTTCTTCACTTCCCAGTATCTTCAAAATCAAAAAATGCATTAGGACGGCCTTTTCCCGCCCTAATCCCTCAAAATAATATTCGCGCTCGCCGGAGGACTCGTTGTTGGTGGTGGGGCTCAATTTTTCACGTGCTCCCCCATGTTCTGGGCCTCCTAATCTCCGACATGCATCTCTCTCTGGCTATGCTCCTCACTGCAGCGTTTACAAGGCTACCCCCTGACCCTCTTCTTTGCCTTGAGGACGGAAAGTCTAAAGGGAGAAAGACTCAAGCAGGTAGCTGTGATCACGCCGATAGATAGAGGGTGGCCTGGGTCACCTTTCAGGGTAAGGGGGAAAGAGAGAGAGAGAGAGAGAGAGAGAGAGAGAGAGAGAGAGAGAGAGGCGGTTGTCAACAATGAGTTTCGAGACGGGACATCGAGATGAAAAAGCTTTGTTTTTCGGAACCAAATTGCCAAGGGCAAGCTAGCAATGATGCTCTAGGAAAGGGATTCTTTTTAAACATTTAAAATTTTCCCTTTCTAAATTTCTACTCGTTCTCCCAAATCCCACCCGTTCAATCCGAAACATAGGCCTCGGTGTATCGGCACGCAATTTGCATCCCCCCCAGAAATGGGCGTGGGGATCATCGCGGGGATTTACTAGTCCGTCCCAAATTTCGTGTTCTGGTAAATAATTAGCAAGAGGATCCCCTAGCGGTCGCTTAAGCCGATGTAAACCCAGCAAGC